TTTGCCATTTTATAGTCTGTGAAGAAAGTTCTTGCTATTTTTTGCTTTGGAAAGAAAGTTCTTGCTATTTTTTGCTTTGGAAAGAAAGTTCTTGCTATTTTTTGTTTTGGAAAGAAAGAAAGTTCTTGTCATTTTTTGTTTTGTAAAGAAAGTTCTTGCTATTTTTTCTTTGTAAAGAAAGTTCTTACCTTTCTTTGTTTTAAAAACAAATTTCATTTCATTTTTTGTAATATACGTCTGTTTTAGAGTATTGGACTTATCACTCTTTCTTTGTAAATAGTTTTTGCTCTACTTTACTTCATGGCCTTAAGAAAACACTATTAAGTCATTTAAGCCTAAAACCGTCATTGAAACAGCATTAAACAAGGCTTATTTACGACTTGTTTTAAACCGTTTTTTGGCTAGTTCACCCAACTTTTAATAGCTTTCCATTTGTGTATAAAACAGCTTAAACCCTTCTCTTCTCGAAATGAAACGTATGATTGTACGCTGACTAAGACTGTTTCGGAATCAGGAAAGCAAGTCCGATATGGAAATGGCAGTAGTTGTTTGATTTTTATTATTTTTATATTACTGTCACGATTTTTTAATTGAATATGAGAGGATAGAGGATAGGGGTCGGTGAAGAGTACGAGAAGAGGATGGTGGGTGAAAAGGATGACACAGAAGGGGTGGATGAAGAATATGAGAAGCAGGAGTAAGTACAGCATATGATAGGAAAGGGAAGTGTGATGAATAGAACGAAATATGGTACCGAGTAGGCTGACGGCTAGAAAAACTGTTGTTAAGAATATAGCTTAGTTTAGGCTTAGTATACTGTTTTGTAGGCTTAAGCTATCTTACTATGCTGTTTTGTAGGCTTAAGCTATCTTATTATACTGTTTTGTAGGCTTAAGCTATCTTACTATGCTGTTTTGTAGGCTTAAGCTATCTTAAGTCTTAGATTAGGGCTATATGTATGCTCAAGCTTAGAATTAAAAAAAGAGTTAGATATAGGCTTATTATACGGCTCTGGCAGAGGCTTACAACTTGTTGGGTGAAGTTTAAGCGTACATTTTGTAATAGGCTTAGCTTAAAATTAAGCTTATGTTGAGACTAAAACTAAGGTTTGGGGAAAGGCTAAGCCTAAGGTTTAGGTTAAGCTTAAAATCTTAAAACGGTCAGTCAAAGGTAATCCCTCGATGAAATTTGAAGTAAAATCCCAGCACTTGCAGTCATTTGTTCGGTCGTTTTACATCGAGGCAAATATTATAAAATTAAAAAATATTACACAAGAAAACGTTGCGTAATACCATTTCTTGCAATTTCTCTAAGGCTATCTAGTTGTATCCTTTATTAGGCAATGCGACGCAAATCGTTCTCTTATATTTTGTATGGTCGATAAAGACCTAGGTAGAGTGGGGTTGGGTAGGACATGATGTAGTATGACAGGTAAGGTTACAGTTAAGTAGAATAAGGTAGGCTACTTTCGAGTAGGGTATGGGATAGAACGGTTATGTAAAGGTAGAGTACAGTAAACTAGAATAGAATAGGGTAGGGTATAATATGGTATGGTAGGGTAGGGTAGGGTAGGGTAGGGTAAGGTAGGGTAGGATAGGGTAGGGTAGGGAAGAGCTGTCCTTTAAGTATTAGTATCTATTCGAATTCCCCTTACTCAGTGGCCTTTTGACTTGGGCCGACGAGTTATCCCCCTCTCTTTTTTTATGTTTTTTTTGTGGGTTTTATAAAAACACATAACACATTTACACGGATCCGAACATGTGCGTAAATATGTTATCTGTTGTTCAGTGGCTTTTTGGGAAAATTTAACGGTTTTTATAAGTTTTTGCAGGAACTTTCTTTACAAAGTTAAGAATGGCAAGAACTTTCTTTACAAAAGAAAAAATGGCAAGAACTTTCTTTACAAAACAAAAAATGGCAAGATGGGAAAATATAATTTTGGTCGAAAAACACTGCCAATTGTTGCCTTTGTTTGACTTTTTGCAAGCCCATTTTGTTCTTCATAAAAAAATACATTATGCGTTATCTATTTTACATTTTGACGTGTTGTTAAAGAGAAAACGAGAAAAATATGTAGCTTTTAAGCTTTTTGGTCGATAAGTATTTAGAAATTGATAAACTAGATTTTGTAAAGAAAGTTCTTACCATTTATGTTTTGTAAAGAAAGTTCTTGTCATTTTTTTTGTTTTGTAAAAAAAGTTCTTGCTATTTCCATTCCACCTTCATTTCTTTACCTTTCTCTGGCTATACTGCCATTTTATAACCGTACGAGTTCATAAACTTATCAGTTTGATTGAGTATTAGCATAAATAATGTGTTATGATCACTTTTTGTATAAATTTCGAAATTTGCACTTGAAAGGAAAGAAGAAAGAACGTTCCGGAACCGAAACGTTCTTTTTCTTCACATTATTCATAACCTTGATTTGAATTGATAAGCCATCTGGTTCTGGAAAAATTATGTTTACTTTGCCATTATAGGCTATTTATGGATGCTACCCTACCCTACCCTACCCTACCCTACCCTACCCTACCCTACCCTACCCTACCCTACCCTACTTACCCTACCCTACCCTACCCTACCTTATCTCACTCTTACAGTACCTACTGTACTTACTTTGCGCTAACTTACCCTACTGTTTACTTTATCATGTTCAACCTTACCTTACCGTGCCCTGCCTTAAATTTTTTTCGTTTTGTCTTAATTTGCTGTTCCTTGTTATAATTTTTCTTAACTTGCCTTACCTTGTATAACTCTGCCTTCACTTGCCCTATCGTATCTTATTACTTTGAATAATATGTGCCTTACATTGCCTACCGTAACCTACATTTCTTCACTTGAATTTTCCCTACCTTTGTCAATAGGTCACAAAATGTCAAATTTAATGTAGTTTTAATATTTTATAACTTTTAAAAAATTGTAAAATCTTGCAAATCCTAAATGTCATCCCATCTCATCTATGGCGTTTTTGCTTGCGTGTGACATTTTTTATTGTAAACTATTTGCAAACTGTGTTTTTTATACTGTTTTAATCTTGCAAAATGCATTTAGAACGCTATAGCGTTCCAAAGTCTAATTTCGTGATGTTCTGAAAGGTCATGCAAGCTGTTTTTTACATTAAAAAAGGGGTCTGGGCAGTGTTTTGCCGGACCGAAACAAAAATTTTTGCGGACCGGACCGGACCCAAAAACCTGCGGACCCGGACCAAAGAAAAAGCTCCGGACCGGTCCGCAAGGAAAAATTTTTTTTTTATTTTAATAGAAATGATTTAAAAATTGCAAATAAAATGTATTTTTAAGAGTTTTTAAGCAAAAAGAAAGCAGTTTTAGCGCTCCTTGCTTTTTTTAAAAATAAAAAAAAAATTTTTTGCGGACCGGACCGGACCGGACCCAAAAATTTTGGGTTTGGACCGGACCGGACCCAAAAATTTGAGGTTTGGACCGGACCGGATCCGAAAATCGCCGGGCCGGACCGGTGAAAAACGCTCCGGACCGGTCCGGGCAAAACACTGGGTCTGGGCAGTGAAACAAATGAAAATTAAAAAAACCAGCTAAAACATTGAGACATTCTAGTAAAATAGAAATGGAGCGGTTAGGACTTGGCATGAACTAGTAGGGCCTGAAGGCCAAAGTGTTAAGCTCAGCTCGATTTCAGTATTGCTCAGGCCCGGTCCGGCTTAAATTTTTATAAGCTGCAAACAAGTTAGGCCGGGATTTGGTTTTCATGCTCGGCCTAATTTAAATATGAGGCAAGGCCCAGCCCATTTCTCATGTCTAGCTAAGGCTCTGGGCTAGGGCTCTGGGCTAGGGCTCTGGGCTAGGGCTAGGGCTAGGGCTAGGGCTAGGGCTCTGGACTAGGGCTCTGGGCTAGGGCTAGGGCTAGGGCTAGGGCTAGGGCTAGGGCTAGGGCTAGGGCTAGGGCTAGGGCTAGGGCTCTGGACTAGGGCTCTGGGCTAGGGCCCTGGGCTAGGGCTCTGGGCTAGGGCTAGGGCTAGGGCTAGGGCTAGGGCTCTGGACTAGGGCTCTGGGCTAGGGCCCTGGGCTAGGGCTTTGGGCTAGGACTTTGGACTAGGTATAAAGTGCTTCTTTCTTTTACAATTACCTTTCCTAACCTTGTAAAGCTACTCCACTATCCTTTCCAACCTTCCTATACCTTTGTATTAAAAACCTTTTCCATCTTACTTTTACCGCCAACCCGTGAAACTTTACGTTATTTTGTTTGTCCGCGCTATCAGTCTTAATTAGTAAACAGCAAATTAGTTGTTAAGTTTGTTTGGAAAGAAAGAACCTATACTTTTCATCTTATTATTGTTGGTTTTCAAACCGAATTTTTTAAAACTTTTTTTGATTTGTAGGCTTATTTTATGGATTTAAGGTCAATATTTGAATTTCTAAGCCTAAATTTAGATTTTGAGCATAATTTTAAATATTTTTTTTAGTTTTAAGCCTAAATTATCAGTTGTTTATTTTAGGCTCAATTTTGACTTTTTTTTACTTTTAGGCTTAATTTTTGTATTTTTTTAAATTTTAAGCTTAATGTTTATATTTTTTCATTTTAGGCTTAATTTTTATATTTTTTTTCAAAGTTTAGGTTTAATTTTAAATTTTTTTAAACTTTTTCAGCCTACTTTATTGTTTTTTTATATTTAAGCCTAGCTTTTTGTGTTATATTCTGTCAAAAAAGTTTTGTCTTTTTTTACCAAAGATTTGCACGTCAAAAAACGACAAGACTTTTTTGTAAACTTTTTTTGGTTTTAAAAATTTAAAAAAATGAGTTTTAATGCCATTTTAAGATAAATAATTTTAGTTTTTATCATGTCAAGCCTTTTCAAACTTAAAACATCAACCGTGATATTGATATTACCGTGACGTTACTATCAAACCATACAAAAGTACCCTATAGTAGGGTCCTATAGTGAACTAACCGCCTTATCCTTCTCAATTTGATGAACCACAATCCTAATTATACTAATTTTCCATCATTTCAGCCAAAAATCAAAAATGGCGACGAGTGAGCGACAGATCAACGTCGCACGCAGCGACCACTCCGTGGTCGATAATGAATTCGACTCGATGCGCGAACGGTTCGAAAACGAAATGCATCGAGTTGAAGCCGAAATGCAGCGACTTCGACACGAGTTCGAGGGCTACAAGCCCAACCAGCAGTCCACCTATCACTCGGTTGGGAATGGAGCGGCGGTGAATGCGCCCATCGACAGATATAACACCACGTCTAGCCAGAGCTGTAAGTTGGAGTTGAGCTGGGGATTTTTGTCTTTGAGGTGTAATAAGGTAAAGTTAGGGTTAGGTTAAGGCAGCGTAAGACAAGGGTAAGGTAGGGTAGGGTAAAGTAAAGTAGTGTAGAACAGAGGGCATGGTAGGGTAGAGTAAGGTAGAGTACAGCAAAGTACCTTAGGGTATGTAAGGATACCCTAGGGTAGGGTAAGATAAAGTAAAGTAAGATATCTTAAGATACTGTAGGGTCCGGTAAAGTATCTTAGCGTAGGCAAAAATACCCTAGGGAATGCTAGAGTAGAATAGCCTATCCCAGACCGCCCTACAACACTTATCCCACCGTAATCAAACCCCTACCTTCTAATCATCTTCAGACCTTTATCTACCGTATCAGACACTACCCGTGCCCACCCCTCTTTAACCTTTTTCCAACCTCCATCCTACCGTACCCCAAGACCGACCCCTTATGCACTATTAACACCCCATCCTCCTCCTCAAAATGTCAACCTTTGCAATGTATCCTAATCTTTCTTTATGACATTTGAAACACTCCTAATCCTTCTTTATATTAATGAAACGCCTATTGAAAAACAGCCGATAAAATTGTACAAATCTTTGACATTTCCTACAATCCCTCAGTTTTAAAATGCCAAAAAGAGAGCGAACGCCATTATTAAACAGCTATAAATTAGCGTTCCACTGTTTCAAGAGAACGTTCTCTGAAACCGTACCAAGTTTTAATTATTAACACGGTGAGAAAGAAGAAGAGGGGGGTGGGGGAGGGGTGGAGAAGATATTGTACTGTAGACGAAATCAGGGCAAATACCAATTACTGTGTGGAATGCTTGAGTTTAATGGTTTTATAATGACTAATGTACAGGGTGTCCAGAGAAAAGTAAAAGAAAGTCCAGGCTTCGTTCTCAAAAACTAGAAGTCCAGATTGGCTGATTCTTTTTTTGTTAAGCTTCTAATAGCATGCGGATTTGTTCTGTATGATTTTTTTGATCATTCGGCGGAGGCTCGGCGAAGACCGGCGGACGGTATTTTTAATGTTTTCATGGCTATTCCAACCTGTTTCGTATTGCTACTCATGTTTTGGCCATTTTTCAATTCAATTTTAAAATTTTATTAAAATTTGGTACAATCGGCGGAGAAACCCGGCGAACGCCATAACTCAGCCAAGTATTGATATTTTTTTTCCAAACAAAAACTAACATTTTCTATGTTTCTTTGCCATAAAAGTGGACTAAATTTGGTAATTTTTAAACTTGTGCACAAAAATCGGCGGAGAGCACGTTTGTCGGCGGAGGCCATAACTCTGTTCGAAGTCAATATTTTGACTTCAATCAAAAAACATTATGCTTGTATGAAAATCTTCTTTAAAATGATAGAGTTTGACAAAATTTAAACAAAAATTAAAGAATCGGCGGAGGGTAGGTTTATCGGCGGAGGCCATAACTTCGTTCAAAGTCAATACTTGAACTTGAAGCAAAAACCATTACGTTCGTATACCAATTGTCTTGGTACATATTAGTTAAGTTAGTAAATTTTTACAAAAAATATCTTGTTGATACAAATAAGGTTGCGGTCTCTTGACGTTAAAAGCAAATGTGTAACAAAATTTCTTTATGTTAAAGAAGTATCACATACAAACACACTGTTTTTTGTTTGAAATAAAAATATTGACTTTCAACAAATTTATGGCCTTCGCCGATAAACATACTCTCCGCCGATTTCTCAGTTTTTATTTGAAGGCAATCAAATTTTATTATTTTAGAGGATATTCACATACAAACATGATTATTTTTGTTTGAAGTCAAAATATCGACTTTGAACGAAGTTATGCCCTCCGCCGATAAACGGGGTCTCCGCCGATTCTTCCGTTTTTGTTTAAAATTTGTAAAAATTTTTTAATCTAAAGAAGATCTTCATAAAAACATAATGGTTTTTGTTTCAAGTCAAAATATGGACTTTGAACAATGTTATGGCCTCCGCCGATAAACAGAGTCTCCGCCGATTCTTTAATTTTTGTTTAAATTTTGTCAAACTCTATCATTTTAAAGAAGATTTTCATACAAACATGATTATTTTTGTTTGAAGTCAAAATATTGACTTTGAACAGAGTTATGGCCTCCGCCGATAAACGTGCTCTCCGCCGATTTTTGTGCACAAGTTTAAAAATTACCAAATTTAGTCCACTTTTATGGCAAAGAAACATAGAAAATGTTAGTTTTTGTTTGGAAAAAAAATATCAATACTTGGCTGAGTTATGGCGTTCGCCGGGTTTCTCCGCCGATGGTATCAAATTTTAAGAAAATTTTAAAATTGAATTGAAAAATGGCCAAAACATGAGTAGCAATACAAAACAGGTTGGAATAACCATGAAAACAGTAAAAATACCGTCCGCCGGTCTTCGCCGAACCTTCGCCGAATGATCAAAAAAATCATACAGAACAAATCCGCATGCTATTAGAAGCTTAACAAAAAAAGAATCAGCCAATTTGGACTTCTAGTTTTTGAGAACGAAGCCTGGACTTTCTTCCACTTTTCTCTGGACACCCTGTATTGTAGAGTATAGTTATGTTCTTAGTCAGCACTTCTGACCATGTTCGTAAAATGAGGTAGGGTTAACGGTAGGCTTTATGGTAGGGCTAAAGTAAGGACATAGTAAAGATAAAAATAAGATTATCTTTAGAAGGCTAGGACAAGCCTAGGACAACCTATAGCAGAGCTAGAGTAGGGCTAGAGCAGAGCTAGAGACCGGCAACGGCTAGAGCTAGGGCAGGGTCAGGAAGCAGTGAAGTTATAGGTAGTAGCAGAGATAAACTATAAGGTAGGAATTTAAAAAAAAGGTAAGATAGAAGTAGGGTAAGGGTAAAGTTAAAAGCAGAGGTAAAAGTATTATAGAAATGTGGATAGGGGTAGGGGTAAAGAAAAAACATAGTTTAAAAATGTTTTAGGCTTCATAAAGAGACAATTTTAACGATTTTTCTAGCCATATCTTACCATATGGTCAGAACAATCGTAAAATTGAGCTTTTTTTGAAGCCCAAAACACTTCCAAATCAAATTTGAGGTACTTGCAGTATCTAAATTTGTTAATCTATCTCAATATCTTGTCATTCTTTTCGGCTTTCTTTGCGATTTTTAAAATTTTCCCCAATTTTTCAACATGATAGCCAATTATTTTTTCAATTTTATAACCTTTATACCTATAAATCAACCAATTTTTTAAACATTATCTCACCAGACCACCCCACATTATCCATGAAAAGTGTTTTTTTAAATGATCAAACTCTCTTTTATTTAATGTCAAAAGCCCTTCTTTATAATATTTATTATGTATAGCAGGCAGTGAAGTTGGAAGAGTATTATGACTTCACTTCAAAGTATTATTTTTGAATTTGATTGTAATAGTTGTTTGATCAGTTAGGTTGTAGTTATTATAGTTTTTGACTGTTGGAGGGTAGTAAAGGGGAGGGGGGAGGGTGATTAGAGTAAGGATAGAAGAAGGGTAAAGCTGAATGTTTAGGGTAGGAGTAAAAGTAAGAACATGGGTCGGGGTAGGGTTAAAAAAAGGAGGGGAGAGGGAGTAATCAGCAATTTTTTTTTAAAAAAAAGCAAAAAAAAATTTTTTTTTAATTTTTAACATGATCCCCTTATCAAAAAGGTTTTAAAAGACCTGAAAAAATTTAACCTTCCCCCCCCCCCCCAAATGGTAAATAATAATATTTTTTTCACAGCCTCTGAAGAGTAACCCCCCCCGAACCTCTACGCGCCCTACCCTACGCTGTCCTACCCTACCTCTACCTCTTTTTCTCCAGCCATAAGGTCCAAAATCACCCCCACCCTACTCCAAAATCAATACCATAACCCCTACTACCCATCCTAATACGATCCAAGCACTTGCAAAACCTTAATGCTATTATGCGATTCCTGAACTCCGGCCGCTCTTTGTTTGTTTGTAGGGGAATTTTTGTCTCCACGCAGAAAAATTGGAAGATATTTTAAACAAAAAAAAACCGAAGTGGGTGCTGTTTATGTCCTCCGGGAAGGGGAAGAAAGGCGACGAACACGAAGACGCCCTGTTGGGGCCGCGGGGGAACATCAAACACAAATTCCTACAAGGTGTTCCACGTGAAAAAAAACGAAACTTGGCATGACGGGAGGGGAGAAATGTATGGGAATTTGGAAAGGGGAACGTAAATGAGGGAGGGGGAGGTGGCAGGGGGGAGTTAGGAGTAGAGAAGGCAGGTCATAAGGAATGAAAAGGTAGGAAGAAGGGAATGGAAAAGGTTGGCCAAAAAAGGTTTGAGGAGTTTAGGTAAACAAGCAAAAACATGACAAATTATAGAATAATAATGCTTTTTGGAAGCTTTGAGAGTAGGGTAAGGTAAGGTAGGTGAAGTAGGGTAGGTGAGGTAAAGTAAGGTAGAGCAGGAAAAGCAGCGTGAATTAATGAAAAGCAAGGTCGGAGTAGATCTTGAGACTTGCGCAAGGACAAAGCCGACCAGAAAAATTTTGGTTTCTGGAAGATGGGGAGGGGGTAATTTAAAAAAGATTTTTTTCTAAAATTAACAGAACGACCCAAGCTTAAAATTTTTCAAAAATTTTTTTTTTTAATTTTTTGGAGGGGCAAGGGTTGGTCAAAATAATGTTTTTTTTGCTCAATCTAGTACTCTAAAATCATTTTTTTTTCACGCCTTTTTAAAAAATGAAAAAACAAATATCTTCTTTTCGAAACAATGTTTTTTTTTCAATTTTAATCCGCCTTACAAATTTTTTAACTTTCCCTTTTTAAATTGTAATTTAGGCCTGCCTTGAACTTTATATTCCTTTTTTTCAAATTCTAACCCCAAAACATTTTCAGCCAGACCAATTGGTGGTGATTTAATGGCAACTCGGCCAGCCTATGACCCGTACCTGGACAACTTGCGCAGCCCATTGATCAAGGACGAGAGTGATGGAAAGACCCTGCGTTTGCGATTCGACGTAGCCCAATACCGACCAGAGGAAGTGACCGTTAAGACTGTGGACAACCGGCTTTTGGTGCACGCCAAGCACGAGGAAAAGAGCTCTTCGCGAACGGTGTTCAGAGAGTACAATCAGGTGAGTTTTACGCTGTTTATCGGGCATGGGTAAGGCAAAAGAGCAACATTAGGACCATGATAGTTCGGGCTAAGGCAAGGAATTCGCAAAAGTGGAGCAAGGGTAGAGCCAGAGTAAGCCGTGTTAGCTGGGATAGGACCAGGGTAAGAAAGAATAAAGCTATGGTAAGCCAACAGCAGGACTAAAGCTTACCTAGGGCAGAGCCAGAAGGTTCAGGGCACCGCTAGGGACAGCCTAGGAAAAAAAAATTAAAAAATAATTTTTTTTAATTAAATTTTTTTCAGGAATTCATGCTGCCTCGCGGCACCAACCCCGAACTGATCAGCAGCACGCTCAGCACGGACGGCGTTCTCACGGTGGAAGCCCCATTGCCACAATTGGCCATTCAGCAATGAAACCAAGCTTAAATTTGCTATACTTTCAAACTTTAATTGGTAAAATACGGAAAGTGAAACTCGTAAAATTTTTTAAATTTAAAAAATTTTAATTTCGACATTTTATTAAGCAAGATCTTCTATTCGTATTTTACCACCAAGTTTGAGTGTTTTTTCCACTTAAAAAAATATTGAAAACATTTCTACGCTCTTTTGCCTTAGTCCTGGTACTAGAATCGATACTATAAGGTTTTGTTGAGTACAAGGTTGTAATTACATTCATTTCTCCGTTCAACTTATTATTTTATTATTAATAAATTTGTTTCAAAGAGTTGATTTTGAATTAATAAAAGGCTTTTAACTTGTAATTTAACATCGAAATACAGTAATAAAGACCGAGATCACAGAGAATTAAGATTAGAGTTGAATATTATGACTATAATAAATATAGTAACATTGACAACAATCAAAAGAAATTTTTAAAGTTAAAAAAAATTTAAAACAAAAAAAATTTTTTTTAATTGAAATTTTTTTTTCAAATTTTTACTTTAAAAATATCAAAAGTAGGCAAAAATCGTCAAAAATGACAATATTTAAAAAACCGCGTATTAAAAAACAAAGAAATTAAGAAATGTAAGGTATAGAATAACAGTAAGATAGAAGAGATAACAATAATATGACAACAAAAGCATAGACACGTATAATAGTATTGTAATAAGGTCATAAATTGAAGCTGCAAGACACGTTTTTAAGAGAAATAAGCCGATTTTTATAAGTTAAACCACGTTTTTTAAATTAATATAGATATTGTAGCAGAGTTTAGCTTCACAAGCTATTAGTAGCGTTTTAGGTTGCATTTTTTGGAGGGTAGTAATAGTGTTTTAGGTAGAAGCTTTAAAGGTAATAATAGTGTTTTAGACTTTAGCTTTTGAAGCTATATGTAGTGTTTGAGATAGCAAATTTAGAAGCTATTACTAGTGTTTTAGTTATCATCTTTAGAAGGTAATAATAGTGTTTTAGGCCGTAGCTTCAAATGCTATTAGTAGTGTTTTAGGTAATACCTTTAAAAGATAATAGTAGTGTTTTAGGTAGTAGTAGATGTTGTTTAACACGCAATAAAAAACCAAATAACACAAACCATAGTAAAATCAAGTAGCTTCAGTGATAAGCTTCTCATCGCCACGATGAGTACGAGTAAATCGATAGGATGGGGCTTTGCTCGCCTTTTTCAACTTTCTCAAACAACTCAAAATTTTCGCTGATAAGAACAGAAGACTCGACTGAAAATCAAAAAAAAAATTAAATCGACCAAAAAACACGGAGAAAGCTGAAATCGACCAAAAGTATCAAAATCAGCCAAAAACCTACCTCACTAACAATAAAACAAACAGAAAACACGCGAATAACGCTCAAATGGCGTAGAAGCCAGTCGGTAAACGGTTGATAACATCCATTCTCAAAAAACATCTTCGTTATATTGGTTTTACCACAGTTATCACGTGAGGTTTCACCAAAAAACGGAGCTTTACAACAAGAATCCGGCACGAATCTATTCTTTGGCCAACGGGCTGCATAGTACCAGTCGTCGTAGCCTTCTACACCACAGCATTCCAACTAAAATTTGATTGATATTGAAGTCAAACAGTCTATGTTCCGTATTTTACATTTTTAAATCAAAAAAGTTGAGTTTTAAACCATTCTTTGTAAGAAAGATAAAATTTGGCTGATCTGATTGATACCTATAACAACTTACCGTCTCCTGCATGTAGTCCCAAGTCAATCTGAAACTGCTTTCTGGTCCATAATCAGTAACAAAAGTTCGATTGATAGTGGAATACAAACTGTGTCTAATTCGTTCTCTAGCTAGGTCCAAGTGCAAAAAGCCAACAACTAAGGTCACGACTTGAACCAAGAACAAGATCACAACAAATAGAATGTACTGAAACAAAAATAGCCTTGAATACCGTAAATTCTACATCAAACCCTGCACAAGAATCTTCTCTATCTTTTAAACGCAATATCTTTGTCAAACTAATACCTAAAATAAAAAAACCATTAACTTACCACAGAAATCAGCCATTTTGAAGCCAAAGAAGCTCCGACGTAGCCAATCAATGCCACTATCATTATCATACATCCAGCACAAACACACAAACCCGCTGTAGACATTGCGGAATAACTAGAAGGTGCCAACGCCGCATAAGTATGTTGTTCCGTGTAGAGATGGATTCCAATGGCTAAAAATCCGGCTCCCATCAACTAAAACAAAGTTTTTACTAATTTTAAATTAAATTTTATATCAAAAGCAAGTTTTTGAAGCTTTTCTAATCTTTCTTATAACTACTAAACGTTGTTCCATCAAAAACAATGCTGTATAAGAGCTAGAAAATATTGTTTTAGACCTTCTACAACTGTAAAAAAAAATCTTAAGTTACCTTCACTTTTTAAGCTCCTAAACCTTTTTCCTTAAAAATTAATATCAAATCGACCTTTAACTTTGAAAAAACATCATTTTCCAGCCATAACCAGCAATCTAAACATTGAAAACAAACAAGAAAACAAAAAACTTACAAAATACACGACATTGCTGAAGTAGAACCGACGACGGTTGATATTCAAAACATCGCTTGTGCCCATTACTCTTGACCCTAACACTGCGAGAACGGTGAGAGTTGGAAAAACATTCGCAAACCTCAAGGCCGGCCACTTTTCATTGAAAAAATAACACAGCGATCTTTGCGGACATTTCGTTCCTCTTCGCGACGAAGTGTCACAAATTTATCGGAAAAGTGAGGATTGGGTTGGAAATGGGCTAAAATTGGAAAGAAAGGCTTGGATGAGGATATATTGAATATAAAATGTCATTTCAAATATATTTTGCAAAATAAACCTTAAGTTTGATAAAGATATGTTAAAAAAGCAACAACAACATAGCAAATTGAAAACAATATCAACAAAAACAAAGCAATAGATCTCGATAATAAAAAACTAATAAACAACACCTTTATAAAGCTAAAACCTATCTAAATATAGATTAGAAATGCCATAAATCTAGCAGAAAGATCAAGTAAACCATGATTTTTGAACGTGCCAAACCATACTTTATGGCCGCTAGCCGAACAACTGTTTTGATCTTTAAAAATACTTGATACTTTTTATGTCGCTTCTTTTCTGGCCTACAGTGATCACTCACAAAGGGTAAAAGTGTGAGTTTTTGGGAGGTTTTATTACTGTAGTGAACACTCAGCTATAGTAATATTGAAGTTAGCAGGTGATAGTGCTGGTCAGGCGGGTAGGCTGATTGGTAAGATAGTCAAATTAATAGATTTTTAAGTGTAAAATACGCGTTCGGGCAAAGCTGTCTGTTAATATTGTATTATTTTTATGTATTTTTAATAATATTAGAAGCCAAAAAAAATTTAAGCCTAAAAAGTAAACAATTAAAAAACCGATTTTAAGCCTAAAAAGTCATTTTTTAAACTAAAAGTCAATTTTAAGCCTGCAAACTCATTTTCAGCAAAGGAATCAATTTTAGACCTAAAAGTCAAAGTATAAGCTTAAAAACCAGATTTTAAGCCTAAAAAACAACTTTAGGCCGAAAAAAAAACAATTTTAAGCTTGCAAAGATCATTTAACCCTTGTAAACAATTTACTTTATTTTACTTTACTTTACTTACGCTTAAAATCAATTATCAGCCTGAGAATTCAATTTCAGACACGGAATTAATTTTAAACCTAAAAATGAATTTTCTACCTTCCATAGGCTTGTAAATGGGGGCCATACCGAATGTAAGGCGTCCTCTCTGACCCTAAAATAAAAATGGCAAGAACTTTCTTTAAAAAACAAAAAATGGCAAGAACTTTCTTTACAAGGCAAAAATGCATGAACTTTGTTTACAACATGAAAAACAGCAAGAACTTTCTTTAAAAAACAAAAAATGGCAAGAACTTTCTTTACAAAACTAAAAATTTCGAGTTCATGTTTGCCTACCTGCCGGCTTCTTTTAACTTTGCTTTTCCCCGCTTCTGGCTAGGACCAAGCCCCTTTTCTTTCAAGTCTAATCTTCAGAAGCATTTTCAGGCCCAAACATGTTTTTCCAAAGCCGTTGTTTTCAAAAATTACCTAACTATCTATTTGCTTTATTTTCCTCCAAATCTAGACTAGACGGCTTAAGAAACCCATAAAGAGGCGTAGACAAATCAACAAGACATGTTTGTTTGTTTTTGGGATTTAATTTGCGTATGTACACAATTTAAAACACGAATTGAATTGATCGCTTTGGCTCCAGGAATTTCATTTGAAAATGACCAGACGAAGAGAAAGAACCAGCCGGCTTTTTCTTGGCTCTTTCTCGACTTATTTTTGAGTTTTCTTGATCTTTTGGCAGGCGAAAAACGTAAATATGACATTATACGTTATGATATTGGGGTAAGGCAAGGTTAGAGAACAGACGAACAAGGCTTAGAGTAGACATAAACCACAAGCCGAGCCGGACCGATTTTCAGGCTCAGACCGCCGCCCGAACAGTTTAGGAACGTCACGCCTGATTTTTTGTCTAAGCCCGGCCAGTCGTCTACGTCTAGTTTAGAGTAGTGCAAGAGTAGGGTAATCATACGCTTATCGAAAAGCAGATGAAGACATGGGTAATTTGTTGCTAGGGAAGTATACGTTTAGGACCGGACCGGCCTTGAGCAACATTTCGATCTGGCCGAGCCCGAAAATTGAGTTGGGCCCAGCCCATTTCTGATGTCTAGCTCTGGGCTAGGGCTTTGGGCTAGGGCTCTGGGCTAGGGCTCTGGGCTAGGGCTCTGGGCTAGGGCTCTGGGCTAGGGCTCTGGGCTAGGGCTCTGGGCTAGGGTTCTGGGCTAGAGCTCTGGGCTAGGGCTAAGACATTTCAAAATTTTCGTGTACATGCCTTTTCAAACATAACTTGTTTTTGTAGCCGTCGAAAATACAACTTATGCCATACCTTTTTATACATACTCACGGGTTTTTCCGAGTTTTTTTTAGCCAAAAATAGCAAAAAAAAGAATACTACCCTATAATATGTACAATTTTCATTTTTTTGTAGTTTCTGTTATAGCATAATGATACAGAAAACACATTATTTATAATATTATAATAGTTTGTCATCTTGTAAGCTATAAAACGAGAAAAAAAGAGTTGTAAGGCCGATTTGAGTACATTTTTGTAATAGAAATGACATTTTTTTTCTTTTCTTATGATTAAAACATGCTTTTTTCTACGTGACTGTTCTTGCCAATTTTTGTTTTGTAAAGAAAGTTCTTGTTATTTGGTGCTTTGTAAAGAAAGTTCTGGCCATTTTAATTTTTGTAAAGAAAGTGCTTGCTATTCCTTGTTTTGTAAAGAAAGTTCTTACCAATTTTTGTTTTGTAAAGAAAGTTCTTGCCATTTTTTGTTTTGTAAAGAAAATTCTTGCTATTTTTAGTTTTGTAAAGAAAGTTCTTGCCATTTTTTGTTTTGTAAAGAAAATTCTTGCCATTTTTAGTTTTGTAAAGAAAGTTCTTGCCAGTTTTTGTCTCTTCAAACACCACAAAAATCGTTGACACGTCCTTCAATACCTATTAATTTTAGCAAAAATGACTTTTAACCCGCGCTTTGATGATTTATATTGTACATTAGCCATTGAATTTGCGGTTTCCGGAACATTTTTCAAATTTTTTAACCTTGTTTTACTTTCTCTAGCCTTTGTTTAACCTTGTTCTACCTTTAATATGTTCGTTTGTGGCGTTTTTTTAAAATTGAGCGTGATTCTTCACCTTGATTTTTGTTAAATTTTTTAAAGTTTTTTGGTTTTTCTACGTATATTGTGAAAGGTAAAAGGTGTAAAGTTCTAGTTTAATGACCGTTTTAGCCCAGACCCTAGTCCGCGAGCCTTAGCCGGGAGCCTTAGCACGAGAGCCCTAACCCGAGAGCACTAGCCCAGAGCCTTAGCCCTAGCTCGTGAACACTAGCCCAAGAGCTCTAGCCTAGAGCTCTAGACCATAGCTCTAGCTCAGAGCTTTAGCCCGAAAGCCCCAGTCCGAAAGCCCTAGCCCTAGATCTCTAGCCCGAGAGCCCTAGCCCTAGCCCAGAGCCGTAGCTCTAGAGCTTTAGCCTGAGAGCCCTAACCCAGGAGCCGTAGCCCGGGAGCCCTAGTCCAGAGCCTTAGCTCAAGAGTTCTAGCCCTAGCCCCAGAGCCCTAGCTTAGAACCCTAGCCCAGAATCATAGCCCTAAGCCCTAGCCCAAAGCCCTAGCCCGAAATTTGTAGCCCAGAGCCTTAGTCCTAGCCTATTATGCCTTGCCTTACCAGACATACTTTTACCTCTTCCCCTCCCCCCCCCCTCCTCTCGTGTTATCAACCCCCTTAATAAAGCCCTACTTCCAGCTTATTATGTCTTACCTTACCACACTTTTTTTACCCCTCCCGCTTCTCGCCGCTTTTATTAATAAAGCTCTAGCCCAAGCTTATTATTTTTCTGCCCCCCCCCCTTATAAGACACTTCACTCCTCCCTCCATTCTCCCCTCCCCCCCTCTTTTTTTTATAAGTTTTTAGCTCTAAATTAATACGTTGTACCTTACCAGACAACTTTTTTTACCCCACCCCCATTTCCACTTCTAATAATCACGTTGATTTGTCTCAAAAATTGTGATTTCTCCTCGTGAAATTGCACTTTTTCGCTAAATTCTCAGCCACTTCGAAAAAGTGGGCGGAGCTTAGTTTCGATTAAAAATTTGAAAAAGAAACAGCATTTGGGCCGATCAAACTGTTTAATTTCAGGCCGAATTGAGTTGACCGAAAAAGGGAAAAGATACATGGAAAGCCGACGGCCAGGTGAGTAAATTTTTAAAATTTTATTTGATGCTATGACGTTTTAAAATGTTGTCGGATGAGGGTGGTGGCAGGTGGTCATACAGTGGTTTTTAAGATTTGTTGGAGGGAAAATTAAAAAAAAACTTTGGGAACAGGTTTTAGTAAGAGTAGGGTAAGGGTAGGAAAAACGTTTTGCCGAGACCGGACTGGACCTGAGTAAAGAAATAGAGCCAGTACGGACCTGTCTAAAAATGTTAAACTGGACTGGAAAAAAAGATTAAATCCGGTCCCGGTCTGTCTCAACACTGGGTAGGGAAGGTATTTACCTTATGCGTAGGTAGGGTTATCGTAAGCGTGAGGTACTTGGATATTAGGGTAAACATAAAACCAAGGCAGGGTAATGTGAGGTAGTACATAATAAGTAGCTTAGGTTAGTTTAGGGTAGGGTAGGATAGGGTAGGGTAGGGTAGGGTAGGGTAGGGTAGGGTAAGGTAGGGTAGGGTAGGGTAGGGTAAGGTAGGGTAGGGTAGGGTAGGGTAGGGTAGGGTAGGGTAGGGTAGGGTAGGGTAGGGTAGGGTAGGGTAGGGTAGGGTAGGGTAGGGTAGTTACAATTGCTGTTACACCAGAGAAAGTTCTTTTACTTTTTGAGTGTTTTTTGGCGGCATTACAACAACATAATTCTGTCTCAAACGTCTTCGTTGCTCTCAAAAAAAGGGTAATTAGTAAATTACAAGCCATCTGTTTAAACTCATCAAAATAAAATGAACTCTTTTTAAATTTGAAGTTAAAATTTAATTTTCGACTTGGGAATTTAGGTCTAAGACGTACTTTCTTAACCTACTTGAATATATATATAGACGTGGAATGTCATTTTTCACTCCGTTTTCCTTTAAAATCGCCTTTCATTTTGAAAATATGGCCGCCAAAAACAAGAGATTATAAAGATGGAAGAGAAAGAATAAGATTAGTCGAAAAGACATCGGAATGCACTCAAAATGACCTTAGAAATTTTCCAATGAAATTGCATCAGATATTGAAATGGTTTACTTTATTTTAAGTATTCGGGTTTGTTTAAATTCTATTCCTTACCTTTTTTAACACTATTGTTGCTCTACCCCTAAAAATAAGTTAGTCTAGACTATCCCAAGTTGTGCTCTACCCCAGCTTTATCTTAGGTCTACCCTGGTCTTATTTGGCTCTAGGTTAGCCCTTTTCAGACTTTAGACCAATTTTATTCTTTTTCTGGCTTTTCAATAGCCTTACTTTAGCCTAATTACAGACGTATTTTAGCCCATATTATGGACTTTGTCTAGGTCTACTTCAAACTTCCTATAGCTTTATCCTAGCTTAAGCCTTATCTTAGTCCTTGTTGAGTCTTAATCTAGCCTTTATTTGCGCCTACCTCAGTTTTTTTGTAACTTTGTTTTAGCCTCTATCTAGCTCTATTCCAGGCCTACCTCAAGATAATTCTAGCCTTTTCTATTTGTTTACTGTAGTTTTACTTTAGCTCTTTTTTGCCATATTTCATCTCTAGCTCTGTCTTAGGCTTTACTTAATTATTAAAAAGTTTTTTGAAAAAGTTTCATTTTTCAAACTTGTTATCAATTTGGTGTAGCATTGTTGTTGTGAACGCAAAAGTCAAAGGTCGCGAGCAATTCGATCAATTATAATTCGAACAGTCACAAAAGTAGTTTTCGTCTGATTTTGCTGTAATTTCGAGTTCATAAGTTGTATTCGATTACTGAAGTAGAAAGCAATAATAAGGAGTACTGTAACTTACTTTTAAAAAGCAAGTGACTTAAAAATGGCAATTACATAAAAAACACAATAGTGAAAATTGATAGTACTAAGCGTACTGTATAGTATAAAAATGATAGTACTAAGTGTACTGTATAGTATAAAAATGATAGTACTAAGTGTACTGTATAGTATAAAAATGATAGTACTAAGTGTACTGTATAGTATAGAAATGATAGTACTAAGTGTACTGTATAGTATAGAAATGATAGTACTAAGTGTACTGTATAGTATAGAAATGATAGTACTAAGTGTACTGTATAGTATAGAAATGATAGTACTAAGTGTACTGTATAGTATAGAAATGATAGTACTAAGCATGCAGTAGAGTACGAAAATGTGTAATACTAAGTTTATTGTAGCTTGTAGAACACCCTAGTACTAAACCAATACAAATGTCATTTCAGGAGTGTTATGTTCAACCCGATTCAACCTAGCTTTAATATGTTTCCTGGGATGTGTAATTGTTTATGCTTGCCGAAGTAATCTCAGCTTTGCACTAGTATGTATGGTAAATAGTACTGCTATCGATGATGGAGTCCAGACAAAGATCTCAGCTTGTGGCAGGATTGCACAGACTAATACCGTGGATAAAGTAAGTTTTTTTTGAAAAATTTTAAATTCATTTTTACTTTTAGGCTTAGGGTTAACTTTTTAGGCTTCAGTTTAACTTTTTAGGCTTAAAATTGCTGGCTTAAGCAAAAATTTGATTTTGAGGTTCAAACTTGCATTTTTAGGCTTAAAGCTAATTTCGTATGCCTAAAATTGGTTATTAAGCCCAAAAAAATGTTTTGAAGCTTAAAATTAATTTTTCTATCTCAAAATTGATTTATTTTCTTAAAAATGATTTTTAAGCTTAAAAATGGGCTTTTAGGCTTAACTATAATTTTTTAGGCCTAAAATTCAAGTTTAAACAAAATTCTTTCTTATTTTTTAAATTTTAGGCTTAAAATTAGTATTTTAAGCTGAAAACTGATTTTTTAAAAATTCAGAATTGATTTCTTTGGCTTTAAATTGATCTCTAGGCTTATACTTTTTCTCTTAATTAATTATATTTCGACTTTAGGCTTAAATTTAATTTTTAGGATAATTAGTAAGCTTATAAAAATTTAAACTCACAGTGCCAAACTAATATCCTTTATACTATTTTTAACTTAAATAATTTATTTTTTAATGTTTTAGTCTTTCCATAAAATTTATGACCGGCACCACAACCACAGACACATTTCTGATAAGACTCTTTTTTACATATAAGCCTGTCTTGTTAACACTTTGATATGGCTTTTTTTAAAACGACCCTTGTGAAGAATTATTGATCGTTAGTGATAAGAAAAGCGGTTTAAAGTTCGAGAAAAAATGGCTGTAATTCCGTGTTTTCGGTGTGATTTTTCGCTGATATGTTGTGTTTTGGATTAGAAAACATGCAAATTGGAATGATAAAGCATTTGAAAATAACAATTTAAGCCTAGAAATAAGTTTTTCGAGTGAAAACCAAAATGTAGCCCTAAAAAATAATTTTGGACTTTTAAAACTAATTTTTTCAATCATTTATTATTATTACAAAAATCAATTTAAAAACTAAAAAGTCAATTTAAGCCTAAAGGCTGATTTTAAGCCCAGAGTTACTCTTAAGTCTAAAAAACAATATAAGCCTAGAACATCAATTTTAAGCCTAAAAATTAATTTTAAACTTGTTAAACCAATTTTAAGCCTAAAACATCAATTTTAAGCCTAAAAATCGATTATAAGCCTAGAAAATATTTTTGACTTAAAAAAATCTTACGTAGATCTTAAAATTTTATGTTAAGCCTAAAAAGTCATTTTGAAACTAAAAAATCGTTTTAAACCTAGAAAATAAATTTTAAGCCTAAAATAACTTTTAATGTTTAAATTTAGTTTTTATGAATTAAAGTTGCTTTTAGGCTTAACATTTAGTTTTTAAGTTTCATAATGCATTATAATGGGTTTATAGGCTTATAATTTTTTGTTCTATTATAGGTTTATTGTTTTTCTAAGTCAAAAAATTATTGAAAATGGTTTTTCTAGGCTTAAAATTAACATAAAACAACATTTTTAGATAGAAGGCGAGTTTGCCTGGTCAAAATCAACCCAAGGTGCCCTCCTCAGTGCCTTCTTCTGGGGCTATACCTCATCCCAGATCCTTGGTGGTCAACTCGCAACTATCATTGGTGGCCGATATGTAGTAGGAGCAGCAGCTATTGTCAATGTCATAGCAACACTGGCTAGTGTTGCGGCGGCTCGCACCAACATAATGTTCTTCATTGGCCTCAGGGCTGTACTAGGTGCTTGTCAGGGAGCAATGTTCCCAGCGATGCAACAAATGTGGTCAGTCTGGGCCCCACCCATGGAACGGTCGCTGTTGACTGGCGTAAGCTTCGCTGGTGCTCAGGTTGGAAATGTCATGGTGATGCCACTAAGTGGCATATTATGCAAATATGGCCCATTTGGGGGTTGGCCTAGCATTTTTTATGTGTTAGGATTAGCTGGACTAGTCTGGGCGGTGTTATGGTTCTATTGTGTGGCAGATAGTCCAAAGACGCATAGGCAGATCACTGATGAGGAGAGGGAGTACATTGTGGACAGCCTAGCTGAGAACAATGGGCATGAAAGCGAAATTGTAGGTTTTGATTTGTAAAGAAAGTTTTTGCCATTTTTGTCCTGTAAAGAAAGTTCTTGCGGTTTTTTGTTTTGTAAAGAAAGTTTCTGCCATTTTTTGTTTTGTAAAGAAAGTTCTTGCAATTCTTTTTTTTGTAAAGAAAGTTCTTGCTCTGTTTTTTGTTAAGAAAGTTTTTGCAATTATAATTTTAGAAGCGTTCAGTACCCTGGAAGTCAGTACTAACTTCAATGCCAGTTTGGGCTTGTTTTGTTGGTCATTTTGCCGGAGATTGGGGTGCTTACATGATGGCTACAAGTCTTCCTTTATACATGAATGATGTTCTTGGATATGATCTTACTTCTGTGAGTTTAAATTTTAAAATAGGCTTAGGCTTAAACTCAGGCTTAGGCTCAGGCTCAGGCTCAGGCTCAGACTTAGGCTCAGGCTCAGGCTCAGGCTCAGACTTAGGCTCAGGCTCAGGCTCAGGCTCAGGCTCAAGCTCAGCCTCAGGCTCAGGCTTAGGCTCAGGCTCAGGCTCAGACTCAGGCTCAGGCTCAAGCTCAGGCTCACCCTTATTCTTAGGCTTTAATGTATGGCTTACGTTGAGACACAAACTAAGCCTAAGGTTAAGACTAATACTAAAGCTTACGCTCAAGGCTCACTTTTAGGATTAAACTCAGAACCAAGTATAGGCTCAGTTTTAGACTCATGCTTAGGCTTATAATCAAGCTCAGGTTTAGGTTTACGCTCAACCTTAGGCTTATTCGTAAGATTTATATATAGGCTTAGAATTAGTTTTAAATTTAGGTCTTAAGTTTTGATTTACTTTTAAGCTTAAGCTTAGATGTAAGTTTTGTTTTTGTTGTATATTATCTTCATTTCATTTCAGATGGGGTTTATTTCTTCAATTCCGTATATTTTATACTTTGTTTGCATTAATTTGGGTGGAATTATGGCTGATTCTCTTCGAAATTCGGGTAGATTATCGACTGTCAACACTCGACGGCTGGCACAACTGTTTGGTAAGTATATTTTCAAACTTTACTTTAAAATTTCGCACTTTTTAAAAATTTTTATAATTTTTTTCAATTTTTTTGAAGTTTTAAAATTTTTAAAAATTTCAAAATTTTTTTAAAAATTTTAATTTTTTAGCCCTAGGAAGCCAAGCAATCTTCCTCCTCCTAATAGGCACTGCCAATTGTGGCCAAGAGACCCTAGTCATCATCTACCTTACCCTAGGTATTGGCCTCTCAGGTCTACAGTATGCTGGCGTTGTAGTCAATTACCTTGACATAGCACCATCGTTCGTTGGTCCGATCTTTGGTCTAGGTAACACGATATCATGTGCTGCTGGTATCTTATCACCACTGGTTATGGGTTGGTTAACACCGACTGGTGCTAAGGAGGAATGGCAGATGGTGTTCATGGTAACGGCCGCTATTTTGGCCGTTGGTGGACTGTTCTATGCTCTGTTTGCTGATGGTGAAGTTCAGGATTGGGCGAGGTCAGATAATAAGACAAGGATACTACAGGAGCCGTTGTTGATTGAAAATGGCATTGATGAGAAAAATGGAAAAGTTCCTTTGAGTTGAGCTAATATTGTAGTCTTTTAGCTTTATAATGTACTGTAACTTATACAAAATAATAGAAACTAAAACTACAGTATGAAACTACGTTACCGTACCCTACCCTACTCTACCCTACCCTACCTTACAGTACCCTACCCTACAATACCTTATTGTAACCCACTCTAACTTGCAGTACTTTACTCTACTCTACCCTAATATTAGGTACTGTAGAGTACAATAACGTAATACAAGTTAAAGTAAATGTAACTACAGTACTCTAACGGTCAGTTTTACAAGCACTATAAAAAGCTTGGCATACTCTTTACCATACCAATCATTCTTAACGTGTACTATATAATATATTATACATATTCATGAAAATGTTGTTACCTACTATACATACATATGAAGATATTCAATAAAATATTAAAAATCACTTTGGCTTTGACTGTACCAAAATTTTTAAAGAAAGTCCTTGTCATTTTATGCTTTCTAAAGAAAGTTTTTGCCTTTTTTGCTTTGTAAAGAAAGTTCTTGCAATTTTTTGTTCTGTAAAGAAAGTTGTTATTATTTTTTGTTTTGTGCCACTTTACACTGTATGAAACCTTCTAAAAATTCTTCTACATCAAAAATAATAAAACCGTCATCAAATTGGATAATAAAATTCGGAGCTTTTCTTAATGTTTTATGTTGTACTAAAGGTAATTGCACACATTTCGCGTGATTTTATGACTATATTATACTTACAGGTGGTCCCCGCGACATATGTCAAATGAAAGACAAAAGGCGTTAATTGAATAATTGCGATCTGGGCGTGTGACCGTTAATTAAGTCTAGGCAGGGTAAATTTCGGGATGTGTAAAATATATAAAATCTAGCCGTAGCCCAAAGCCCTAGCCCGGTGTCCTAGCCAAGAGACCTAGTCCAAAGGCCTCGCGCAGAGCCCTAGCCCAGAGCCCGAGCACAGAACCTCAGTCCCGAGCCCTAGCCCAGAGCGCTAGCTCAGAGCCCTAGCCTTAAGTCCTAACCCTTACTCTTCGCTATAGACACAACCTGTGCTATGCCGTAACGTAGCTTTACCCTGCTTTAGCTTACTATTGCTTCGCCTTACTATCATCTACATTTACTCCCTCATAGCCATACTAGCCGTAAGATTCACTAAAATTATTATTTGTTAGTTTAACTATGCAATAGCTAGTACCTATTCTAGTCAACACATGCCATAACCTTACTATTGTTTAGCTTTACGATGGCTTAGCTTACCATGCCCTAGCTTTATCACGCTCTGGTCTTGTCATCGCTTAGCCTTGTCATGTTCTAGCCTTAATATGCCTAAGCCTTACCACACCGGTTTTTACCATGCTCTAACATAATGTTTTGGCATTATTATGCTATTTTAGACTATGCCCTAACCTTGCCTTAACGTGCTTAGCACTGTCACGTTTTCTCTAAAATTTTCTACCCTATCCGATTCTAACCTACATTGCCTTATAATACTCAAAAAAACTCAAAATTTGCATAAAACCCACATCCATACCCTAAGTATTATAATAATATGACATTTTTGGAATTACGGGTATAATCCGTGGATAAACCGTTCCCACGTCACAATTATAATATTGTTTTTGGGGGTCAAAAGGATAGAATTGGGTGGCCAGGCGTGGATATCTCGCGCCTATTTTGACTGCTATTTTATGTTTTTGATAAATTGAAATTTGGTTTTTGTCTGGGCATGGGTAGCTTTATGTTGTAAACAAAGTTTTTGTAATTTTTTTCGTTTGTAAAGAAAGTTCTTGCCATTTTTTGGTTTGTAAAGAAAGTTCTTGCCATTTTGTAGTTTGTAAACAAAGTTTTTGCTATTTTTTGGTTTGTAACGAAAGTTCTTGTCATTTTTCAGTTTGTAAAGAAAGATATTGTCATTTTTGAAATTGTAAACAAAGTTCTTGCTATTTTTGTTTTGTAAAGAAAGTTCTTGCTATTTCCAAGCAATAATGACACTAATTTGAAGAGTAATTTGACTTTAAGCCAGATGTGTGACACGAATAATATGGCCATAGTAAGTCGGATAATTCATTATGTCTTGGAGAGTAATTACACGTCGCAACGTAAACTCATTAATTTACTCTTTGAAATTTGTTTTTCGGCCTTTGGGTGGTCAGTTTCAGAGCGGGGCAGTTTTTCGAAAAATTTGTATGAAAAAGTTTTGCTTAAGGCTTTTTGAATAGCAAGGGTTACGGTGGAGGTAGGGTAGGGTTAGTGTAAGGCAAAGGTAGGGCAAGGATGTAGCAAGGGTAGAGCAAGAGCAAAGCAAGAGTAGAAAAAGAGTAAAGAAAGAGTAAGGCAAGGATAAAACAAGGGTAGGGATGGGCTCAGGTACGGCTAGAGCAATGGTAGAAAATGGGTTGGGCAAGGGTGGGGCAAAGCTAGAGCAAGGGTACGGTTTAGATAAGGCAAGAGTAGGGCAGCAGTAAAGCAATTGTAAATCAAGGGTAAGACAAGGCTATATCAAGTTTAAGCCAAGAATAGCACAAAAGTAGAGCAAGGGTAAAGCAAGAATACGGCAAAGATAGAGCAAGGTGAAGCAAAGGTTGGAAAAAATAAGGCAAAAATAGGGCTAGGGTAGGGTAACAGTTGGCAAGGGTAGGGCAGGTGAAGGCAAGGGTAGAGCAAGGGTAGGACAAGGACACAACAAGGGTAGAGCAAGGGCAAGGCAGTGGTAAGGCAAGAGTAGGGCAAGATTAGAGCAAATAAACAGCAGGGCAATGGTAAGTACAGCGTATGTGTAGGAAAAGGCTACGGTAGAAAAATATGGCTAAGTTAGAGACAAAGTAAAACTATTGAAGACGGGAAGGCTGTAGTAACAAAAAACTTAAAGTGATGTATATTTGCTAGCACAGTAATGTTTTTGATACAATATGCTTTATATTATGGTTGAATATGTATCTTGGCTACCATAAGGTAATATTGGAACAATTTCACTTTTCAATTTTAAATTGTTATTCTTTAATTACACGATATTCAAAGCTCAATTCAGCACCGTGCTTTCAATAGTCACTTCATTTACACCGTACTAGCCAAAGCCTCAAAGTTGGCCGAGTAAATTACCGGCTTCAAGTTTGAAACCGAGTTTGGAGCGATATGAGAGGACCGCGGAGGGATGAGCCAGAAGGAAGCGGGTGGAAATGTAATGAGATTACCATGACTATGTGCCGCCAAAATGGCCAAAGAGGTGTCTTGAGCGAGTGAAGCCCGGAAGGGATAATTTAATTATCCGCTTACTCTCCCAATAGCCTTGTTAAACTGGCGTTTAGGCTTAATGACGGGGGTGAGGAGGGGGGGGGGACAGAATAATGTGGAATAAGTTAGAGCGTGGTAAAGTAAAGCATGGAAAGGTAGAGTGAAATTGAGTAGGGTAGGGTAGGGTAGAGTAGGGTAGGGTAGGGTAGGGTAGGGTAGGGTAGGGTAGGGTAGGGTAGGGTAGGGTAGGGTAGGGTAGGGTAGGGTAGGGTAGGGTAGGGTAGGGTAGGGTAGGGTAGGATAGGGTTGGGTATTTACTTTTTTTTAGGGGGCACTGAATTATTTGAACAACTTAACAACTAAAAAATTAAAAAATTTTTTTTGAAAATGTGTTCATCTACGTAAGCCCAAAAAACAAGTTTATTCAAATAATTGCCGAAACACGCAACTGCGCCCCCCAGCCACACTCCTTAAATGAACCGTCCACACGCATTCCTTTGATTCATTTCCGTTGGACTGACTCAAGCTTACGTCTTTTCAAGGGTGTTGAACTCGACTCATATACAACAGCCGGCTGTTTTGCTAATAGGTATAGCTGACTTACTTTAGTTGATATTAAGTTTGTTAGCCTTAGCTTAGCCATCGCCTTACTCTAGCCTTATTTAAGGTTTATCGTATGTTTGAAAACCAGCCTTAGCTATGCAATGCCTTGATCACTTACATGCTGTAGCCGTCGATCAGTTGAAGAAGCCTTTACCTAAAATTTGCGGTACAATTTGGTCATTCACTTAATCTGCGCCCCTCTCAAAACATTTTTTTTTATTTAGAGGTAAAGAGGCGCAGAATTAAGTGAACGACCCAATATTCTTTCTTATGTTGTACCACTTTTGTTTTCAAGGCTTGGTAGAAGTAAACAAGCAGAAGATTTTAGTAGATTTTAATAAAATTTCAATTTGTAAGCAAAAAATAGGAAAAATGGGTTCTAAAACAATTCACTTTTCATCGCAAGGGTACCCTTTGCATAAATTAATAGTTTAAAGAACAGCACGCTTAGCGAGCGTTCTTTGGTTTTTTAAAACCTTTTACCTTCAGTTTTGTTATTAAGACCCTACCCTACCCTACCTTTTGTTTTCCTATATCATTATTCAGCCTTACCTCTCCTCACTCTCGTTAGCCCTTTCACCCCTCATTTTACCGTCCCCACCCTTAACCTTACCTCTTTCACGCCACAACCCACCGCCGTCCCATTGTTCTGGGGCCATGTTGCAGGTGATTTGCATCTGGACACCTTGTTTTCGGCAAACACCTTATTGTAGCGCGCGAGGATACCCTTAATTGGGTGCGGGAAGGCGGCTTTTCCTGGATTGCCCTGTTACACATTGGCGGAATTGGCTTGTTTGTGATGGGCGAGGTAATCGCTTGTTTGGGGTGGGTTAAGTGGTGTTACATCAGAGCTGTTGGTGGATTGGGGTTTCTTTTTGGGCTGTTACATTGTTTTTGGTTGTTTTAGTTTGTATGGTTGTATCTTTGATGTTTTTGATTGGGCGGGGTATTTTTGAGTAAGGGGGGGTAAAAGTATAAAATTTTTTTTTGTATTAAAAAGCTTAAAATTTAAATTTTTAGGCGTGGTAAAAAAAAGGGGGGGGGAGGTTTTTTAAAAAAAATTTTTTTTTTATTTTTTTGACATATTTAAATGTTTTTTAAAATTTTTTTTAGGTTGGGTAAACTTAATAAGGGGGGGGAAGAGGTGATTTTTTAGTTTGATTTTTTTTGTGTTTTTTGTAAAATTACCGTAACAAAAATATAAATTATCAAACTCTTCCCATTGTGAACACTCCAATTCATATGCCAACATAGCCTACGGCTATATTTTTCATATTCCCGTTAAATTTAAATTTATTTTGCGAAAAAACGGCCCTAAACTTGAGTTTATTTCGCATTTATGGGCACTCACCAATTTTTTCGAACACATTTTATTGTTTTGCCAAAGGCGGTTTTGGACTATTTTTATTATTTGGCTTGGACAGGGGTTAGAATACGAATTTTGATGCCTAGAAATTAAGGGAGAAGTTAGTTTAAGGCTAAGGCTTTGTCTTAAGCTCAAGCTAAGTTTTAGGCTTAGACTTAGGCTTAGGCTTAGGATTAGGCTTAGGCTTAGGCTTAGGCTTAGGCTTAGGCTTAGGCTTAGGCTTAGGCTTAGGCTTAGGCTTAGGCTTAGGCTTAGGCTTAGGCTTAGGCTTAGGCTTAGGCTCAAGCTCAGGCTCAAGCTCTGGGTCAGGCCCAGGCTCAGGTTTTGGATCAGGCACAAACTCAGTCTAGGGCTCAGTCTAAATTTTGGGCTTAGACTCAGACCCAAGCTCAAGCTTAAACAGAGTCAGGTTCAGGTTTAGGCTCAGACCCAGGCTCAGGCTCAGGCTCAAGCTCAAGCTTAGACTCAGGTGTAGGCTTAGACTCAGTTTCAAACTCAGACTTAATGCCAAGCTCAAGCTTGAGTTTAGGCTTAGATTCAGACCCGAGCCCACCCTCAAGATCAAGCTCAAGATCAGGCTAAGATTAGGTCTCAGGCTCAGGCTTAGCCTGAGGTTCAGCCTCTTGCTCAGACTCAGGTTCAGGCTCAAACTCAAGCCCATGCTTAGGATCAGAAAAAGGCTAAGGATAAAAAAAGAGCTAAAAAACAAGGGTGTGCCTGAATGTGAGGTATGACAAGGTTTGACTAATGCTAGACTAGAGTAGGACTAACTTCATTGACCCGTTAATATCGTCATACATCTATGATGTCAATTATTCTTTATGAAAGACAGTTTTATTGACGAATTATTGCGGGAGTTCTTTTGGTCCAGATCTAATATTCTAATTCGGACATGTTTAATTACTTTTGGCTTTTAAATAGCTCTAATTTTTTTTATTTTAAAAAGTTTCAAAAAATTTAAAAGCGAGACTTAAAATATAATTCTACACGCTACGATAGCACGTATTTTACAACCTCAAACTTTTAATTTTACTTTTACAAGCTAAACTACTCATCCATCGTTAAACCGCCTATTGAACAGGCAAATCTAAGAGACGCCACAGAAATTCGTCTGACCGCGCGGGAATAGTCAAATATGCAAATTTTAATGGAGTTAAAAGGCAAATAGCCGCTGAAAAAAAAGTAAAAGTGGTCTCAATAGGTTTAGGGATATTAAATTTAAGGCCAAGAGCCAAGGCATGGGTATTAATTATATTAACCATGACTCCGGCGAGCATTAAGTATTCTTTTGATTTGAAGTTAAATATGGGGCTTTTGAAGTTGGAGATTTTTAAAGGATAGCTCGCTATAGTAGAGAGCAGGGTAGGGCTAAAAAGTTTTTAAAGTAAGGTCTGAGCTGAGGTTAAGCCTAAATCTAAGTTTAACCCTCAAGCTCTGACACTGGCTCGAGTTCAAGCTCATGCCCAGGCCCAGCTCAGGCTTAGGCTTAGGCTTAGGCTCAGGCTTAGGCTTAGGCTTAGGCTTAGGCTTAGGCTTAGGCTTAGGCTTAGGCTTAGGCTTAGGCTTAGGCTTAGGCTTAGGCTTAGGCTTAGGCTTAGGCTTAGGCTTAGGCTTAGGCTTAGGCTTAGGCTTAGGCTTAGGCTTAGGCTTAGGCTCAGGCTCAATCTCAGGCTCAGGCTTGGTCTGAGGCTTACACTCAAGCTCAGGCTCAAGCTAATACTCAGGCTTATGCTAAATCTTAAGTTAAGAGTAAAGGTAAGGCTATGACGTAAGAAGCTGATGGTCGTATGTTTTCAAACATACGAAGTGTTAACACGCATTTCTTGCGCAGTAAAGGCTTTTCAAACCCATCTCAATTACGAAGCCGCATCATTGTTGGCTCAACAGTAGCTTCAAGTCAGAAAGTGATCTGGGTTGGTTGATTGGCATAACATAACACATGGATATAGCTTGCAGTAAATGCCACTGGTTTGAAGCATGAGCATGTATGAAGGGGTATGGCTCATGTTTTAGCTTTCTTAGACTGCTACTGCGTTTGGAGATAAAGTTTTTGTAAAATATTGTTGTAGTTAATAGTAAGTATTATGTATTCTATGTTGACATGAGTTTTTACATTGTAAAATACGTCCTTCTTGATGATTTCTTAAATATTTTTGGGTCTTTTTGATAATTTCCCATTCCCAAGAAACTGATTATTACCAAACCAATTATCATTTAATGCTTTTATACCTAAAATATCATTTTTCCCAAGCTTTCTTACAATAATATCTATTTTGCTTCAATAATACCTAAAATAATGTTCGTCTAACTCCTCAAGACATTGTACAATAGGAAATATTACTAGCAACTGGTCGTTTCAACGTTAGTATTAAACGGTCATCCCCTTTACTATTAAAAAGACGTCCCAATGTTACTATCAAACACTCCTCTCCTTTACTACTTATAACAACAGAGTTGCGAGTGCTTTGTCATCACTGTTGCAAAAGGTCAACCTTTACAATGTCTTGGGGTTTTATTACTTTTTACTCACACAAATAGAGGTCACTACTTTTGGAGAGTGATTTTTAGAGGATTTGAAAAATTTTTTATTTTTTTTTGGAAAATCCACAGTGTTGATTTAAAAGTCGTAAAATGTAATTTCTTTCGAAAATTAATTTTTTTCGAAAAATCTACAGGGGGACCAAGCTCAACATTTAAAAAAAACAGATTTTGAGGGTAAGTGGAACCGTAGAGAGAAGAAAACGTAAAAGATAATAAAAACATAATTCTGCTAATCCAGAAGTCGTAAAATGACATTTTTTTCTAATTTAAAAAGTTTTGGTTGAGAAAATACTACAGGGGGGGGACCAAGCTCAACTTTTTTGTAAAAAAAAACTTTAAAAAAAAATATTTTTTCAATTTAATTTTTGAGTCGAAAAAATTTTATTTTGATAGGTTTAACTTGGAATAGCATGTACAAAAATATCATTTATAACTAATAAGCTTTTATGAAATTTCAGTCAAAATTAGATCTCAGTGCCATTTTTTATTCTTATCTCTTTTCTAGTTTTAGCTAAAATTGGCAAATTGGTATTGTCACTTTCCAAAAACTTTGCTTTTCCATTTTTGTAAGTTTTGTAGTATTTTGACTTATTTTCATTAAGATATGATCAATTAAACGTTGTCAACCTCAACATTTTTACATCTTGTACCACTATCTTTTAAACCAGCCATTACCTTCATATCCCAAAACTTGTGTTTATTGGTTTCCAAACCTCTTATACCTCACTTTCCTCCAACATTCTTTCAGTTTTCTATTTTTTGCACTTTTAAATCGCACTCGCTTCGGCTCCGCCCCTTTTCTTCACCGTTATCGCGGAAAAAAGCGACAAACCCGAGTGGAAATTTGCGCAAGTTTTATTCATTTTTTATGGAGATTCTGATGACATCGTTCTGTTTATGGCATTTGCGTGTGCTACACGTACTTGTTGTACATTTGGCTATGATTTTCATGTTTTTTGAATTATACTTGGTGGAATTGGGTTTTAGGTGATTTTTTTTGGATGGGGTGGATAATTGAGGTGGGGGAGGGGGCTGAATTTGGGCTTGGATGAAAGCCTAGGATCTTGTGGACGTAATGATATTAATTTTTTCTAATTTAGTAATTTTTAAAATGACAAAATCATTTAAAGTTTAGCTTTAACCGGCTTTCGGTCAGTGATATGGCCTTTGTTTTTCAAAATTTTAAAATTTTTTTTGTTTAAATCATGACATACCAAATACCCACATAGTGAAACCGTATTTTACAATCATTAAAACCTAATAACGTCAAAATTTGTTTACTTTATCACGTTAAAATTTGTTAATTTTAACAAAAAACCAGTTTTTTATCTGGGTTAATCCGATTTGGGGTTGTTTTATGGCTTTACCGTAACTTTTTTTGTTGTTACTTTTGGGTTTTTTGTTGTTCGTTAGACTTCTAAGACTCCTCAGACTATGTTCTGTTATTTTCAGACAACAGACTTTATTAAAAATGGCATAAAAGTTGATTTTTGTTTAAATTTATCGCTACTTTTCGGCCATTTTTGAGAATTTTTTGCAATATTGTTCGCTTTAAAGCCTCATATTACAGTAATCACGAACCATAACCCGCTTATAATACCGCTAAATCATGCTCATTATATCCGAATTACATCGCTAGTATCCATTTTCAAATTCGATTAATTTTAGATGCCAAAATGGGCCGTGATATTAACCATGGTCATTTGCGGCTTATCCTCAATTAGTGCCATCGAACTGACACAGAAATTCCCGGATGCAATCATAATCGGCGTGAAAAAGTGTGGCACCAGAGCCTTGTTGGAGTTTTTGAAATTGAACCCGAATGTCAAAGCCCCAGGGCCGGAGGTGCATTTCTTTGACAAGAACTATGAGAAGGGGTACTCTTGGTACAGGTGGGTTGATTTTTTTGAGATTACGAGGTTTTTTGGGGTTGGTGAGGTAAATTGGGTTTGGCATAAGGTGGAATGGCGATATTAATAAGATTTTTGAAATTTTTGTCGTATTTTTTAAAATCTTCTGAAAAAAATTGAGCTTGGTCCCCCCCTGTTGATCGTTTTCTACTTTTCCAAGTGCTTTAAGTAATGTTAGTTTTTAAAGTCAACAAAGCACTTTAGAGTTAAAAAAATACCTTTACAGTTATTTTAAGTTACAAAAAAAAATTTTTTTTTATTTTTTAAAAAATTTGGACGTGGTCCCCCCTTTTAATTTTATGTTTACTTCAAGTTTGAGTCACATAATTAATGCCACTTTCTAAAATCAATAAAGTTTTTTACACTAAAAAGCTTCTTTCACAATGTTTCTAACCGGTTTTAAAATATCTAAACAAAAAAAAATTTTTTTAATTGAAAAAAAATTGAACGTGATCCCGCCTGTTGATTTTTTTCCAAAAACTTTATGACCTAATAAGTCCAAAAGATGACATTGAATAACCCAAGGTGTTAACGAAGAAGATGATCGGGATAATGTGTTGAGGTGCAACACCTTTTTGGTAGCAAAATGATTGACATGTCCCATAAATTGGGGCCGCATGCCACCTTTGACTCATCTTCAACATGATTGATCTGCGGTTTTTATTCGTTTTTTCGTGGGGTGGGGGCTTTATTAAATCATTTGGTGGCAGGTTTCTTGATTTTGAGAGAAGGAAAGGTTTGAAGGCATGATTTTGGCATTAGGGGGCCTTAATAATGACTTTGGGACATGAAAGATGACATTTGACATTAAATTTTGAAAAATTTTTAAAAATTTAAAAAAGTTTACAGTAAATTTAAAAAGGATTAAAAAATATTTTCCACGCAAAGAAACATTGCAGAGGCTATGTACTAACTAGTGCTACAACTTTATACCCGTACCTTTTCTGTAAACAAAGTTATTGCGGTTTTTTGGTTAGAATTTGAGGATGGTGATGAAGAAAATGTTTATAAAATGAAAAATAAAGTTTAACAAAACAAAGTGTTTGTAGTAAAGTACTTTAAAGACCATGTATTGTCTACAATATTTTGCTTGTACCTTCTTTGTAAAGAAAGTTATTGCGCGTTTTTGGTCGGAAGACTCTATTGAGAGTGCTGATGACTAAAATTTTTAAAAAATGAAAAATAAAGTTCAACAAAACAAAATTTTTGTAGAAAAGTAGTTTAGGGACCATGTATTATGTAGTATTATAATATTCTGCTGGTGTCTTTTTTGTAAAGAAAGTTATTGCGGTTTGAAATCAGGCGGCCGAAAACTTTTGAAAAAAGTTCAAAGAGGGGACCCTTTTGAACCTTTTTTTCAATAAAAATCACACTTTGATTGACTGTTTATTCCACCACATTTTAACCGACATCATCGTATCTCAATATTCTATTGTTTTCGATTTGATTTTAACACCCGAATTTTATTTATGCGCCGTTTTTATTTATATTCGGCCAACTGTTATGAATGACTGTACACTGCAAAGCCTAATAATGTTCGGAGCGATTCGTCTTTGTGTGAATGGACAAATCATATATATCCGATAAGACGGGTCATTTGTCAGGTTGGGGTCAAAACACTGATGAAAGATGGGGTTGGACAGGGCCGGGCGGGGACTTTTGGTCTGGGGGCAGGGGTCCAAAAAATCGGTAGCTACCTGTGCCGATTTTTTGCAAAATCTTTTTTCCGAAAATCCACAGGGGGGACCACGTTCAACTTTTTTCAAAAATGCGCTGCTATAAAGGGGCTTGAGAACACAGCAAAATTTAAAAAAAAAATTTTGGGCGGTGTAATTTTTTTAGTTGGGGGGGGGGAGCAAAAAAAATTTTTTGAACTAACATTAAAATCAACGGAAGCCACAACAAAACCTCAAAAAAGATTTTTTTTAGCAGATTAGATATCCACCACCTCCCCCCCCCCTCTTGTAAAATTGCGGTATCCCACCTGCACTGCCCTCCTATGTCAATGCCGTAATCACCGGCTCTTGAGCCGGCAATGAGTCGTTTATTTATTCAAGGTCTGACACTTTGCAATTAAACCGGTCGTTAATCCCCTTTTCACTGTCGTAATTGGCACCTTCAGCTTCTTCAGGTATCCGCAAAGATACCTTAATGTTGAGGTAGCAAAAGCTTATATATACAAGCTAAGTGTTTGTAAAGAAAATTTTTGCCATTTTAAGGTTTGTGAAGAAAGTTTTTGCCATTTTATAGCCTGTAAAGAAAGTTGTTGCCATTTTATAGTCTGTAAAGAAAGTTTTTGCCATTTTTTGTTTTGTAAAGAAAGTTATTGCCATTTTATAGTTTGTAACGAAAGTTATTGTCATTTTATAGTCTGTAAAGAAAGTTTTTGACATTTTATTGTTTGTAAAGAAAGCTCTTGCTATTTTATAGCGAATATCAAATTTAAGTCATCATCAACCCTCAAAAATCTAAATAATTATGCAAAAGAGCCAAGAGACAGCCTGAAATCTGATAACATCACATTGTTCATAACAATACCGTGTTCATTACACTCCTTTCTTCAATATTGAATAATCAGATCGAATGAAATTTGAATAAGAACAATACGAATAATACGCTTTCTTCTCGGCGCCGCCAAAACACGAGAATCTCGCGATTGTTTGAACAAAGGCTTATTCGGACTTGATATGCAAAGCTGTTTTTTCGGTAGGCCAATGAGAGTACGCTTTTATCTTATCCATAAACAAACATCAATACCGTTGGTCTGGTCAATATTATTGTAGCCAGTGCGCGGGGATTAGCAAAGTTTCGAGAGACGGTGAAAGGGCAAGTGGTGGTTATGTAAGAGATGTCTTGGGTGGGTCTTAGGCGGCTGCGTGCCTTGATTTTGGTATTTTTGCATAGGAAAGACTTCAGAGTACCTTATAGTTTTAAAAATTTCTAAACATATTTTTTTGAAAATTTTTAAAATAAAAAAAATTAGCAAAAATGGTCAAATTTTGATCAAAAAAATAGTATGAGGCTTTTACTAGTCGTTTTGACAATGAGTATGAGGCTTTTACTAGTCGTTTTGACAATGAGTATGAGGCTTTTACTAGTCGTTTTGACAAAACTTAATGAACTTAAAAAGGAAAAATGAATATAAATAGCTTTCAAAAGCCTCTTAGTACCTAATCATATCAGAAAGTTCCAAAAAAATCATTTCAAAATTTTTTAAAATTGAAAAAACGGCCAAAAACCACTAAAATCAACTCTAATCACCCCAAAAACTTGACAAAACATCTAAAATCAAATTTAAAACCCAATCAAAATCTTTACAAATCCCAACTACAACATTCACATTACAATATGAAACACTTTTCAGACAACAAATGCCATTCACAACTCCGTCACAGATCACAATAGAGAAGAGTCCGGCCTACTTTATCTCAAAAATGGTCCCACAACGAGTAAAGCGGCTGAATCCGAACATGAAACTCATCGTGGTGGTCCGGAATCCTATCACAAGGGCTGTTAGTGGTATGTTTTGTGTTGTTTTTGGTACTGTGGGTTGTACTGTTATACTTTTTAATACTGTGGGTTGTTCTGTTATAATGTTTTTGGTATTGTTGATTGTAGCGTTATGTTTTTTTAGTACTTTGGGTTTAGGCTTGATAATGTAACTTTAACTATGACTATTAAGGCGCATTAAAAGTCTTATCGTTTTTTATAATGAAAAGCTTTGTAAATTGGCGGAAATACTTTTTTTGGAATGATAAGTCATTGATAAGCTATATACTGTACAGGGCAGGGTAATATTTTTTTTGACAGAGGGGAAGGGAAAGGGAGCGGGGGAACTAAACATTTTTTTCAAAAATCGCCCGAGGGGCTTAAGCTCGACATTTCTGTAAAAAAATGTTTGGACACCCCCCCCACCGCCCTGCCCAAAATATATAATCCTACAGTAAATGTATGCTCAACTCCTAAATATCCACCCCTTCTTCAGATTACACTCAAGCCGTCACACGACGGAAGCGAAGTATCTCTAATGCGTTTGAGGAAATGGCCAAATGCGATGAGATCAACTCAACAAAATGGTAAGCAAATATTAAGCAAACACTCGAGCCAGGCTTTACGTAACTCGAGTTTCCGAACCGGTTTAAAAGGTCATTACTTGGGTATTATACTCGATAAGATAGAGTTTTAGATCCGTAATGTAAACTATGAGCTTATAATGACCAATGTAAACTATAAGTTAGCTACTAGTTTTTAGGTAACAAAAATTTTTTTTCAAATTTTTCACATAAAGTTTTCAAAAAACACCCCCCCCAAAAGCTTTACCATACCCTGGATACACTTAAAAATGATCAAACCACCCAAAACTAATTTCGCCCATTTTCAGCCACCATGGTATCAACTCCTCCTGGGGAGCAATACGAATTGGCCAGTACCACAAATACCTCCAAAATTGGCTAGAACACTTCCCTATGAAACAATTCATGTTTGTCGACGGAGAAAACCTCATTCGACAACCAGCCAATGAGATCCGCAAGGTTGAAAAATTCCTCGGCCTAACACCTGGTAAGCCTACTTCAAACTGCCATTTTAAATCAAATACAAAACGAAACCAATACCTTTTTATATCAAAATCTAGCTAAATACCCCTAATATCATGTCCTAAAAGATCGTTGTAATCAATCAACTTTTAGTAGTCAAATCGAGTGATTTTGTGATGGACAAGATCAAGGGATTCCCGTGTGTAAGGAAAGTCAACTCTTCTACACCTCATTGCCTTGGCAAATCAAAAGGCAGAGTACATCCTACCGTGAATTCTGATGTGGTAAAACAACTACAAATGTTTTATCAACCAGAAAATGAAAAGTTTTTCAAAATGATCAACGAAACATTCAAATGGTAGCATCTACAACAATATGAGATGATACTCAGTGTTGAAGCTTTAAAACTACGTCACAACACCTTTAAATCGATGCCATATATTTTGTTCTTTTAGTCTAACAGTAGTATAGGTTTACTTTTTTTCGCCTTCTAATTCCGTATTATACATTAACATTGTAGTAGGCACGCACTCTCTCATTTCCCCGCTTTATTTCCGTATTTTAAAAACTTTAAACCTAACCAAGTTTTATATCAAAAGAAAGCCTAAATCCCCCTTTTTCCAACAACTACAATAACTTGTCCCAACGTTCCTTATTTCTTTCAATTTCAGTCAATAGTTTGTATATTACACATGCCTCCGAGTGTGAAACGGGTCTCTTTTTTAACCAAGTAATAGCTAACACATCTGGTGCTAAGTCTTCTCGTACAAAATTTACTTGGAATATTCACAGATTTTTATGAAATAAACAGTATTTTGAAAAGTGTTTTGTCAGTTATTGTTTATCATAGATAAGGTGCATAAAATCAATAAATTTACAGTCTTTGGTAACAAAAATAAAGAATTACATGTAAAAGTAAAAAAATACAAAATATATATCCATAATAAACACGTTTAAAAAAAAAAACTATTTTTGGCTAGCAAAACTCATAAAATAGAATGTTTACAAAATTCTGCTGATAAAAGAAAACTTGACTCAAAGATAGAAATAAAGAAAAACTTGACTCATTATTTATTTAATTTTGGGTAAAATTCTCTCGAAGTCTTCTAATCTTGCCATTTATGTCAAAATGAGTGAACCCACAAGACTTCCCATCGTAAAAATTGCAGCAGCATCTGCTGCCCTTGCTGCAACAGCGACTTTTGCTTATTATATGCTACGAAAGGTATGTTTTTCACTATTTTTTGATATTTTACGTTTAGAGAAACACTGAGACTGCCCAAGCAGCTGCATTACGACCTCTGGATCCTAACCTAACGCCATTCGAACGTGCTAAGCAGCTAAAAGAACGTGGAAATGCGCTGTTTTCGAAACAAAACTACCAAGAAGCCAAGAAGTTGTTTGATGAAAGTGTTGAAGTCCTTAAAACATGCACAATGACGCCTGATCAACAGCAATTACTGTCCACAGTGTATAATAATCTATCAGCGACGTCTGAGTTTCAAAACGACTTGGAAGGAGCGTTGGATTACACGAAGAAAGCGTTGGATATTAACAAAGACTACACCAAGGTCTACCTGAGAAGAGCTCGGATCCATAGAAAGCTGAAGAAACTGGATCAAGCTGTATTAGATGGTGGATATTGTTTGAGATTGCTTCAGGGAACATCAGATAAGGCTTTGGAGAAGGTTAATCGAGAGTTTTTGGAGGATTTGAGCGCTTTAACAGCGAAGAACATTGATAGCATGTTCAAGGTGAGTATGGTTTTGAAATTATGTCATAACTTTATGATAGGAGAAGATCAAAAGCTACTATTTTGAGAAAGTTTTTACGGTGTATTTAGCTATGTTTTCACAAAGTTTCACATTTTTAAAGATATGGCAATATATTACACTGCATGTTTAATATTGAGGTTTTGCTTTGATTTTACGTTTTATTGCTGTTTTATAGACTTCTTTTAATAAGCCAACACCGGTTTTAATTTATAATGATATCACGTTACAGAAATTCTTCTTGACCGGTCAATTTTTGCCGATTTCTCGTTTATCAGTCGAAGAATGGACCCAGAAGCTGGCGATTCATGATCCTCTACTGGAACGACTGGATAATATTAAGGACGAAGCGACGTATTTGAACAATATGGATCAAGCTCTTCAGCTATTTATTGAACAAGATTATATTAAGGCGTTGGAACAGGCTGTTCACGGAGCTTTGAATAAGGAATTATCGGTCCAGGATCAGCTCTTGTGTCGATTATTTGCTGCTCGGATCTATCTTTTCGCTGGTTTATACAAAGAAGTTCAGTTTATGACTGTCAATTTCACTGCTTTATGGGATAAACAATGTAAGTTTTGCTTTTTATGGGTTTTTGTGGTTTTATGGGGAACTGGATGTTGAGGCTTAGATGTTGAGTTCAAGTGGATATAAAAAAGGAAACGAGTTTAATGTTGATAAAACAAATTAATTGAAGTTAAATGGACATAAGAATGATCATTAAAACCGAAAAATTGCAAATTTAAGTCAATAACAACTAGAAATGGCTTTTTGGTACTAATTACAATATATCTTTTCAGCAAACGAATGGCAAGCTGAGCACCGTCACTTACTGTTAGCCTTCTGGGCATTAGATGTATACCTAGACCCAATCGACACTACAGAAGCCAAACTTCTTCAGAATTCCGAACTTCTCAAGAACAACGTTGATCCTCTTGTTGTACTAGCCAATCATTGCAGTAGATGGGGAGATTATCAAAAGTCCATCACTTTGATCAGACTGGCAAAAACATTGGAGCCGGATCATCCGGATTTGGAATTCCACGAACTTTCTTATCAGTACTATAATGCTGGCAAGAATCAGGACATGTCCGGTATTCACACGGCTTGTGCTGCCATCGACAGATACATGCAATCACATGATCTCAACGCCTTCAAAACACTCACTGTTGCTAAAGTAAGTAAAGGTTTTTGATTTCTGGGCCGAAGAGTTATTATAAATGGTTTTTTAAGTTGAAAATTATATTGTTTTAGGTGGAGAAACTAATAAAAATGACATTTTTTGAAGTTAAAGTTGATCTCATGAATAATATATTTAATTTTTAGGTATTTGCCTCCTTGTCCAACCTCGATTTGGCTCTAGAAACGTTGGAAAAGAACAAGGCCGTAGCTGACAAGTCAATTTCTTATCAGTTATTGCATTTGTAAGTTACAAAAATTGGTTTTAGGCTTAAAAATTAAGTTTTTAGACGTTTTCTTAGGTTTAAAATATGGTTTTTGGTTATTAAAAGATAGTTCTTGGCTTTGCATTTACGTTTTTTAGCACGAAAAGTTAATTTTGAAGTTTAAAATGATGCTTTTTACAAAGTAAACTTAATTTTTTAGACTCAAAATGAAGTTTTTTGGCAGTAAACGCTCTTTTTGGAGCTTAAAATTGATGAAAATAGCCTTACAACCCTTTAAAATCGATAGAGAATCAAATTCTTAAAAATTGAGATTTGTCATTATTGTGCCATTATCATCTATCTAATTTATCTAAGAATTCAATGACAATATACATTTCGAACTTTTAGGTTATGTTACACAGAGAAAAACGTCGCCAATCCCGAAATCATGCGCACATTCCAAGACAATTTGGCCGATTTATCGAGAAAAGACCCCAATAACCATGAACTGTTGGCACTTTTGTCACGACACATGGGAGAACGGTGAGGCTTGATCAATTTTAAAAGGGGTTTTGTTGGTTTTGGCAATATTTTTGGGTTTTAAGGCGGGACAAAAGTTTTGTCGCCTTTTTACATTGATTTTCACGAAGAAAAACGACAAGACTTTCTTCTAAGTATTTTTGTTTTAAAATTGGTACTGTGAACACGAATGTTACTAGTAGTGTTATGAAAAAGTATTGTCGTCCATTTACAGTCACTCACACAGTAAAAAACGACAAGACTTTTTAACCCAATATTATCTTCAAAACTTGCTTATATTAACCACGTTTGCAGTAAAAAGTACCTAGAATCGGCTGAACTAGCGTTGCAAGCACTTCGAGGAGTACGATTCATTCAAGAATTCACCATCAGATATCAAGATGTTTTGGCAGCGTTCGCGTTTGCTGGTCTACCGCTTCCGCACGAAGACTTTCCACCTTATGCAGGACCAGACCACATCAAAGTGACATCGGAGGAGTGGTCAAAGAAGTTTGAAGCTGATAATGTGGCTTGAATTTGAGAAAAATTAGGATTTGAGGTATGTTTTTAGTGTTTGGGCTATACAAGCATGAAAAAAGGCTGATGTAGAAGTTTTCGAACTTTTACATCTAATTTTTGTTATTTTTCAAAATGAAAAGTAGTTATAATGATGAAGGAGAATGTTGTGTAGATGTTTATAATGAAGGTAAATATAAATCTTGCTAATAACATCTTGTTCCAGCCACGCGTATTCATTTTGGACAACATCGCTTGTTCTATAAGTTACAAAATCATTTGTGAAATGTTTAATACCCGGTTAGGTTTTTGTTTCAAATGTTTGTTGTTATTAGCTAATAAAGCAGCCAATTCATATGGAATGTAAAGTGGATGGTTTAAAGAACCGTCACTTAGTTATCAAACTCATTTTGTTTAGGTTTATATTGCATTTGAATCATAAAACTTTAAAATAAAAATACATAAAACACGTGCAAAAATTAAACAGAATATCACAGGTTTATCCGTACTTAATAAACTAATGATAAGAAGCTAGTATAATATAAGACATGAATATTCAAATTAAAAATATGTAATAAAATTAACAAAAATAGTTTTAAACGACTAGAAAGCTTATGGACAAGCATATTATGTACAATAGACTAGTTGAGGTTGTTTAAAAAAACGCGAATAAAAGTCTTGTCGTTAATTTACATTAATTTTCTTGGTAACCAAAGTTTTTTATTCGTTTTATTTTTTTTAAATTAACAATTTTAGACTTGAGGTATTATAATGTAAGTATATGTGAATAATGTACATTCATTTGTCAGCAGCACGATCTTGAAGCAATGGTATGGGTAACACTGTTTGTGATAATGTAATATGACTTGTGAAGTTAGATAACGAGGTGGATTCGAAGTGAGAATGGGACGTATCAATGTTGCTTAAAGTTGCATTGGTTGTTTGGAGAAAGGAGTTGTTTTAAGATTTAGATGTCGACATTACCGTATAGATCACACGAGTAAGGCAAGGTGAATAAAGGTGGGCAGAGAAAAGCGAGGCACGTTAACATAGGTCAGGTTACGCTAGGTCATGACAGGGTGGTTAAAGTTTATCCTAGAACGTAACGAAAAGACTTGTCGTTTTTTACTTTGTAAATACACTTTAATTGAAGACAAAACTACATATTTCGGCTTTGAATACAAATAACACTTTTCACAATTAATAATATGAAGGTAAACTTAACGAGCATGATGTTGATAAACAGTAACGCTTCATGCTTCAGTTTGTGCCTTAGGTCTTTGTTTGAAGTCAGGATAATATTAAAAACGAGAAGGCTTGTTGCCAGCTTACTTTATAACATATCAAATTGTTGAAAAATAAAAAATATGGTTTGAATTATATTATTAAGCCATCAACAATGTTTTGCCATCTACTAGAATGTATAGGCTTATTTGTGCACAGGGTGATGTGAAAAGCATAACTATATATGGAATTACAATAATTTATTACGATACATTGCAAGATATTGCAAACAAACAAAAATTTGATATGACCATGTTCACGAATTGATAACCAATTTACGTTTTGTCCACCGATCCTTGCTTACTCATTATGAACGCCACAACTGATTTGGGTGATCGAAACAAACAAATGGCCACATTTTTCCTTGACCAGTTCAAGGCAGGATAATGGATTTGTTAATTCAGTAATATACGAACATTCTATCTCGAATGAGTGCATATTGCCATCGATAGTCCAAGAGCCTGTAAGTAAAAGAAAATGAGAATAATAAATACATTTGGTTTTTTTATTAAAATTTGTGTGTATATAACTTTTGATGTGTATACTTTTCATTCTTACTTCAGACGAGAACCTTGAATTCTTGTTCATGGAAAATCTCTCATAAAATTGTGTTCTCTAGTTTAACGTCGACGACAATCAGACAAAAAGTGAGATCACACAAAATTACGAGACTTTTTCGTAGACACGAATCTAAATGTATACTTCAAGGTTCATTGGAGACCAAACAATACCAGCTTGCTTAGGCGATCCCAAGAGCTACAAACCAACACTACCTACTAAACAGAATCAAAAGAATATACTTACTGTTTTGCCACATAAATTCTGTCTTCTTAATTCCCCGAATAGCATCTTCCAACTCGTTTTGAATGACTGAGTTCAGCGGAATTATACGAAACTTCACTAGCGCTCTGTCTCCAAGATGGTAATATTCATTAGAACTACTTGATAATCCGCTTTTCTTCTTCAACGTCTTCTTCATGTTCGGTACGTCAAATTAACCTGAAATTAATCAAACAAAAAAATTAAAAAAGTTAAAATTATAATATACAGAAGATTAAGCGATAAAAACCCTCAGTAATGTTGTCTTCCATCTCGAAAACATAGAAAAAAGAATAATTTGTTATAAAATTTCGAAAAAACTATTTTGGCAATACTAATTTTCGGAAAACATACCGTAACGTTTCGCGTCTTGCAACGACTGTAATGAAGTGCTATAGCGTTTAACGTTATATTTCAGTAAACAAATCGATTTTTTTGATTTCAAGTAAATTTAGTTCTTATTAGATTATAACGGTATCTGAATACTGATTGGATACGTTGTTCGCAGCGGGAGGGACTTGGAAGGAGCGATATTAACAAAGACTACACCAAGATTGACCTGAGAAAAGATTGGATCAATAGAAAGGTCAAGAAACTGGATCAAGCTGTATTAGATGGTGATATTTTTTAAGACTGTTTCAAGTAACATCAGATAAGGCTTTAGAGAAAGTGAATTGAAAGTTTTTGGAGGACTTGAGCGCTTTAACGGCGAAGAACATTCAGAGCATGTTCAAGGTGAGTAGGGTTTGAAAATTTTGTCATAACCTTATGGCGGAAAAAGATGAAAAGCTATTATTTTGAGAATGTGATTACGGTGTATTTAGCTACTTTTTTCACGAAGTTTCACATTTTTTTAATGTTTGGTTTTAAAGTTATGGCTATATATATTACACTGCAAGTGCTATATCGAGATTGTGCTTATAAAGTAGGGAGAGAAAGGCTAAATGAAGGCTAAAATAGGACTTGGAGGTAGACATGGGGAAGGGTTTTTAGTTAGATTGATTTAAGTTTTTCTCAAGACCAGCTCGAGTCGGCCCGATTTTTTTACATGGAATATAGCCGGGATTTTTGAACCGTGCCGGGCTTTTTTGGGATTTTCATACCCGGCCGGACCTAAATTTTGCTCAGGCCCGGTCCGGTCCCCATGTGTACTTTTTTCATTGGACCATATTTACTTTAACTTAGCGTCAAAGTCTTACGCTAGGTCATGGCAGGGTGGTTAAAGTTTTTCCTAGAACGTAACGAAAAGACCTGTCGTTTTTCACTTTGTAAATGAACATTAATTAAAGGCAAAATTTGATAAAGGTAAACTTAATGAGCATGATGTTGATAAACAGTAACCGTTTCAAATTTGTATGCTTCACGTTGTGTTTATACAATTTCATGTTGTATTTTATGTTACCATAGATAGTTTGTTTCAATTGCGTCTCGTTCTGTTGCGCTTTGTTCGGTGAAAGCAAATTCCTTGTGGGTATAAGACAGTCTCTCATCACTGATTGGATACGCTATTCGCAGCGGGTAGGTCGGAACTCCCACATGAGGCAGCCGGTTTTTCTGCTCGGACCTATCTTTTTGCCGGTTTATACAGACTTTCAGTTTATGACTGTATACTTTACTGCTTTTTGGGAAAAACAGTGTAAGTTTGGTTTGTGTGGTTTTTAGGGGGAACTAGGTATTGAGGATGATGTATTGCATTCAAGGGGATATAAAAAGTAAAACGTGAGTTTAACCAAACTAATTAATTGGGGCTTTTTGATACCAATTAAAATATATCTTTTCAGCCAACGAATGGCAAGCTGAGCACCGTCACTTACTGTTAGCCTTCTGGGCATTGGATGTATATCTAGACCCAATCGATACTACAGAAGCCAAACTTCTTCAGAATTCCGAACTTCTCAAAAACAAGGTCGATCCTCTTGTTGTACTAGCCAATCATTGCAGTAGATGGGGAGATTATCAAAAGTCGATCACTTTGATTAGACTGGCAAAAACATTGGAGCAGGATCATCCGGATTTGGGATTCCACGAACTTTCTTATCAGTACTATAATGCTGGCAAGAATCAGGACATGTCAGGTATTCATACAGCTTGTGCTGCTATCGACAGTGTAATATTCGGTCGATTGAAGGTAGCAAAAGGTTTGTTTTGGTAAGGAGGATGAGGTGGTGTGTTGCTTGAGTTGGATTGGGTTACTGATGGTGATCGTTGGCGATCGTGATTGTTGTAACTGGTTGGAAAGCGGTTAGTAAATTGTAATATTCGTAAAACAACCACGAAAAGAACGTAGATTAATACGGTACTATTCTATGTTACGAAATCACCAGATTTCGAAATACATGTTTAGTCATCATGACAAATCGTAAAGTAACCAATAAGCGCAGTACACGTCAACGCTATTTCGAAATACATTTCGAAATAGTCGTGCAAACTCCGCCTACTTTCTAGTACTATAAAAGTACAACCTTTGTACACCTATTCAGTCAGCAATACGACCCGCTGCTCTTGGTACCAGCATTACTCTTTATTACTCTTATTCTCTATATATAATTGGTATTATTCTGTTAAATAAATTGCTACCCTGACTTCTACTATACATCGTATAACTCTACTATTGGAACCCCTTCAAGTCACAAATCCCGTAACCACGGACGGTTACAACAACAGATACATGCAATCACATGATCTCAATGCCTTCAAAACACTCACTGTTGCTAAAGTAAGTAAAGGTTTTTGATTTCTGGGTCTAAGTTATTATAAATGGTTTTTTGGGTTGAACATTATATTGTTTTAGGTGGGAAAGTAATAAAAATGACTTTTTTTAAAGTTATAGTTGATCTCATGGATAATCTACTTAATTTTTAGGCATTTGCCTCTTTGTTCAACATCGATTTAGCTCTAGAAACATTGAAAAAGAACAAGGCTCTAGCTGACAAGTCGATTTCTTATCAGTTATTGAATTTGTAAGTTTTCTAACTTCTGAATTTGTTTTTATTTTTAAAAATGAAGCTTTTAGACATTTTTTGTAGATTTTAATTAACATTTTTAGGTATTGAAAGATAGTTCTTGGTTTTAGAAGTATGTTTAGTGTTAGAAGGATAAAAAGTAGTTCTTAAAATTTGTTTGCCCGACCTTCTTTTGCCCGCGGGCTTATCTTTCAAATCTAGCGGGCCAAACTTTCAAGTCCAACCCGTTTCAACTATAGCTCAAGGCCGGCCCGCTTGAATTGTGAAGCCGGGCCTACACGGCTTGTTTCTCAATTTTAGTCTAGGGCCTTAAAAAAGCAATTAGAGGTAGGATACTTTGGAGTCGCTTGGCGCAACAAGCATTCGTTCGTATCGTCACAAAAATGAATGTCAACGCGAAGAAAGCGTCGTTGGGTCAATCGAAAGATTGTGTTTTGGTATTGTCCTATGAAGACGCTTTATTATAGAAATGATTTTTTTAATTTTTTGTATTTATTTTTGAACATTATTCTGTTTTTTGTATTTATTTAGCTTTTTTGTAAAAAAAGTGTTTCTTTCGCTTTAGCAAGGTTCATTGTGATAATCATTTTTTCAGATTTAAACTATTTGTTCGATTACAGTTAGTTTTGTGTGGTATTACCAACTCAATTTTAAATTTATTTTGTTATTATTAGCACGGCCTATAATAGGAAGTAGAATGAAAGTTTTTGTTAACCGTATGAATCCAGAAGTAAGTTTTTACAAACTTTTGATTTTGCGTATAATTATTCACAAAAAATGAACACAAAAATCAAATTTAAAAAAATTTAATATCAAGACGATTAATATCCAAATACTATAACAAATTACTCGTTTACATTACTTTTTAATATTTTAGTTGTGGCGCAGTGTTATAGAGCATGTGACCGTAATGGAAGATATGTGTTCGTTAGCTATGGTAAACAAATACTTTAGCAAACTTGTTAACATGGATTTTAAAAAGTTATGTTACGACCACGTGGTATATCGCCTAAAGAACGAAACGTGGACAGGCGCTTTTTCAAAGTAGGTCTACTCTATTTGACTGAGCTATACTTGCCTATTCTATTCTACCGACTCTCACCATACTTTCTGTTATTTTATGTGACCCTATTCTTCCTTTCTCTTACCCAACTTCAACCTCAATCTACCCTACCGGATCCTACTCTACCTTATCCTACCTTGCCTTATCGTACTCTACCTTACCCTACCTTGCCTGATCTTAGTCTACTTTACCCTACTTGGCCTGATCGTACTCTACCTTACCCTACTCCACTTGTTTCTACTATTTATTTTACTTAACTTTACTCTTCTTTGCTTCGTACTTCTTTGTTATATTCTTCTCTACCCTAACATACAATCTTTTGTTCCAGATTTGGAGATCGTTCATACAGGTTACGTAGCCATTCACAATATTATCAATGGCATTCTGTTTGTTGTCCGTTTACCGGAAAAATGGCAATAAATTTTAGGAATGGCTATGTTATTATGACCAATATTGACTTTGGTCTCAAGGAGTTCACAATGATTGACTTTACATCGTACGGAACCACGATATTTCGCGTGGACATAGTAAACCGAGGAAACGAACTTTTTGTCTTTGGCCGCAATGTTCTTGTGGTATATGATCTGAATACGTATACTACATATGTTTCATACAACTGTTGCTGGACATGTGCTGCTGGTTATGTAATTATTCGTACTGGCACTATTTTTGACTTACTATCGAAAAAAGAGTTTAAAATTGACGCAAAACGTGCACGTGGTTTTATACACCACAGTAACCTATTTGATAAGTTCAAATACGTTGGGGTACGCACAACAGACGACGAACTTGTCATAATTGATAATCAGACAGATGAAAGACATCATGTTTGTGAATGGAGATATTCAATGACTGTTCATATTGTAGATGAAACCGACTCTGTTGTTATTTTCAGTAAGAGCTTGTCTATACAAGCTTGTTCATATAATCCTGAGCTCCCTAACTTTGCAAAAATTTTTTAAAATAAAAAAAAACTTTTAAATAAAAAAATTTTTTTTAAGTAAAAACAAATTTTAAAAAAATTTTAAAATTTAAAAAATAGTTTTAAAGTTTTAACATGCTCTTTAGCGTATTTTACTTTGAGTTTAGTGTTTTCAACATTAAGTTTTGAAAATTAGAGTACTTTCGCTACCGTCCTCTAAAAACCATTAAATGATTTCTTTGTTATTTAGGCCAGGAATTGTGTCGAATATACAGTATGAAAAGAAGAATGTTTGTTTTTGTTCAGCATCGTGATACACAATGGCGTTTATTCAATTCTAATACCCTATTTGACAATCTTCAAGGCTCGGTAAGATCGTTTTGCTTTTTCACAGAGAAGGTACTAGACTTGCCCCTCTCAGAATCAGCTTAAAATTTTTGTATGATATTGTTGCACCATCAATAGTAACCATAAAAAAGTTCCGTATTTTAAACATTTAAACTTTCAGTTTTTAGTTCACAACAAACGGATGGATTGTTGGCAAGTGAAATCATGTGATAGTGGCCTTAATTTAAAACCACCAGAATACAACGTTTTTTGTGAGGCAGGGTTTGTGACATTACCAACTTACAAAGTCGTCAACGCTTATCCAAATGGCGTTGATACATGCGTCTATCTGAGCTTTAAAAAAGGCAAGTTTTATAAGAGTAAAGTAGAGTAGAGTAGAGTAGAGTAGAGTAGAGTAGAGTAGAGTAGAGTAGAGTAGAGTAGAGTAGAGTAGAGTAGAGTAGAGTAGAGTAGAGTAGAGTAGAGTAGAGTAGAGTAGAGTAGAGTAGAGTAGAGTAGAGTAGAGTAGAGTAGAGTAGAGTAGAGTAGAGTAGAGTAGAGTAGAGTAGAGTAGAGTAGAGTAGAGTAGAGTAGAGTAGAGTAGAGTAGAGTAGAGTAGAGTAGAGTAGAGTAGAGTAGAGTAGAGTAGAGTAGAGTAGAGTAGAGTAGAGTAGAGTAGAGTAGAGTAGAGTAGAGTAGAGTAGAGTAGAGTAGAGTAGAGTAGAGTAGAGTAGAGTAGAGTAGAGTAGAGTAGAGTAGAGTAGAGTAGAGTAGAGTAGAGTAGAGTAGAGTAGAGTAGAGTAGAGTAGAGTAGAGTAGAGTAGAGTAGAGTAGAGTAGAGTAGAGTAGAGTAGAGTAGAGTAGAGTAGAGTAGAGTAGAGTAGAGTAGAGTATCTAATCAACTTGACTTCAGGTAGTGTTCGAGTGAAAACATTTGATTCTGAATTTAAAAGGCATGAAAAATTTGATGGAACTACATTAGATTTCATCCTTTCCGACAATCATCTCATCTCACAGCTATCAGAAATGAAATTTCCTGTGCCATTAGTTGAATTAAGTGAGTTTTGCATCCGGCTGGCTCAATTATACACTGCCGAGCCAAGAGTGCGATTAATCAACGCCAGCTCTGGTTATACCGAAGATTTGAATTCTGGGCCAGAGAATGAAGAATATGGTTTATTACAAATAAATAATTTTTAACAATAGGTTATCTATTTAAAAAGCCGTATTTTAAATTTCAAAGGCTATAACATTATAAAACATGGTGGTAACAAGTTTAAAAAACCTTTAATTTGTAATACAAACTCAAACTCTCACTATAGTCAACACGGATAGGTCATTTCTTCACTTTGTTTAGGTTATAAAATTTCAAAAACAATATTTTGGCACAACTAATTTTCAAAAAACTTACCGTAATCTTATGTGTCTTGCAACGATTGTAATGAAGTGCCATAGCGTTTGGCGTTATATTTCATGTAAATAAATTGATTTTTTTTTATTTCAAGTAAATTTAGTTCTCTTTGGACTAAATTTAATTAAAATTAGCGTCAAAGTCTTTACCCTTTACAAATTTTATGCTTCATGTTGTGTTTCTATATTATACGTTATAGTATTATACAATTTCATGTCGTATTTTATGTTACTATAGATAGTTTGTTCCACTTACATTTTGTTCTGTTTCGTTCTGTGAAAGTAAATTTCTTGCGGGTATGACACGGTAATCTCTCATCGCTGGTTGGATACGCTGTTCGCAGCGGGTTGGTCGGAACAAGAGACAGCCGGTTTTATGTCGGCCGATTCATGACCAAACTATGTTTACTACGACTTTTTCTACTCTAAAATTGCAGTAGAATTTACTGTAAAATCGCAGTAGAATCTACGGTAAAATAGCAGTAGAAAAATGATGTTTCAGCTATTTTGGTTGATATTTTGTGGTAAAAGATAGTTTTATTGTATTTATGTGGGGCGGGGTTGATTTAGGTTAAAAGCCGAACCAGATATGGGGTATGTGGGTGGTGTAGCTTAAGTGGGGATTCTGCTGTTAATTTCTATGGTCTTGGTCTTCACCATTTATAGTACTGTGTTTTAACCTGACAATCGAGCTCTTAGATTTCAAGCTATTATAGCTAATAGACTTTTGTCGCGCGCTTTCTTTTTGTAAGGCCACAAAATTGATAATAACGCCAAAAAAAGCGACGGTAATATTGTCACAATGCTTGAGATTAACTTTATGGTAAAACTGTGGATTTGAACAAGTTTAGACATGTTTTTACTATTGTTTTACTACTTTTTTATGAATTTATTTAGTCTATGGTATCTTAGCAAGTACTGGTGCTGTGAAAGACGGGATGGTCGAATTTTATGTGTTGAGATTTCTTTGACGTTAAAATTAGTGAGTCGATGTGCCACTTTAGAACTAATACGCGCGCCATACGTTCGTGTCCATTCGTTTCTACAAATATAGAAATCGGCGCAAAGAAAGCGTCGTTTTGTCCATTGAAAAGCATTGTTTTATACTATGTTTTGAAGGCGTTTTGCTAAAGAAATGATGTTTGTACATTGTCGTATTTCTTTGGTTTAGCTATTAATTGCTAACTGATCTATTTTTTAGATTTAAACTTTTCATTATTTTAGATTTTAGGTATTTATATGATTGATTTTGGTATTATATCGGCATTTTTAAATGTAATTCAAATCACATGTCAGACAGGGCAATGCTTAAGGGTGTTTTTGAAAAACGTCAAGGTTGGCTTAAGGTGTTCATGAAAAAAAAATCAAGTTCGAAATGTTTAAGCAAATTGAGATGAATATGATGCGAAGTTCGTATTCACCTCAGTATAACCCCTTTGAGAGACATCTAAATTAAAATTTGAATAAGTAAACTGAAAGCATTCAAAAAATTCCAAATTGTAGTTATGGTGCAGGGTGATACATCATATAGCTGGAATGGAAGATATCTGTTCATTAGCCATGGTAAACAAGTGCTTTTACAAGCTGGTAAATCTGGATTTCAAAAAGTTGTGTTACCATCATGTGGTCTATCGCCTAAAAGACGAAACTTGGGCATATGCTTTTTCAAAGTGGGTTTCAGTTATGTTACCTTGCTCCAGCTTATTGTCCTCAACCCTATTTTGTCCCTCTCTTTCTTCAACTCTACACTGCTTTTCTTCTTCTTCTACCATCTCTTGTTTACTCCCCTATTATGCTTCCTTGTATTATAAATTTATTTTAGATTCGGAGATCGTTCATACTATATATCGGGCGCAGGATTCTACCATGAGCATTCTGTTTGTTGTCCATTTACTGGTAAAATGGCGATAACTCTTAAGAATGGCTATGTCATCCTGAACAATATCGACTTTTGCCTTAAGCAGTTCACTATCGTCGACTTTACATTGTATGTGAGGAAGATAAGGCGTGTTGACATAATCAATCGAGGAACAGAACTTATGATATTTAGCCACAATGTCATTTTAATATATGATTTGGACAGTAAGGTGACCTATTCATACAAATATCAACACTTATGTTTATCTGGTTATCATATCATTCGTAACGATGATACTATTTTTGATCTGTTTACGAAAAAAGAGTTTAAAATTGGCTCACAATATGGTAGGATACACTACAGTAATATGTATGACAATGCCAACTATGTTGGAGTGTACACAACAGACAACAAACTTGTGATAAATGATAAGCGGACAGATGAAAGACATCAAGTTTGTGAATGGACGCGTCATAATGTGGTTTATATCATAAATGAAAACGATTCTACTGTAATTTTTTGTAAGACCTTTAATTATATAACAGAGTTTATGTATACCCCCCCCCCTTTACCCTACCCTACATTAAGCTATCCTACCTTACTTCAATTTTCTTTATTTTAGATGGCATTGAACCATGTTGTATATACAGTATGAAAAAAAGAAAATTTGTTTTTTTTAACGAGGAAGGTGACGACTGGGTTTTCATCAATTCTAATACTCTTTTCAATGTAACAACCAGTTCCGTAAGGTTTTAAAGCTGTAAATTTAAAATTTTAAAAAAATCTTATTTGGTCTTTTTAAGTTCATGGTGTACAACAAACGAATGGACTGTTGGCAAATAAAACCAAGCGATCTCAACCTTCAATTGAAACGAAATTCGTTCAGGTTTAGCGTGGCCGACATCGCGCCACTACCACACTACAGAGTAATGGAATATGGAATCGATTCAAAATGGCATTGTAAAACGCGTTTATTTGAGTTTTGAAAAAGGTAAGTTTATAATGGTTATAAGGCATGGTTAACGATTATAAAGCCTGATTGATGAGTGACCGGTAAAGGATACTAGCCTTTTAAGCTAAGGCAGACCAAAACAGAAAAAACAGGACATAATGAAAATATAAATTGAGAATAGAGGTGTTTGTTATACCCTATTCCTGTAGAGCGTACGGTTGGATTATTAGAAAATTGTTCAAAAAAGAATGGCCGATTGTAACATTGATTTGTCTTCCAAAATTGGCCATTCTTTTTGAAATAACCTAATACATAAGACAGGTTAGGATTAAGATATAGATAACTAAAATAGAGCTTGAGAAAAGCTAAAATACGGCTAAAATAGAAACTGGGTGTACTAAAGTAGGGCAGTGGTAAGATAAAGCTATAGCATGCTTTAAGCAAGGCCAAGGGTGGGTAAGGTAACGTTGGACTAGGGCGTCGTAGAATAAGTTAGGGTGGGGTAGGATAGGGTAGGGTAGGGTAGGGTAGGGTAGGGTAGGGTAGGGTAGGGTAGGGTAGGGTAGGTTAGGGTAGGGTAGAGTAGGGTAAAATAAAGTATTACATAACTAATAAACTTCAGATAAAGTTCGAGTGAGAACCTTTGCTTCTGAGTTCAAACACCTTGCTATTAAAAATGGAATTTTTGAAGTTACTATCCTTGACAATCATCCCATCTCTCTACTATCAAAATTGACTTTTCCAGTGCCATTAGTTGAATTTAGTGAGTTGTGCAACCGGCTAGCTCAATTATGCATTGTAAGCACAGTTGTTCCATTAATTAGCGCTAATACTGGTACTGTTGAGCATTTAGATTTATGTCAAGAAGACGAAAATGATTTATTACAAATAAATAATTTTTAACAAGAGATTATCTTTTACAAAAGCTGAATTTTAAATTTCAAAGGCCCGTCAAAAATAAAATTATTGGTTTTAAAAAGTCTTGTCGTATTTTAACGTGCAAATCAATGCAAATTGGCGACAATTTTTTCAAAAGTTTTTTATGCTTTCTAGTATGAGTAGTACAATGTTCAATAATATCAAATAGCCCAAATAAAGTTTTGTCGTTTTTTATCGTGCAAATCAGTGCGAATTGGCGACAGGACTTTTTACTCCCAAATAGTTGTGTTGTTTCTGTTTATATATTATACAATGCTATTATATTACATAGAAATTTGGATATAAAACAAGAATAAAGACAAAATAGTCTAAAATAGTTGAAAGAAAACAAAGAAAATATCACAGATTTAACGATTATTTACAAAATAATGATGTGAATGCTAGAGCTAGTGTAACATAAGATATGAATAATAAAATATATGATTAAATATAGGAAACATTGGGTAAAAAGGCTCAAAAGTCTGTGACAAATCAAGTTATATACAATATATCACTCTGTTTTGGTCATAAAAATGTAAAAAAAATCTTGTCGCCAATTTGCATTAGTTCCAGTGATGAAAAACGACAAGACTTTTTTTGTTGTTTTAAATTTTTAAAAAAGTTTTATAGCTAAATTTTTAATCTTATAATGTAAATAATTATGAACATAATACATCCATTTGTTGGTACTGTAGCCTTGAAATAATGAACCTGGTAGTACTGTTTGGGACAATGAGATCTGATTCTTGATGTGAGATCTCAAAAGTTTGGTTGGTTCTAAGTGGGAATGGAACAAGTCTATGTTTGTTAAGGTTGTATTGGCTGTTTTGCCTAAAACTTATAGCTAGATTGATTAATAAATGGCACATGATATAGGGTAGGGTAGGGTAGGATAGGGTAAGGTAGGGTAGGGTAGGGTAGGGTAGGGTAGGGTAGGGTAGGGTAGTGTAGGGTAGGGTAGGGTAGGGTAAGGTAGGGTAGGGTAGGGTAGGGTAGGGTAGGGTAGGGTAGGGTAGGGTAGGGTAGGGTAGGGTAGGGTAGGGTAGGGTAGGGTAGGGTAGGGTAGGGTAGGGTAGGGTAGGGTAGGGTAGGGTAGGGTAGGGTAGGGTAGGGTAGGGTAGGGTAGGGTAGGGTAGGGTAGGGTAGGGTAGGGTAGGGTAGGGTAGGGTAGGGTAGGGTAGGGTAGGGTAGGGTAGGGTAGGGTAGGGTAGGGTAGGGTAGGGTAGGGTAGGGTAGGGTAGGGTAGGGTAGGGTAGGGTAGGGTAGGGTAGGGTAGGGTAGGGCAGGGCAGGGCAGGGTAGGGTAGAATAAGAAAAAGTAAGGTAAAGTAAAAACTTACTAGCCAGCACAGCTAACATAATATCATCAGGAAGCCCAAAATATCTTTTAAAAATCTTTGAAACATGTTGGAACATTTTCTGAGTAACTGGCCGGCTCAAGCAATATCCAGCACCACCAGTACCAAACCAATATTCGAATCCTTTGATATGTATCGGACCTGTGCTTACTTTGCCAAAGTAATATCGCTTTTTACTGTCGTATTGTGACAAAAACTTTTTCAAGTTTAGAATGTTGACGTAACTGTCATCATCAAAGTGGCAGGACCAGCTGAAAAGACTATGATAAGGTAGGCAAGGCAAGGCAAGGCAAGGCAAGGCAAGGCAAGGCAAGGCAAGGCAAGGCAAGGCAAGGCAAGGCAAGGCAAGGCAAGGTGGGTACGGTATGGTATTGTCGGATATGGTAGGGCAGGGTAAGTCAAGGTAGGATAAGTAGACAAGACATTTTTGATGTTTAATATCGTACGGGAAATGATAAAAAATGTTAATTCCAGCTTATCACACCAATGTTTATGGTCTAATACGAGATTTTAAGGTCAAGAAGGTCTGTTTGCATATAATATTGAACATGATAAATAAAAAGATAAGAAACCTACTGAGCATTATGTCGATGAAACAATAAGAGCTCATGTTTCAACTTGCATATTAGGTCTTGGCTGAAAGTTAAAGTTACAATGTAACGTAATAATAATGTTTTTTAAAGATTTAATCATTTTTTTAAGATTATACACCAAAAAAAGTCTTGTCGTCGATTTACCTTAAATTGCACGTCAAAAAACGACAAGACTTTTTTTGTTGCTTTAATATTAAAAAATAAGTTTAAACGTATGTTTAGATAACTTTTTATATATAAAAACCTAACCTGCTGTGACTGTTTCCACAACTTGTCTTAATAACCTGATTTTCCAGTCCTTGACTAACATTGTTTGTACTATCTGATACTATTTTGTACTCCTGAAACATTTTTTTTTAATTTTTTGATTTTAACAAAAAATTTTAATTTTACAAAGCTAATGCATCGTATTTTACCTTTTAAAATTAAAGCTTTTCTTAAAAAACCTCAAAATAAATGTTTTTTAGGGCCGTCAAGGCCGAAGACTTGAAAGTAATGAGGTTTCACGGTCAGTTACCTCGGTAATTTATTCAAAAAATATGCTTGAAACGAAAAAATGAATTAAAAATAGTGCTTGGCAAGGCTTTTTGATAGTTTTTAAAGGTAAATTCAGGTAGTGTTTAAAAAAGGTTTTTAATTTTCAAATATTGTAAAAAAACCAACAGAGGGGACCAAGTTCAATTTTTTTTTTCAAAAAAAAATTTTTTAATAAAAGAAGTAAGTTGAAATTTAAAAAAAAGCATACAGTACCGTACAATGCTAGTTTTAAACAATTTTAAAAAAATTAAAAAAAAATTTTTTTGTTTGCAAAAATCAACAAGGGGGCCCAAGTTCAACTTTTTTCGAAAAAAATTTTTTTAACAAAAGAAATAAATTAAAATTTTAAAAACAAGCATACAACACAGTATAATAAAAGGGAAAGGGGTACTAATCACAATCTAAAAGAAAAAAAATTTTTGCCTACTTTATTTTCAAAAAGAATCAACAGGGGGGACCAAGTTCAAATTTCTTTTCAAAGAAAAATTTTTTTAATAAAAGGAGTAAGTTAAAATATTAAAAACAAGCACACATTCCAGTAAAATAAGAGGAGAAAAACTAATAACCACAATTTAAAAATAAAAAAATTTTTTTTTTGTCAATTAGGTTTTCAAAAAAAAAATCAACAGGGGGACCAAGTTAAATTTTCTTTCAAAAAAAATTTTTAATAAAAGAAGTAAGTTGAAATTTTGAAAACAAGCATACAATACAGTATAATAAATGAAGAAGGAGTACTTCTCACAATTTGAAAATAAAAAAAAATTTTAGTCAAATGTGTTTTCCAAAATAATCAACAGGGGGGACCAAGTTCAACTTTTTTTGAAAAAAAAATTTTGTCAGTCGAAGGGTATGACATTACTTTTTCATATTTTAATAATGGAAAGCTTATCAAAAAGCCAGTAATTTTACAAATCAACTCACAGATGGTTTGAGATTCTGCAGCCAAGTGTCTTCCAAGACTGTTAATCGGGTCTTGTGATTCGACTCGGTGGACTTTATCGTTATGAAAAGGAAGTTTTCATTGTTTGATACAGGTTGAATTGCCTAAAAATAGAAAAAATATATAATTAGGTGTTAAGATATTATAAAAAAGAACATAAAAACCTAAAAAAATGAGCTTAAAAACTTAAATTTAAGCCTAAAAGGTTTAAAAAGCGCCTAAAAATAGCAAAAAAGCTTTAAAAATCAGAAAAAAGTTTAAGAAAAACTACCAAAACTTATTGACTCTAATCAAAAAACCGAAATTTTAGATCTAAAAATCATTCCTTACCTTCTGAAGATTAAGAAAAGCCAGAAGAAGCAGCCATTTGGATGTCATGAGGAAAGTTATGATCGAATAACTAAAGGCATGTTCGTCTTCTTTGCACACCGCCCTCCGTTTAGTGTCGACCTTTAATACCCGTAATGGCTCATTAGTCATACGCGCATCATTAAAGCAACAAAACGCAATTTGGAACATTCGAATTTTGGGATCAAAGAAATTTTGAAAGGCGTGGTAAATTGTATTTGAGAGGAAGGGAGAGGGGATTTTGGTACAGTATATATAGCCAGTGCTCTGGGTTAGAGCTTTCGGCTAGAGCTCTAGGCTAAGGCTCGGGGTTAGGGCTCTGGACTAAGGTCCTGAGCTAGGGCGTTGAGCTAGGACTCTGAGCTAGGACTCTGGGCTAGGGCTCTGGGCTAGGACTCTGGGCTAGGAATCCGGGCTAGGGCTCTGGGCTAGGGCTCTGGGCTAGGACACTGAACTAGGGCTTTGGGCTAGGGCTCTAGGCTAGAGCTTTGGACTAGTAAAAGAAGAGTAAAATACGTTTTAACTACAGTAAACTAAAATTTAGATTTGTCTTGTCTACCTGACAGTAACCAACAACAAAAACTACGATAATGCCCTAAGGGCTCTAGGGTCAGGGTAGGTTACAGTAGAGCTTGACTATCTACCTTACTTTATCAAGAACAGAGCAGTGCTTGAGGTAGGGTAGGGGAAAAAGAACGTTCTTGCCGTTTTTGATTTTGTAAAGATAGTTCTTTCCAGTTTTTGACTTAATAGAACATAACTGTCATGTAACTGTTGACGGAAGCTGTGGTATGTCGCCGAGGGTAATGTGGAGTGTCTTGCGATGAGTTTTTACTGTGGGATTTCCACTAAGAGCTTATAAATGGCATGAACAATATATTATATCACATCGGCTTTATCTATTTTCACATAGACAGTTCATGTGAATATGAGGTTTTACAAGGCTATGACTTGAGATTTCATGCCAATATAAGCCTTACCATACCAACTATACACTACACACCTTGTATCGCAGTAATACTAAGCTAATATACAGATTTACCAAAACAATACATATTAATAACCAACCCTCATTACACTTATTTATTCGTACTGTTTAGCATCGTACTATACACATGTGAGCGACTTGTATTACAGGAACTTGTATTAACATATAACTGAAGATCATTGGGACATTGTTTGTTTTCAATTGGAATACCCGTTTAATGGTGGTGCAGTTCGTGGTGGCAATATAGCTTTAGGTCATTCGGGATGGGCTGCGCAGCACTATGTTACCAGCCGGCTCGACCAGCGTCTCTTCCGACACCGACCGGTCTTTCGTGCCGCCGGCTTCGATTCGATTCTGAAATAGGGAGTGAGTGAGCGGGTATGGCGTTTTAAGTGAAATTTTTAAATTTTAAAAATTTTAAAAATTGAAAAAAAAATTTATGTTCTTGCCATTTTTTGTTTTGTAAAGAAAATTTTTGCCATTTCTTGTTTTGTAAAGAAAGTTCTTGCCATTTTTTACTTTGTAAAGAAAGTTCTTGCAATTTCTTGTTTTGTAAAGAAAGTTCTTGCCATTTTTTTACTTTGTAAAGAAAATTTTTTCCATTTCTTGTTTTGTAAAGAAAGTTTTTGCTTTTTGAAACTCAAAAAAAAATTTTTTTTTTTAAATATAAAAATTTTTAAAATTTAAAATTTTTTGCAAAATTGCATTTTAAGCCTATAATTCATTTAAACATAAGCGTAAAACAGTTATTGTTTCATAAAAATTTTTAAATTTTCAAAATTAGAAAATTTCAATTTTTTCAAAAATTTTAAACTCCAAAAAATCGTTTTGACCCACTTCCCACGCCCAAAACCAACCTTATTCAATTCACGTTTGAGCTCCTCGATCTGTTCTCGCTGTTCTTTGATGACTTGTGATAGGGCTGTCAGATGGTTCATTAGTGGCGCAGCAACGGCAGTTAACTTATAACAAGGTACGAAAGGCAAGTTCCTTTCAGCATCTTCACTGATCTTGTCTGAGTCCTGGCGACGGTTACTCATTCCTAAAAATAGGGGATTATTGGTTTTAAGCGTAACTTTTAATTTTTTGTAATGATAAGGTGGGATTGGGTATGATAGGGTTGGGTGTAAGATAGGACAGGCCAAAATAGACGGATAAGTTAAAGTAGGGCAGAGCAGAATAATATAGGGCTGACTAGAACAAAACGTGAAAAAGTGAATTTAAAATTAAGTAAGTGGGTTCTAAAAATGGTAAGAACTTTCTTTACAAAACGTAGAATTGCAAGAACTTTCTTTACAGACAAAAAATTGGCAAGAACTTTCTTTACGAAGCTTAAGATAACAAGAACTTTCTTTACAAAGCAAAAAATGGCAAGAATTTTCTTTACAAAACTTAAAATGGCAAGAACTTTCTTTACAAATCAAAAAATGGCAATAATTTTCTTTGTAGAACAAAAAATGACAAGAACTTTATTTACAAAGCCAAAAACGGCAATAACTTTCTTTACGAATCAGAAAATGGCAATAATTTTCTTTACAGTACCAAAAACTTTAAATTTTTTTTATTTTAAAATTTTTGAAAAAATTTTTAATTTTATTTGTATATAAAATTTAAAATTTAAACCTTTGTCAATTCTGCCCTACCCTATTCTCCTTCGTCTATGTTTTTAAAAACTAAATTTTTTTTTCACTTCTAAACCTACTAGTATTAATGCAATCGATCAACCGATTCCCATGGACAATAGCCGACAAAGCCAGTTCATTTGGCTTTCGATTCTTCAAGTTGATGGTTGACATTCCAGTCAACGTCTCAGCGATCAGCTCCATATCTTCTTTGGTCAACTTGTTGTCCTGCATCAAATCATTCGCCAGTACAGTATGCTTGTCAACCAGAGCTTGAGTGATTTGTTGATCACTTCTTCGGATCCGTTCGATCGGATTCAGGACCGGCGGCTTCGGTGGCTGAGCCGCAACCTTGGCTGCTTGAGCTTGTTCCATGACTAGTACCTGAGGCTTCTGAATCACAATCTCGCTAGCCTTCACCAAGCCAGCATGCATTGTGACCTGAACCTCTTCCGCGACCTCATTATTGCCAGAGGGGCTGTTGTCATCGGCCGACAGCTGGCCCGACTTGATCTTTGGCATCACGTTCATGAAGTCGGTCTCGAAGTTTTGTGGCAGATCAGACTTGGCAGCCGAGATTTGGGATCGAAGCAACTGCTCCCAGGTCTTCTTCTCAGTGACGGACTGAGCTTGAAGTTCGTAGGTTCGAAGGTCACGTTCATAAAAGATGACAAACGCTCTTTTGTCACCAGTCTTCTCTTCGACAGTAACTGATGGTAGCCAAAGTAAAGGTACGGCATTGAATTCGGATGTTCGCATATAGTACTTGTTGTCATTGCCTTTGGTGAGGATTAGGAGAAGATAGTCGAGTAGGACTAGGTGCATATCGGTTTTGCCTCGAGAATGACGCCATGTCACATCACCGTTGTATACGTAGCGGTATCTAGAATTTAGAAAAGTGAAAGTTAAAAATATTTTTTTGAAAGTGGGGTATAGTGGGATACTGTATTTTAGATGGTAGGGCTAGGACATAATAAGCCTTGTCGCAAAGCTATGACAAAATGAAGTTATAGTAGAGAAAGAATATGGTAGGGTAACGGAAATGGTATAGCAGAGCCATAGTATGGTAGAGTTAGGGTAAGGTTAAGTTAAGAAGGAAAGGCCATGGAAGGCTATGTCTATCCTAACCTCGGGCTACGGCAGGGCAATGACAAAATGAATTTATGGTATGGCTAGATAAGGTTGGTCTATTTTAGGGTAAGACTACGACAATATAAGATCATGGTGTGGTAGTATAGGGCTATGGTAAAGATGGGCTACAGTAGGGTTAGGCCAAAGTATAATAGGATAAGATACGGCAAAGTAGAGTAATATTAGATAGAGTAGAGTAGGGTAGGGTAGGATAGGGTAGGGTAGGGTAGGGTAGGGTAGGGTAGGGTAGGGTAGGGTAGGGTAGGGTAGGGTAGAATAGGATAAGGTAAGCAAGAAAAAACCCAAAAAACCTACTGCATGATATCAAACTTCCGAATAACATCATCATAAGGCCGATTCGAAGTAGGCATCTCGATCTTCCGATGAATCTCTTCCAAATGTCTCTTATTCTCTGCGTCTCTCTTCGCCGTATTCACCGCCGACAACAGCTTCTTCGCGCCGGCGCACGCTTCTGTATATTGCTGGAATTCTTCCGACGACTCGGAAGTGTACCTGAGTATCGTATCCAAGAGGAGTGGGTATTTGACTAGACGTTGCATTTCGACCGGTAAAAGGTCTTTCAGCTGGAACTTGCGGCATAATGGGTTGCTTTCGGCTTTAGACAGGAAGGCTGATAGGTTCTCGTCTTTTTGGCGTCTGAAATGATTGGGTGGGGTTAATTGGCTTCACTAGAAAAAAAATTTTTTTTTTGAAATCTACCCTCCCCCCCCCTCTTAATTACTCTATCTTGCCCTGCCCTAACCAATCTTAATCTACCTCTATCCCTACCCCTCCCCGGCCAAAAATTACCCCTCCCAATTACTCAAAAAACTCACCTCTCCCCCAACAACTTCAGCCCATACTGCTGATTCTGGCAAAACACCGAAGCCGCCTTCTTGAACCTCTCCCCATCATCGTCGACAAAGAAGCTGGCTACGGTGGCACCCAATTTCGCATATAATCCATCATACTGTGGGTCCTTCTTCCATTGCTCTACCACAACACGCATTTTTTGAAACATTCCAGCGTGAATTTCAATCAACTCGTCCAGATTGGAAAAGACCATGGAAACAAAGTCTTTGCGGGCCAGTTTTTGCTCGAGAATCGGCCGATGAAAGACGCGGTAGAGGACTTTGAGGTTACGGACATGGCTTCGTTCCGTGTGGTAGAACTCTGAAATCCGAATTTTTAAGCTTTGAATTAACTTGCTTTAAGAAATTACGTTAATTTAAGCATTTTGATCATGTTGTTTTAGATCATATTGTACTAAACATCATTTTTTAAAATTTAAAAAATTTTTCAAAGCTTTATTTATCAAAATTCAATGAAATTCCTTGTAAAACATAGTCAAGAACACGAAAAACCTGAATTTCGCTGTGGAATCCTCCTATTTTTCAGAAAAAAAAATATTTTTTGCCGTTCATGGATAATATTTTCCGTTTATAAAGTGTTTATAGCTAATTTAATAACTTATATTTGCTAAATCTAAACCATTCTTTTTGTTTTTCAACCTGCTTTGCCCAATTTTTTCAAATTTTTAAAGTTTCTTCAATATTTTTCATTTTTTTCATTGATGGTGAAGATTTTAGATAATTTTTTGATAAAAACAGCTGATTGGCTAATTGAAATGGATCAAACAATGTAACGTAAGTCTTTTAATATTAGTTTTGTTGCATTTTTAGGTGTTATAAAGATAAACGACGGATTATATTATGAGTGGCTTGAAAATCTGATGTTATGGATAATATCGGGTCAAAAATAAGGTTCTTTTTACCACTAAGCATATCTATTTGGTTTTAAAAGTTGCATTTTAAAGTGTTCAAGGTCTTAGAAGTAAGTAGAACCTTTGAAATGTCCAAAATACTCAGATTGATCCAATATTATCCATTGTTTCCAATATCGATCTCATGGATAATATAGGTGAAAGAATTCGCTGTTTGGGGCAGAAAAGCAATTTTTTTATTTTTAAAATATTAAACATAGTAATACGCAACTTTGACATGCAAAAAGCTGTGATATGCGATGAAAAGAGGCCTTCTTTTGACCCAATATTAACCATGACATCAGATTACAAGTCAATTATAATATAAGCTAATTTTTGGGAGACTTAAACGTCACAACAAGGAACTTTACCTCTCATTAACTCCACAAAACACTCCTCTTCCTTACCGTTTATGCTTTCTTGCAATTTCCTTAGTTTTGGATCAATTCTCTTCAAAATTTGCCAACTGATAATCTGATCCAATGGTGGAAGTTCGACTTCCATTTCGAGGTCTGAATCATTTTCAGCAATGTCCAGCATTCCTTCTGGGTTTACCGAGATTGCGGAGCTACTGCCAGTGACTGATTTTACGTCCAGTCCTCTCGTACTGACCGTGGCGGCTTCTTCGTACTCCATACCTGGTTGTTCATTGACGTCTTCTAGTTGGGAGCGGATACGTTCGCGGGTCTAGAAATTAAGTATTAGGTGATTATGGCGATTCTATGAAAAGGAATATGATTTTTATGATGCTGAAGACATACTAATAGCTAGAAGAGGAAGCTGGTGCTATATAGTGCGTGTTTAAAAACCGGTTTAGTACTAAAACTCTGACTTTTTCTGAACTCACCTTGATACTCTGCGACCTCGAAACCGGCTTATTGTCAACATCAGCTCCGATCCCAGAATCCGACGAGGTCGATTTGGCAGCGTTCTCCACGACATGACTGACCGCCCGGGCCTGGACGGGTATGTCAGGTGGCGGGTGGGGTGGCGGCTCTAGCGCGGACTCCATTTGAGCGTAGAAGGGTGTGACGTGCGCGGTGGGGTCATGACCCATAGACCGGGTGTCCAGGACGTGCCGATTCTGATGCACGGGTGCTTGTTGTGCTAGCTGACTTAGTGCTGACGTCGTACTGCTGAGGTTGATAGTGGAGGTGGTGCGGCTTCGGGCCGTTGAGGCGACTCCTTGTTTTTGGGCTTGGCCTGAGGTGTGGGATTTGGATTTTTGGACTGGATAACAGCGGTCGGCTAGCGAGTTGGTGCACTGTTTGTGCACTATTACGTCACAGTCTGGAATTTTTTTGAAATTTAGCTTTGTCTTGGCCCCCCCCTAGTTCTGCTCTCCACAGCCCGACAGCCCATTGTTGACCTTCAAAAAACAAAATCACATGCCCAACCATCCCCCCCCCCCAGAAGTTTTTTGTTCAGAATTCGAAATCAGTTGGCCACTTTACAAAACCAAGTCATTTGACATTGTTTTGACATCAAAATCCGTTCAAAACTAGCCAAAACCGACTGGTCGGATCCGCTGCAGCCCTGGGAAACCGTTCCCCAAACCGCTAGCCGGAAATCCGACCCATTTTTCTGCATGCGATGAAGGGCTTGGTGGGGATCACGCGAATCGACGCTATATGCCCTCGGGGATTTGCGGCCATACCACGTCTCGTACCGATGACATAGAGACATCGTTTTGGTTTTTACACTAAAGTTTTGCGTGTCTGGCGGATTGGAAATGGAGTTTGGGTTGAAAAATTGAAAAAACACTACCCTGCCTATAAAGAAAAATAAAAAAAAATTTAAAAACACCCCTTGACCTTAAAAAACACTGTTAACTACAAAAAAATCCACTTCTGACCCAAGAAATTACTATTCTTAAAATTATCCCGCCCTAGCAAAAAGTATCAAAATTTCAAAAAAAAATCCACCCCCGTTTGAAAAAAATCACTCCAATATGAAATAATACCCCCGTCGACAGAAACAACTTTCAGTCTTATCTACCAACCCTACTATAAAAAACACCCCTCAAAACAATTTACCACACCCTGTACTAAAAACCATTCTCCAAATGTAATTACCACGCTGTTTTCAAAAAATCTACCCTCAGTCGTATTTACCACCCCTAACTATAAAAAAACGCCCCTCGAACCTAGTTACCACCCCCATCTTATAAAACTCCATTCTAGTATGAAACTACCACCCCTAGCTCTAGAAAACAACCCTAAACCCGAAATCTCACCCCTACTCCAAAAACAGCCCTCAACCCATCCCTAAAAATCAACCCTAACCCAAACTACCACCCCTACCCCTAAAAACCCCCCTTAAACCCAAACTACCACCCCTACTCCTAAAACCCCCCCCCCTAAAAACCCTAACAACCACCCCTACTTCTAAAAAATCCCTCTTAAACCCAAACTACCACTCCTACCCCAAAAAGCAGCCCTCAACCCCGACCACCCCACCCCCGTCCCGAACCAACACAGCAAAGGAAGGAAGAGTCCCATGCCTGCGGTTCGTGTGATGGACGACTTGTACTTGATGGGTTTTTTGCCGAGGCGGAGCGTTTTTTCGAATCCCCGGGGGTGCGCTACGTTTTTCGACGCGATTCCCAATGTTTTGACGGATTTGAAAATTTTAATTTTTAAGCTTCAAAGAAGCCAAAAGGTTTGATTACGGCTTTATAATTACCATGCCCTACCCTACACTACCCTACCCTACCCTACACTACCCTACACTACCCTACCCTACCCTACCCTACCCTACCCTACCCTACCCTACCCTACCCTACCCTACCCTACCCTACCCTACCCTACCCTACCCTACTCTACCTAGACATGAGAAACGAGCCGGGCTTACCATTCGTCCAGACCGGCCTTGATCCAAATTTTGATCGGGTTGGACCGGAAAATTAGGCCCGGCCCGGCCAGTTCGTCATATCTAACCCTACCCTACCTTACCCTACCCTTACTTACCCTAACTTACTCTACCGTATCCTGCCCTATCGTGCCTTGTCTTCCTTTACCTTGTGCTATCGTATCCTACCCTAACCTACAGTATCGTAGCCTAAACAAAAGTGAAGAACCGCAACCTACCGTACGGTAACTCAATGACTTCTATGACCTACTATCCTACAGTAGCCTTGTCTGTGCTTGCGAAAAATTATCAAACTTTTCATAACTGCTTCTACTCTACTATGTCTTATCCTTCAACATACTATTGATGTCTTATCTGATACTCAGATAAATTTAAAGAACTAAGCCCAAAAGCAAGCCCAAAACGTTCACTTACTCTAACAATATTACGCCTAAAGTCCTCACTTACTCTTACAAAAATAAACCTTAAACATTCACTTACTCTGACAAAAATAAGCCTGCGGATTGACTCCCCACACCGCATCTCTGCATTGATAGCAATGTACAGTCAAATAGACCGACTGTAGATTGAACTGATGATCCATAATCTGCACGGTCCGCTTCGGAATCATAGGTTTCATTCGAAACACACCACTTTTGGCGGTAGAAGTGACAAAAGTGGGGCACTTCTCCAACAACTTCTCCCACTGAACTTGACTCGGCTTTATGTTGAGTACCACCTTGATTACACTAGCCAACGATATGATTAGGGCTAGTCCACGAGCATCGGCTTTTTCTATATCGTTGTTGCAAAGTTGGAACAGCTCTTCCAATATTGTCATCAGCACTTGTTCCGCGAACTTTGGACGACCTCCGCTTCGGGTTTCGGAACGGGAACGGGTGAACACTAAAATTGGAAATGTCACGACTGATCACTCAAAGATTAACTTTGACGTATTTTACAAAAGTTATCCTACCCTACTTTAACCTACCCTACCTTAATCCATAATCTTATTTCATTTTCTACAAAAATTTTTGAATTTTCATTTTGGCGGGATTTTTTGGCATTCTGTTGCGATAGTATAACTAATGCACTGGAACATATGAACATCGTATTTTACTAAAAACCATGACAATTTATGATTTAAATTCAGTTTTTATTATAATTTTTAAAATTTTTTGAATTTTTATTTTTGCGGGTTTTTTGGCATTCTGTTACTAGGCTATAAATGCGCCGTGTTAGTTAAGATCTTCGTATTTTACAAAAAAATAAGTACTATATAAGTAATATAACCGTTTGTTTTTAAATTTTGGTGAAAAAATTTATTTTCGCGGGTTTTTTGGCATTCCGTTTCATACGCTTTTTTTAAACTAAAATCATTAAAAAACTTCATTTTTATGCTAAACAACTCAAGAAAAAAAAATTAAAAAATTAAATTTTTAGGCCAAACAACTCATTCTAAGCCAAAAAACAGCTAACCAACTTACTCAATGACCTCTTATACTCTCCAAAGTTGTCCTCCATGGAGCTCAAGCTCTTGCTTCGACATGATATGAACACCTTCTTCAACTGCTCTCCATCTGTATTGTGCTGACTGTTGAAGGAGCCCAAAATCCGGTCGATCGACTGAATTTGCACTTGTGTTATGCCCGGTACAATCAGTGGTGCACCCGGAATGAGGAAAGTGGAGAAAATCTCGTAGGCAAATCGACGTAATTCTTTTAATGGAGCCGTGCAGCTTTGGAAGGCGGCCGTAATGAGGTAGAAGAGCTGAAACAATCCCAAGATTAATGGTTTTAATGGAGGAATGAGCTGGGAGGAGATGAGTTATGTGGTTGGGTCATGAGCTAGATTTTTTTCTGAATTTATAAGAAAGCAGCCTACTGCTCTAAAAACAAGTTTAATCTCAAAAGCGAGTAAAATAAGACCTATATCGTCTAATCTTAGCCTAAATCATGCTTAATACAATGCAAAAACATATGCCCATAACTAAGCCTAAGCTTAAGACTAAGTCCAATCTCAATCATAAGCAAAAGTCTAAACATAATTCTAGGGTAAGCTTATGTCCAAGAATAAGTCAGAGGTTAAGCCTAAGCATAAGTCTACGGTTACGTCTGATCTTAAAACTGGACTTGGGCTTAGACCTTAGACTAAGCCTCAGTTTACGCCTAAGCCTAAGTCAAAGCTAAAGCCTAAGCCCAAGCATAAGCCTGAGCTCAAACCTAAGTTTAAGACTAATTAAGTGTAAAAATAAAGCCTATAAACCTACCGTGCTTGAAGGATCCCCCTGATGAATGGAATAATTCAAAAACCCAGCCAATTCGTCCGGATTCCTCCTCAAATCATTCATATTGCCAAACGATGTCAACGTCATATTAGTTTCCTCGACATTCTCATGATGATGTTCTTCAATCTCTTCGTCTCTACCCAAAGTTTCGGTCAAATCTTTAAGCGAACCCTGGGCATAGTGCTTCCCGCCAGAGTTCACCCACGCTCGCACCGGCTCCACGATGTCCGATGGCTCCTGGAAGGGTTGGAAATTATTAAATTTCGAAAAAAACTTTAATTTTGAATTGGTTTTTAATTTTTTTAAGCAAAAATAGCCTTTTTCAAAAATTAAAAAAAGTTAAAGTGGAGTGGAAGATTTTCAGTGCAAAATACATTAAAAATCTTCCACTAAACTTCCATATCTAAAAAGTGTCAAAAACGTGGTTTTAAGCCATTTTAAGGCTTTTTGAAAATGGAATTTAAAGAAAGTTCTTGCCATTTTATGCTTTGTAGAGAAAGTTTTTGCCATTTATCGTAAAAAATATTAAAAATAAAAAAAGGTAAAAAAACAACCCCCCCCCCCCAAAAATTATTAAATACAGAAATTACCCCGCCCTCCCAAAAAAGATATAATTTTAGATATTATGACCCAAACCAAAACCAAAAATTAAAAAAAATATTAGATTCCCGAGGAAACAAGATTAAGAATGATCAAACATACCAACTGATCGTCCGAACTGGTCGATTGGTAGCTGTTCCTCGAACTGTTTTCGACTTCCCGAACTCTCTGCAGTGACTTGTCGACTGTGTTGAAGCTGGATTGTCTTGAGTTGGGGACACTCTGAAATTTTTTTGACTCAAAATCTATATTATTCAAAAAAAAACGAAACCACCCCCAAAATAAAAAAAAACAAAATTTAAACCGCCCACGGAAAAATTTTAAAATTTAAAAAACTTCCCAACTCTTAATTTTTACCTCTTTATTCCGTCCCAGCTATAAAATCCACCCTTAAAATAAAAAATTAAAATTTACCCCGCCCAAAACAATTTGCTTTTCTAAGTTTCTTAAATTTAAAGATTTTCCCTACCCTAACTTTTTAGCTTTATCTTCCTCCCAAACAATAAAATCCACCCCTGAAAATAAAAAAAAAATTTACCTCGCCTAAAAATTTTTTTTTCTATATACTCTAAATTAAAGAAAGCCCACTACCCTTAATTTTTACTCTTCTTCCTTGTCTTAACTATAAAAAACACCACAAAATAAAAAAAATTTGCCATGCCCTTAAAAAAAATTTTTTTAATACTTTTTGACCCTAAAACTCACCCTGCCACCCCTCCCCGACAGCTCTAGCTAATCAACCTCCTCCTATCCTAAGTAACACCCTCCCACCTTATTCAGCTAACAAATTTCACCCCTACTCTAAAAATCAATTCCCCTGCCTCCTACATCTAAAGCTAAGAATTCGCCTTCTACCCCCATCCCCCTCTCGAACTTGACCAGCTAAACTCTCTAGCCTTACCCAAAAAAATCAACCCCAACTCTAAAAGAATAGTAACACTCCCACCCTAATTCCATGCAAGCCGGTCTGTCACAGTTGTCATCACGAGGAGAATGCAACAAATTCTGGAGAAAAAGTTTTTTTTTCTCGGAAAAGTGGCCCAGAAATCCCACCAAATCAAGGAATCGGGAAGTCGGGCTGAGCTTTAGTTAGGGGGATGTCATCAAAAAAAGACTCTGGTTTCTTGTCTTTAAACGCGGTTTGGGGGGGGGCGCGCGGGTAGACAAATGTCCGGCCTTCTGATGCGACATCACGAAGAAGAGGATTCTGTGTCCAAAATCTGTTTTGACACCAAATTTTTGCGTTTTGGCCGCCAATGTCTGCGGTCCAAAGTTTGAGGATATGATATGGTGGGAGGAAGGATGTTAAGGGTATGATATTGGGAAGGGTTAAGGGGTGCAACGGGTGAGGAAGGATGTTAAGGATATGATGTAGGAGAAGGGATTAACTACCAAAGATAAGGGCTTTGTCAGAGGGAGAGAGGAATGAATGCGAGTGGACCATTCATTAGAGAGTAGGCTTAAAAGGCTTAGGCTGATAAAAAGTAACCTTAGTAGGCTTATTTTTAGTACACTAACAGTTAGTAGGCTCAAGCTTAGTAGGCTTAGGCTTAGTTAGATTAAGCTTAATACGCTTAGGTTTAGTAGGATCAGGCTTAGTAGGCTTAGGAGGTTTAGGCTTAGTAGGCTTAGGCCTAGTAGGCTTAGGCTTCGTCGGCTTAGGCTTAGTAAGCTTAGGCTTAGCAAGCTTAGGCTTAGCAGGCTTAGACTTAGCAAGCTTAAGCTTAGTAGGCTTAAGGTTAATAGACCTAGTCTTATCCTTAAGCTTAGGTTTAAATTTTTGCATAGGCTTAGGTTTAGGCTAAATTTAAACATAAAATCGAGCCAACGCTGCAGACTTAAATGCAGGCTTTGACCTAGTCATGAATTTTTAAAACAGTCAAAAATTATTTTTAACTTTTATAATACTGCGCCAGATAAAAGTTAATCCCTCGCAGAAATTTGTAGCAAGATCCCAGCACTCGCAGTCATTTGCTGGGTCGTTTTACATCGAGGCAGATATTACAAAATTTTAAAATATTACGTAAGAAAACGTTGCGTAATACAGTTTCTCGCAATTTCTCTAAAGCTACCTAGTTATATCATTAAAATTAGGTAGTTTCGTAAATTTCGATCGATTTTTCACTAATATTGTATTTTCTAAAGTCACTATTATATGTACGAGTTGGCTAACAATAAGATAAAGGTAGGAGAAGGCAAGAGCTTGCTTTTAAAATTCTAGGGCATGGCTATGGTAGGGCTAGATTTGGGTAGTCTAGTGCTTGGGAGCAATAGGTTAAAGCTGGTCTAGAGCCAGGGTAAGGCTAGACTAAAGTTAGTCTAAAACCAGGGTAAGGCTAGACTGAAGATAATCTACGGCCACGATGAAGCTAGACTAAAGTTAGTCTAGAGCCAGGGTAAGGCTAAACTAAACTTTGGCTAGGGCTAGGGTGAGGCTAGATTAAAGCTAGTCTAGGACCAGGGTAAGGCTAGACTAAAGTTAGTCTAGGGCTGAGGTAAGGCTAGATTAAAGCTAGTCTAGGGCAAAGGTAAAGTTAGATTAAAGCTAGCCTAGGACCAGGATGAGGCAAGATTAAAGCTAGTCTAGGGCCAGTGTAAGGCTAGACTAAAGTTAGTTTAGGGCCAGGGTAAGGCTAGGATAAAGTTCGGTTACTAAACCTAGAGTTAGGACAACAGCTACGGCTACGGCTAGGGCAATATATTAAATATCTTAAACCCAAGTTTCAAAATTAAAAAAAAACCGAAATTTCGAAAAATCATCCCCTTCACCAAAACCCCGTACTAAAACGGCTAAACTTCATTCCAGCCAAACTAAGCATGAACTCAAGACTTACTTCCGGATTCCGTGACGATGATGTTGAGGCTTCGCTGGTGCCTTTGCGCCGGCGGTGCGGCTCCTAAAACTCAAAGATTAGGGCTAACAATAGACTTTTGAAATTTTTTCAGACTAGATTTTAAAAAATAACATTTTAGACTTAAAAATGTCTTTTTAGGTTAAAAAATGTCACCTTGGGCTAAAAATGTCATTTTGAAATAAAAATGTCCGTTTCGACTAAAAAAAGTGTTTTTGTGGCAAAAAGAATGTCATTTTGACACAATATAACATTTTTAAACCAGATGTCACAATGTTTAATATAAAATGTCATTTGCATTTTCAAAATGACATTTTAAGTCTAAAAGAACATTTTCTTCATAATGACATTTTTAACTCAAAATGACATTTTTACATCCATGAGGATACAATATTTACTATAAGGCGTCAGTTTTAATTTTAAAATGACCATTTGTGCCTAAAAGGATATTTTTAACCTAAAACGACCTTTTCATCCTAAAATGACATTTTTAACTCACACTGACATTTTTGGCTAAAAATGACATTTTTGACCTCAAAATTACTTTTTTTTAATGTTAGGCTTAGGAAGTTAGGTTAAAATAAAAAATGTCATTAGAACTCAAAAAATATCATTAAAAAATCAAAAATGTCATTTACAACCAAAAATGTCATATCTAAAAAGTAAATGACATTTAAAAATTGAAAATGTCATAGAAAGTCGAAAAATGTCATACCTAAACCAAAAAACCCTTAGCAAACCCAAAAATTTCATTTAACTCTGAAACTTACACCAAAACCCGTACGTAAGATCATATTTACTTGATTTAAAGCAATTAAGTAAACAAACAAATAAACATTACAACAAAACGCCAATATCCCACAAAATATGGAATAAAGTTTAACCAAAACATGGAAGAGAATGATAAACAAACAGTCAAATGTCATGAAACAAAGGCCCAAACCCACCTCAAAGAATTCGAAAAACATGGGACGACATGAGTCACAGGAAAGAGATTCACCCAGCAACGTCAGCGCCACATTCGGTCCGGCTGAAAAAAAAATTAATTTCTCATCATACAATAACATATTGACAATGAAAAAAGTTGGTTTTGTGACACACTTTGCTATGGCACACCGCTTGTTTTAAAATTTTAGAAAACTTGCTGAGAATAGGCTTGTAAATAAAGTTTTGTCATTGATTTACTAGTAATTGCAATGTAAAAAACGTCAAGACTTTTTAATATATAGTCAATATACAATAATGGGAGTTATAAGCGATAAAAAAAAAGTTTTGTCATTGCGATAAAAAAAAGTTTTGTCACAAAATTTAAGAAAATTTTTAGTTAAAAATACGACAATACTTCAAGAAAAAAAAGCTTATAATGGCAAGAACTTTCTTTACAAAACAAAAATTGGCAAGAACTTTCTTTACAAACCAATAAATGGCAAGAACTTTCTTTACAAAGCAAAAAATGGCAAGAACTTTCTTTACAAACCAAAAAATGGCAAGAACTTTCTTTACAAACCACAAAATGGCAAGAACTTTCTTTACAAACCAAAAAATGACAAGAACTTTCTTTACAAACCACAAAATACCAAGAACTTTCTTTACAAACCAAAAAATGGCAAAACCTTCCTTTACTAAACCTTAATTTAATCACTTTCTAAACTGAAAATTAAATGGAAGATTTGTAATGTATTTTCGCACTGAAAATCTTTCACTCCACTTTCACTTTTCAAAATGCCTTAAAAATGCTTAAAAACACAATCTTGACATTTTTAAAAAATGAAAGTGAAGTGGAAGATTTTCAGTGTGATTTGCACTGGAAATCTTCCACTGAACTTCCATTTTTCGTTTTTTGTTTTTAAGCCGCAAAACTTTGATTTTAAAGCTATAATGTCATTTTTTGGGTTATATCAATAAATAAAAAGTTCAGAACATCAGTTTTAGCCAAATTATTACCTAAAATTTAGACCTTTTCAAAATTTTTTTAACTTAATACCAAAACTTCACTTACCAGAAATCATTCTCAACACTTCATAATGATTGGAACTAGAAACCGGCATTCCATTGATCTTCACAATTTGATCACCCGTCCTAACTCCCGCCCTAGCCGCTGCTCCATCCGACTTTACAGTATCCACATAGACTGGGTGCTCTCCAGTTACAGTAAGACCATAACCATCTGGATTCTTGGCTACGACAACACATCGTTCCGCTAGCTTGTGTGCATTACTGTTGTTGTAGGAATGGGTACAGAGAGGTGATTGGATGGGCGGGGTATTTTGGGTGTAGGTTCGAGTGGTGCATATTTTATGGTTTAGGAGACCACTTCGGACACTGGCTGGACTGTAGCCTGAAATATGAATTTTAAAATTGTGATGGGGATGAAGTGGCAGAAACTTTCTTTACAAAACAAAAAACTGCAAAAACTTTCTTTACAACCCAAAAACTTGCAAAAACTTTCTTTACAACCCAAAAACTTGCAAAAACTTTCTTTACAAAATATAAACTATAACATATAACTTACATTCAAAGATGGTCGGTGAACTATGAGTGGTCATTCAAGTAAATATTTACAAACTAATCATTGGCTGTATAAATGAGTATTGCACCAGGTTATTTGTCTAAAATATTTCAAATAGTAGATTTATCACCGATTTGAAGGGTTTTGTTGAAATAGCAAACTAGTTTTGGCGTCAAACTATACTTATCTGCACGGTAAAAAGAACAAAAGTTTACTTCAAATGCTTAAAACTATACAAAATAGTATAAGTCTAGAGATGACATAAAATAAAAAAATTTACATTTTTTCCTGAGTCTTTAAACAAATAAAACAAATTTAAATCAACCCTCTACCGCCTCGCCCTTGCTTACGAATAGACATGAGAAACGGGCCGGACCGGCCTTGAGCAAAATTCCGATCGGGCCGGGCCTGAAAAAATGAGCCGGGCCCGGCCCGTTTCCACGTAAAAAAAAATTTAGGCCCGGGCCGGGCCGGCCCTGAGCAAAATTTCGATCGAGCCGGGCCTAACATTCAGGCCCGGCCCGGCCCGTTTCTCATGTCTACTTATGAACTAGCTTAAATTCTAAGAATCCTACCCCTGTTATAGATTCTTTTTACCCATGCTCCACCCCAAAAATCGTACCAATCTCACACAAAATAACTCACTCCTTTTTTTTCTTTTACACCTTACTTCAAGACAACTCACTTTTTTTTTAGGAACGAGCCGGGCCCAATTTTCAGGCCCGTCCGACCAAAACTTTGCTCAGTGCCGGCCCGACCTGAATTTGAGACGGGTGCGACCCGGCCCGTTCCTAACGTCTTTTTTTTAAATCACCGCCACTAATCTCGCCGACGATTTCTTTTAACCCTACCCTAAAAAATTTAGCCTATTTTTCATTAAACTTTCCTATTTCTAACTTGCCCTACTGCCAAAAACCGTACCCGCTTAACCAAAAAAGCAGGCTTACTTTCCTTTTCCCTGCCCTACTCTACCTGTTTTTGCAGGGCCGGGCGCGAGGAGGGGGACGGGGGGGGTACCCCCCCCCCTTAAGAAAAAAAACTTTTGAAAAAAGTTGAACGTGGTCCCCCTGTGGATTTCCGGAAAAAGATTTTGCAAAAAATCGGCACTGGTAGCTCCTGTGCCGATTTTTTTGGACCCCTGCCCCCCAGACCAAAAGTCCCCGCCCGGCCCTGCGCATAACCGTACCAAATTCTAAAAAAATTAAAAAATCAACGCCTTACTCCTTTTTCCACGCCATTTTGTTTTTTAGTCCAACTCCACTCAAGAACACCACCAACTTCCTTCAAACTCACCACCCAATACTCCTTCCTACAAACCGTACCTAGTCACTTAAAAATTAGTGTCCTGCCCTTTCTCTAACACACTTTTGTTTCTCCGCCCCACCGCCATCTAGAAATATTCCTTAAAAATCTCTTCCCCCCCCTCCCCCTCCCCGTCCCGCAACCTAAAAAACCGTACCAACTTCCTCAAAAACGTTAATGGGTTTAAAAAAGGCGAATTAAAATGAAGAAATGAGGCGGATTAAGGCCGGAAACAGTGGAACGGCCGCAAATCTTTTTTGGACCAAAGTTTTAGTTTTTACAAATTGCAAGACATTTGGAGGGGCGGCTCCCGAGAGTACGACAAAGTTCACGACATTGACGCACACTTTAATTTAATAAAACTTTAAAAAATGTCTGACTGTAAAAAGGCGACAAAACTTCGTTTACAGGAGAAAAACTTAAATTTGCATTAAAGTTAATACTTTGGTCTATGGTGCTGAACGCTTCTAGGATTATTTTTTTTTGTAAAATACGGCTCGATTAATAACTGTGACAAAAAAATTTGAAAAGTTTTAGAAAACGGCAAGAACTTTCATTACAAAACAAAAAATGACAAAAACTTTCTTTACAAAACAAAAAATGGCAAAAACTTCCTTTCCAAATAAAAAAAAACACAAAAACTTTCTTTACAAAACAAAAAATAGCAAGAACTTTGTTTACCACACAAAAAATGGCAAGAACTTTCTTTACAAAAAAATGGCAAAAACTTTTTTTGCAAAACAAAAAATGTCAAGAACTTTCTTTACAAAACATAAAAGTGCAAGAACCTTCTTAATAAAACAAGAAATGGCACTAACTTTCTTTACAAAACAAAAAATGACAAAAACTTTCCTTACAAACCCCAAAAATCAAAAAAACTTTTAAAACTCCAAATTTAAATTGCTAGGGAATCGTATGACAAAGTCATATGGAGCAGTATGGAGATCTTGTTTCTTCCGCCTCCGTTGTTTCGAAAAACTCGTACTCATTTCTTTAATTGGGAAATTGCGTTTTAACAAGCTCGAAATCCCTTTCTTTTTCTATTTAATAAAGCCTCCGGGTCTACGACGGGGTTTTGGATATAAAATGGCAAGAACTTTATTTACGGAATGCAAAATGACAAGATTTCTCTTTACAAAGCATAAAGTGGCAAAAACATTATTTACAAACAAAAAATTGCAAAACTTTCTTTACAAAAATTAATTTTTAAAATTTTTAAGTCAGGAACGAATTCTTGCCATTTTTTGATTTGTACAGAAAGTTCTTGCTATTTTTTCTTTTGTAAAGAAGGTCCTTGCCATTTTTTGATTTGTAAAGAAAGTTATTGCCATTTTTTGTTTTGTAAAGAAAGTTCTTGCCATTTTTCCTTTTGTAAAGGAAGTTCTTGCCATTTTTTGGTTTGTAAAGAAAGTTCTTGCCATTTTTTTTGTTTGTAAAGAAAGTTCTTGCTATTTCCTGTACTGTAAAGAAAGTTAAAAATTTTCAAAAAAATTTTTTTTTAATTTAAAATTCCAAAATTGAAAACCACGATATCGAATATCGAAAAAAAGACTTTCAAAAAATTAATTTTTGTCATAAAAGTGCCATTTAATGTGAAACAAGATATACATCCAAAGAAAGAGATATACATGCCATTTCGGCCGCCAAAAAAGTTTTTTTAAATTTTTAAAAATTCCAAAATAACTGCCAGCCGGCTTTTTTCGTTTTGCCTACAACACCCCAGGGAGTTTTTGTAAGATATGTACGAGATTCTGAGAAGAGATTTGAACTTTTCGATTTTGAATAACAACAGAGCATGTCACAGTCCACGTTTGTCATACAGTGTAACATAAAAAAGAGCCGCTAACTTTGTTTACAAACAAAAAAATGGCAAGAACTTTCTTTACAAACCAAAAAATGGCAAGAACTTTCTTTACAAAACAAAAAATGGCAAGAACTTTCTTTACAAAACAAAAAATGCCAGGAATTTTGCTTACAAAGCATAAAATCCCAAAAAAAATACTCGACCGGTCGAAAAAACTAAAAATTCACCAAAAATCAAAAATTGATTATTTTATAGATTTTTTTGCAAAAACTTTAAAATGGCAAGAACTTTCTTTAAAAAAAAAAATTTCAAAAAAATATTCGACCGGTCGAAAAAACTAAAAATTCACCAAAAATTAAAAATAACTATATATATTAAATTATAAACACCCCTCTCAAAAAAACCTCGTCTTAACCACCCCCTCTTATAAAAACCCTTACCTTAATCACCCCTCTCAAAAACAAAACAAATAACCCCACTCTTAACCCCCTCAAGTGTTGTGGAAAACAAAAAACACTTGTAATTCGCCACACCTGAATCCGATGTCAACGCATTCCACTAAATAAGCGTCAATCAGATGGATTCACGGCTGTTTATCGCGGCGAAAAAGGTGAAGGTTGACACGGAAAACGGGAAAAAAGAAAGCCCTGCGGGGAGAAATTCACACCGAAATCAAAGGAAACCTGCAGGGAAACGTTGGGATTAAAGGAATTAATTAAACGCTTAAGGGAATTTAGGTAGAATAAGCCTAAAAGTATAAAAAGTCGTTGAACAGTCTTAAAATAAGCCTAAAATATTAACAATAAGCCTAAAACGTACAAAAGATAAACTAAGAATAGACCCTCTTGTACTACGTGCTAAAATCATTTTTGAAGAAAATTCTTGCCATTTGTTGTTTTGTAAAGAAAGTTCTTGCCATTTTTTGTTTTGTAAACAGTTATTATCATTTTTTGTTTTGTAGGCAAAGTTATTGTCTTTTTTTGTTTTGTAAAGAAAGTTCTTGCCATTTCCTGGTGTGTAAAGAAAGTTCTTGCTATTTTTCGTCTTTTAAAGAAAGTTCTTGCCATTTTTTGTTTTGTAAAGAAAGTTTTTGCCATTTTTTGCTTTGTGAAAAAAGTTCTTGCCATTTTTCGTCTTTTAAAAAAAGTTCTTGCCATTTTCAAGCCTAAACACAAACTTTAAAACAGTTGATAAGCCTAAGACAAATGTAAAACAAGCATAAAACAAAACCATAGTCAAACTCAATTATTAGTTCTATTTTAAGCCTAAAACACTAAAAAACTTAAAAATTGTTGACCTTACTTTAAGCCCAAAACTAGCCTATGTAAAAGAAATACTTTAAGACTAAAATAAACTTAAAACAATGAATGTAAGCCTAAAAACAAGCCTAAAACAATTACTTTAAAATTAAAACAAGCCTAAAACAGTGTCAAAAGTTTAAAAAATGCTCTATTTTAAGCCTAAAAACTGAAAAAATTAAAAAAACACAGCAAATATACCCCCACCCTTCAGTAATTTCAAGGTAAACCGAAGCCTATAAAATCTCTCGTTACAGAGTATTGTATCCTGTAACAGTTTTATGAAGCGTGGCTATTTCTCGCGAACAAATTTTATTTTCGGAACGAGGAACATTCGCAGGTTACGCGGAAGCAAGGGTGGGAGGGGGGTTTCGAACGGGGTAAAGGTCAGGTCATTTCCAATTCTGAATTAAAACATTTTCCATTCGTTTGGCCATATCATTATACAAAATTCAGGTGGGGAGAGGAAAAAGAGTATTGGGAGGCGAGGGTGGATATGTTTAAGAAAGTGTTTACCATTTTTTCGATCTGTTAAGAAAGTTCTTGCGATTTTGTGCTTTGTAAAGAAAGTTCTTGCCATTTTTTGTTTTGTAAAAAAAGTTCTTGCAATTTGGAGATTGGTAAAGAGAGTTCTTGCCATTTTCTGATTTGAGAAGAAAATTCTTGCAATTTTTAGATTTGTAACGAATGGCACAATATTTTGGCCAAACCCACCATTTTGGCTTTGGTTTGTGTATTGGCTCTTAGAGTTAGATTTAGCAGGCCGGCCCTGCCTTTTTTAAACGTTGCTTCAGCCCGTTCTGGGCCTACTGGGACCTGTTGCAAGTCTAGGTGTGGGTAAGAAAAAGAGCAAAAAAAATTCTGGAGCGAGAAGGTGTAGAAAGTGATATTTACAAAAAAATTAAAAATTTTGTAAAAAGGCCAAATGGCAAGACCTGTCTTTAAAAACACGAAATGACAAGAACTTTGTTTACAAATATAAAAAATGACAAGAACTTTTTTACCAAAGCATAAATAAACAATAACTTTCATTACAATACAAAAAAGAACAAGAAATTTTTTTCCAAGTCAAAAAATGAAAAAAAACTTTCTTTACAAAACCAAAACTGACAGAATAAATTTTACAAATGATAAGCTTAACAGAATTTTAACAATAGCCATTTCAGACGTATGCAACTGCCAGAACTAATCAAAAAAATTTTTTAGTCAAAAACTCTGAATTTAATAAACATAATGCCAGAGTAAAAGAAATACTGTCTCATTTGGTTTTTCTTTTGAAAACAAGTTAATAATGAGACATTCATGTTTTCAAATGACCTTAGTATTTATTGAGACAAAAAAAGGTCTAAAAGTGTCTAATTTAATTTTTCTTTGATAAAATGTGCTACCAAATACACTATAAATTGCAATTCTTTTCAATAACAGCTTAAAAAGGTCTTGTCGTTTTTTAAATTGCAAGCTAATGCAAATTGGCGACAAGACTTTTTACGACAATAATGAAAAAAAAAACAAAAAAAATTTTTTTTTGAATTACAAATAACATTTTTTTAAATTTTTTGAACAAAAATTCACGTTGACACAAGGAAAAACACGCGTCGTCCATAAAAATGTCATAAAGTTGTGACGAGTTAATTAAGGAATTTTATATTCTTGATAAAATGATCTATCTTTGTTTATTGTCTGGGCAAATTGCTATGTAATTTGAGGAAAAAATAGGTAAAAAAGATATTTTTAATACTAGAAATTGCAAGAACTTTCTTTACAAACTTAAAATTGCAAGAACTTGCTTTACAAAATAAAAAATTGCAAGAACTTTCTTTACGAAACAATTCTCTTCTAAAAATGTCATTTTATGATCAAAAATCGCTACAAAACGATCAAAACCGTTGAATTCCCCCCCCCCTTCTCCGCCTTTTTCCCTCGGCAGTAGTAATAAAGACGACAAATACACGATGACACAGATCAAGACCTTTTTATGTTTTTGAATGGCACAAAAGGAGTCAAAAAATCGGAATGAAACGCAGCGCGAGACAATTTCGTACATTTACTCTGTAGAAGTCGTCTTCATAATGACAGAGTAAAGGAATGTGTATGTACGTAACAAGTAAAGATTTCAAAACTACCCTACCCTACTCAACCATATCCTACCCTACTCAATTTTACCCTACCTTACTTTGCTCAACCCTATTGTACTCTACACTAACATACCATACTCAATCATAACTTACTCTACTATTCCCAACTCTACCCTAAATTAAAAAACAAAACAAAAAATTTTTCAAAATGACACGTAGTATCTATCACAACTTACCTATCCTGCCCTACCTGTGTTACCTTTTTTTTATCTCAGCCTTCAGACCAAAGTCTCTCTCCCCCCCCTATTCCCCCCCCCCTGGTTTTTGTAATAAAGCAAGATGACATACCCTATATCAAGCAACTTGAAAAACTCCAAATTCTCAAAAATCCTAAAATTTTAAAATTCAAAACGACTTTTTGAAATGATAGCGTCAACAAAAGAAACAAATTTTATTACTCATTCATCTTTTACCATTCCCAACATATTCGTATCGGGTTTTTTCGAATTCTTCTTTCTCTAACCACTCTCTCACTTCACTGTGAACTCTTCTTGGATCGAGACCGCATGGCCACAAATGCAAACATAATCTTTACGTTCGGACTCGAGACATCTGATCAAACAGTGTAATTAGGAGAGGATTAAAGTTATTAATAGAGAGTTTAGTCGAAATTTGAATTAAAATAGCAAAAACTTTCTTTACAAAGCATAAAATGGCAAGAACTTTTTTTAAAAAACGAGAAATGGCGAGAACATTCTTTACAAAACACAAAATAGCAAAAACTTTCTTTACAAAGCAAAAAATTGCAAAAACTTTGTTTACAAACCAAAAAAATCGTAGCAATTTCAATCAAAAGTTTATAAACATTGAAGAATAGATAGAAACCTTATATTAGACACGTTGAACCACGAGACAATAACATTATCATATAAAAAATCATCATATGGATAAAACATAATGTCATGTTATAGAAAAAATGAGCTATAAAACACATTTTGTGGCAACAAATTGCTAAACAAACATTGTAGGATAGGGTAAGGTAAGATAGGCTAGGGTAGGGTAGTGTAGGATAGGGTGATAAGGTAGGATAGGGTAGGGTAGGGTAGGGTAGGGCAAAGCACTTTTTCAAAACGGCGTAATTTGGGGTTTCTTATTAATAATATGTTATAGCAGGTAAAAATAACACCACCCGAAGAAATTTGCAGCAATATCCCAGCACTCGCAGTCATTTGTTGAGTCGTTTTACATCGAGGCAAATATTATAAAATTTAAAAATATTACATAAGAAAACGTTGCGCAATACCACTTCTTGCAATTTCTTTTAGGCTATCTAGTTGTATCATTTCCATTAGGTAATGCATTATAATGCCCCGTCAACTTCGATCAATTTTTCATCAATAAAATTTTTTTTAATTCCTCGACAAAAACAGGCCCATGTTTAAGAACACGATGATTTCATTGTTTGAACTTATGAGTTTATCACACGAAGATGTTCGGGTAGGTCGTTGTTGCTTTATGCAAGCAAGTTTAAAAATTATTGTTTGTTGTATGAAAAAGCAATCTAAAATCACAAAAAATTGTTTCTAACATCTTTTTAAAAATATTTATTCTTAAAATAAATAGGTTCACTATTTTTTAACAACGCATGTATTTAACCCTACCCTACTATACCATACCCATCCTACCTAATACACCATAACCTACCATAATCATTATCGTACCATAATTTTGAAGATAGTACCACAAGAAGTACAGAATTTATAAAAATAGTATAGTTTTTGAACACCTCATACCAAAATTGGTCGGAATTTACCCTGTAAATTTACCATTAATTCAGTACTGTACTAATTTAGTACTATTTATTCAGTACTGTACTAACTTGGTACCATTATTTGACTTATGTACCAACTTATTACTATTTATTGAAATCAATGTCGTTTCTTGCGTCGGGGACATAACGGAACCCGGTGTTAAAACGGAAGCCGGGGACAAAACGGTGAGAGTGTTTAAAGTTTATATAATTTTGTTCAGGAAGTAGCTTGTTATACTTTCAAAAATATTGTATTTAAACGACGTGAATTATTTACTAGTGTTCAATCCGGAGAGGAAAACCCGTTTCTTAATGATATCCTGGCGGATATGAACGATTTATCACTTAACCTTTCAAACCAGTGCTGTTAAAAACAAAACAATTTTTTGTTCAAAATAATTCCAATAAAGAAACAAAACAATTTTTTATTTGACAAATGTGTTTGATTTGTTCAAAATTGTTTGTAATTTTTTGTAAAAATTGTTTTCTCAGTGTTTTACCGATGTTTACTTTGCCGAGGTACGTCGATGTTGTAACCCTAAATGGTACGGAAAAGTACGTTTGTAAACACTGTGCTAACAATTCTTACGTTTACAAGAAAAACGGGTCTATAAGTCCCAAATTATACCATCTACGAACTCGACATCCCGATTTGTACAAAGAATACTCAATCCAAGTTCGATGGAACTGTGTACTTGGTTTTGAAAGCTTGGCACATTAACCAGAACGCGCTAGCTTTGTTTAACGGATAATCATAAAAGTAAAATTGTTCACTATTGTTTGAAATTCATTTTCAACAAAAATTGTTTGGCTTTTCGGCGTTGTTTGAGCCGGTTATTCAAATTTTTAACAGCACTGTTTCAAACAGTCAAAGTCTAGGATTCTATAAAGCAATGGGTCACCTAATCGAATATGGTGTTTGGGCTGTTCCGTTCAACCTTAACTTGTGTATGGCCAAACCCAACAGAAAATGGTCTCAGCTTGTAGAGACATCCAATGCCAACCCTCAACTTTTGCACGGCTCAGACTTTCTCCACGACCTGATTCGTGTCCTGAAGTTGAACGTGACAACGTGCCACTCTCTAGTTCTGAAGTTCCTTCCCCAGATGGAGCACATTTTTAAGGAGGTGATCTCAATGTACAAATTTATCTCCACCACCATCTCTGGCCTGGTACAAGAACAAGGAACAGAAGTCTCGAAGCAGCCGATTGTGAATCTGATGAGAACGGTTAAAAGAGAGTCTCTCAATTTGACGTCTACGTGGATTGCTCGAACCTCTGGCTGTAGGTGGATAGACCTAAAAGGCGTGTCTAAAGCCAATGGTCGAAACTTTGTGGCCCAAGTTTTTGATCACGTGGTACTCGCTTTCATCGATGTTGTTTTAAGAGATTACAAAAACAGTGTGCCAGACTCAAGGAAGCCAAAAGTTTTTACTTTACGTACTATTACAATGATAGCCTTCAAAGTAAGTTTTGTTGTGTACTTTATTGTTTTTTTAAAGAGTCATTGAAGTTTACATGATTTTGTGATTTCAGGAAAAGTTTGCGTGTCATTTCGAGAAAATTATGGAGATTGTACTTGTACCAACCTCTGAAATGATTCAAGATGAGAACTTACATTATCCTGAACTGTGTGTCGACTTCATCCAAATGTTATACTTAGCTACGACTTGGAGCTTTGGCAATGTAATACAATTACCAGAGAAGATGCTGGGACTTATTGTTCAGTCCTTGCGTTGGGCTCTTCAACATACCATCAGAACCGTAGCCAAGATTGGCATCCAGATGATCACGGAGTTTGTCAAACGTCTCCGAGAATACCCCCAACAACAGCGTCAAACAACAATTCTACACCAGGTGCTTCATGGAGAATCAAATAACGATTTGATTTTGAGCTTTTTGAAAATATAATATTAGCTTTTTGAAAATATAATATTAGCTTTTTGAAATATAATATTATTTAATAATACTCAACAAACCCATGTGTTACTTACCTAATAAGAAAAACTCCCAAAAATTTCAATTTCCAAAAAAATTACACGTGCGTGTTTAAATTATGAACACTTTGAAAACACGCGTTTTGCGGTTTATTTGCTGTAGATTCCGTAAAACTTAGTCTACATTTTTGAAATTTTACTATTTTCATAATACTTTACTCTTTGACATTTGTATAAATTTTCATCTTCGTACGTCGACAATTTGAAGATATTATTATCAAATCTTATAGATAAACTGTCGTCTAGTCAATCTCAAAGTATTTTATAATTTTATGAACATAAAAGTTAAAAGACGATTCGCCAGAGTTTGAATCGGCGGTTGCCTTAGAAATTTTACCCTATGATTTTTTTGTATAAAATAGGCCCTAAGGTGTTCATAAACACGTTCCTAAAGTAATTTTAAAAAATACGTCATAATGACGGATTTATCAAAATTACTTCTCACAAACTGTCTTTTAATTTAAAGTTAATTTAAATCTTTTATAAATAAGGAATTATGTTATCATAAACTATTTGTTGTCATAAAACTGATTTGAATGTATAATGTGTTCGAAAGCCGCCGAATTGATTGTTCTTGTAGTGTTTGATTGTGTTTGAAGATGCGGACAGCTGTGTGACACACGTGTGATATAAACGAGTGGGCGGCTTTTTCCATGGAAAAAGTTTTTTTTTCAAAAAAATTTAAAAATCAAACTTCAAAAAGGTCAGACGTTGATAAAAGTGCACATATTAGTACTAAGCTACAAGGTTGATTAGCAATAATTTTAAGACTTGCAAGGTACTCAAATTGGTACTCAAATAAATTTTATAAGTTCAAGGTATTGTTACTGGTACAATTTAGCACTAACTATAAAGTAAGTAAATACTGTAGAACAAAAGTAATTTTAAAAAAATGTTTGTTGATTTTAATAATAGTGCATTGTCTGTCTTGTGCATACAAATTTTATTCAATATGAACATGTGTTTGTGTTTGTTGTCTTTGCTAGACTTTTTTAAAATTTTTATGGCTTGTTAATTAGTAAAAATTAGTAAAAACATAACATTAAAATATGAAATGGGATGAAAGCAACTCATGTCTACCAAAGCGTTGCAAGGAAAAAGGTGGAGATTTCTTTTAGTCTGGTTTTTCTAATAATTTCAAGTCTAGTCTAGGTTCAATAGGCAATATGCAAAGACGTATAAATTTACTCAACCTTAACTTGTTAATTCTAAATCTATTTATAAGCCTAACTGTAAAGCAAAAGCGAAACGTAGCAAGTGAAAGCTTACTAAGCTTTAACTTAAGCCTAATTGTAAGCCTGAGCATAATAAACTTACGTTTTCTAACCGTACGCCTGCTAAGCCTAAGCTTTCTAAGCCTAAGCCTACTAAGCCTAAGTTTACGAAGCCCAATCATACTGAGCTTGAGCATATTAAGCCTACGTTTACTAAGCCTACTAAACATAAGCCAAACTTTATCCTAAATCTAAGCTTAAGCCACTTCACCTATGCCTAAACTTAAACTTTCACTCAATTATAATCTTACGTCCATAAGATCAAAGCTTATTGCTCCTTAACCTCACAAATTATGTTTTATGATCAGTCTAACCATAATGTTCAAAGCATTTTTCAAATTTCAAAACCAAAAAATAAAATTTATTAATTCGAGTCCAACTCACAAATCAGACCCTAAATGTTTTATGTGAAAGATTTTCATGAATAGCTCACACCTGTTTAATCCCTTTTTTTAAATTTCAAAAAAAAAATTCGCCGAAAAAACAACTTGAAACAAGTGGCCGAAGTTTAGTCGGCCCGACTTCAAGTCAGTATATGTTTAAGGCTAGTGGGGGTGTTAAGAAAATTTGAAACTTTTTGGTTTTCACCTACCCTACCCTACCCTACCCTACCCTACCCCACCCCATCCCTACTTTATTCTTATCTTATCCTACGTTTGCTCTACATTACTTCCAACTCAAGCCCTGCCGTATTGTACTGTATCGTGTATTTGCTTAACTTTACAGTTTATTATTCTAGTTCTACTAGGTTATTTTCTAGCTTTAACAGTGTATTACTCTTTGTACTTTGCATTAGTTTATTTACCCTACTATACTCCACTTCCTCCTTCTTTGCTATAGTACTTTCCGCTTAATCTTAATCTAAACCTAAATATTTTTATTTATTCTACCTAAAAGTACTATCAAATTTGTCACTAATTTTGCAGCAAAAACCTTTGCAAAACCTTAAAAAACATATTTTTTGCCAAAAAACCTTTAACTAGGTGAACAAAATGAAAGTTCAAAACGTTGTTTATCCTGATCGGTTGTTTTAAGTGGTGTTTTACTTGTTACTTTTTTTCCTCCGCTTCCCGCTCCTTTGAACTACTCGCGTTTCACTCAGCGTTAACACTCACAGCACGTTGGAACTCGAGTTGGATATCTCCAACTTTTTTTTGCTTTTTTTGAAATTTGGTTTCAAAGCGAATTTTTGAAAGTATTTTTTAAAAAAATTAAAACTTTGGGTATTGTAAAGAAAGTCCTTGCCATTTTATGTTTTGTAAAGAAAGTTCTTGCCAATTTTTGATTTGTAAAGAAAGTTCTTGCTATTTTATGTTTTGTAAAGAAAGTTCTTGCCAATTTTTGTTTTGTAAAGAAAGTTCTCGCCAATTTTTGTTTCGTAAAGAAAGTTCTTGCCAGTTTTATTAGATAATATTGATTTAAAGCTTTTGCAGCCTGCTTGTGACATGTTATACGATATATCATTTTTTTGATTTGTAAAGAAGATCGTTGTAGGACGTATTTTACAACAGTTTTCCGCAACTTCAAAAATTTTTTAAATTTTAAAAATTTTCAGAGTAAATAAGCCGACCACCCCTAAACTAAAACATTAGTTTAGTCGTACCAAATAGTATCAAGCAGCAAATAAACAAGAAAATGGGCGACGTGGAAGAACAACAACCGGTAGACTAGACTAAATAATGCTTTTTTAATCATAAGTGTTTAGGTTGAGAACGGAGTTCAAGAGGAAGCTCAAGAGGCTCCAAAGTCCGGTGAGTTCGGTTTTTGATGATTTATTGATTAAGATTTATGGTTTTTGACGTACATATTTTAAGCTTTTTATGTTAAAATTTAAACTTCTAAAAAAATTACTTAAAAATTTTTTCGATTAAAATATGCCTAATCTAAGCTTGAGAAAAGTATAAGACACGCTTAAGCATGCTAAGCTTTAATTTATACAAAACCAATAAAAAACCTAAACTTAAACCTACGTTTATGCCCATGCCTTAACCTAAGTTCAACCTTGTACTTACGCGTAAACCGAAGTCTACAATTACGTTTAAGCTTTTGCCTCAGCGTGAGCTTAATCTTAAGGTTAAGCCTGACCTAGAGCCTGAACTCGAGCTAAAGTTTACGCTTTTTGGGATATTTGGTGCAATTCCCTAGTGAGGCAGAATCTGAACCTATCTTGCTCTTAGCCTGAGATTTATTCAGAGCCTCAGCGTGAGCCTAAGCCTGAGCCTGAGCCTGAGCCTGAGCCTCTGAGCCTGAGCTTGAGCTTGAGCCTGAGCCTGAGACTAAGCCTAAGCCTAAGCCTAAGCCTAAGCCTAAACCTAAGCCTAAGCTTAAGCCTAAGCCTAAGCCTACGCCTAAGCCTGAGCCTGAGTTTGAGCCTGAGCCTGAGTTTGAGCCGACGCCTAAGCCTAACTTAAAGTATACGGTTAAATTTAAGTTTAAGCTAAATTGCAAGCCAAAAGTTTTTAAGCCTTAGCCTAACTGAAGCCTAGACCTATGTGTATGTTTCTTAAAATGAAGCCTGAGCCTAAGTTTAAGCTTGCGTTTGAGCTTAAGCTTAATCTTAAGCATATTCTTTCTTCTGAGCCTACGCTTAATTTTACGATTAAGTCTAATCTAGGCCTGAATTACACTTAACTCAAAATCTAGTTTGAAAGCTTAACTTTGATTTACTAAACATAAGCTTAATTAGATTACAGTTTCTGGACCAAACATAATTTTTTCAGATTAATACAGGTTAGACTTAAAATCTGTTAGTCTGTGCCATTTTTAAACAATTACCAAAAATTTATTTCTTTTAATCAAACCAATATTGTCCAATTGTACTATGAATTTTTCGGTTTTTACGTATTTACAGCACACTTGATTGCAGACAATGAAGCGGCTCAAGCGGTAATTGATGAGGACCCAACCGAGAATCAGGCAAGTTTCCGTTTTACCGCCTACTTGAGAGACATTTGTCTTAGCCCGGGGGGTGACGAACGGTCTTGATGTCAACGTTCCCGAAAGGGTTTGATTCAGGCCAACTGTTTAGCGGAGTGGGTTGGTTGTCAACAAGCTAGGCTTATGGTTATGTGAACATTGTTTTGGCGTCTTGTTTGTTCTGCAACGTCTCTATTGTTTCGCGTTGTGTCTATGGGTTGGGCATGGAATGTAGGGTATGGGGATTCTGTGTGGGGTTTAGGGTAGGGAAGGTTTAGAATCTAAACAGTTTTTTAATTTTAAACCGTTATCTGGGTAAAAGGCGTGGATGTTTGAGGGGGGGGAAATTCCGGGAACTTTCTAAGCTAATAAGCCTAAGCCTACTCAGCTTACGCTTACTAAGCCTAAGACTTCTAAGTTAAAGTATACTCAAACAACGCTTACTAAGTCCAAACCTACTAAGCCTTAGTCTCATAAGCCTAATAAGCCTAAGCGTACTAAGCCTAAGGCCACTAAGCTTAAGCTTACTAAGCTTCAGCCTAACATGTCTAAGCCTACTAAGTTTAAGCTTACTAAGTCTAAGCCTGCTAAGCCTGAGCTTACTAAGCCTGAGCCTACTAAGCTTAAGCCTACTAAACCTAAGCCTACTAAGTCTAAGCTTACTAAGCCTAAACCCACTAATCTTAAACCTACTAAACCTCACACGAAACATAAGCAATAAAATCAAGCCCTTTAATTCTAATCATGCAAAGCCTCAGCCTACTAATTATCTATTTTTTAAAAGTTTTATCTTAAAATTATGTTCGGCAAGTTCACAAGCTAATAAACTAATTTTTACCACCTTGAAAGCCTTCATCCGTCTCTATTTCCTCCACTACTTCACTGATCTTTCGCTCGGATCAAGGCAAAAAAAACGTTATGTGTCGGTGGTGTTTCTCAAGCATTGGCACTGATCATAATATCAGACCAAAAAACCTCTGCCATCTCGCCAATCCCAATACTATTTCTCTATACTCTCTCATACTTTCACACTATTTCTTTGGCCAAAACTCATGCTATTTCGATTTCCTCTCACCTGCTTACTTTTCGTTTTTTATTTATTTTTTGGTTCACGGCCACCGACGCAAAGTTTAGGGCCCGGGGGGAACAGAACAGGCCCTTCAATCAACTTCGGCATGCCTGAAGGCACGATTAGCCGGAAAATTAGGCTTGTTTCGGATCTTTGCTTTGTTGTTTTTTCTCGGATCGTATTGATTTTTCCGATTAGTATGTGATTGTTTTGCAAGGTTAAGTTTAGTAGGCTAGGGGAGGTGGTGGGATTGGGTGACGTCATTGGAATGTGGTACAGTGAAAGGTTTTTAGTATGACGTCCTGGAATACAGTGAAAACTGTGTAGTATGAGATAAAAAGGACTGTCCTAAAGTGTCATTGTCATGAGGGGGTCATACAATCAAGGGTCACACTGAAGAGGTTTCACTGTAGTGGATCTTGAGTTGAATCTACCTTGACGTTGCTTTATATCTTGATAATATTTACTTTTACTGTGTCATGATACCATTTTTTCTTCTTAATTGACACTTCTTGACCTCGAAGTATTTTACCTTGCCAAAACCATTTTTCACCCAAAATTTCAAAAATCTCAAACCACTGCTTCAGGTGCCAGAAATCTCGGGCACGGAAAACGTCGATCCAATGACCACCTCAATGGACGGAATCGAAGAAATCCCCCAGAACGAAGAGGAGGTACCCAAGGAGGAGGGTGGAGAAGAAGAAAAGTTCGAAGATGCCGAAGGCGAACCACAAGAGGCCGCGGAGAATGGCGAAGAAAAGTTCGAACTCCAACCCCCACCAGCCGGCAAACGTCCGCGCAGCCCCAACGAGTTGGACGTTGCTGAAGAGGGCAGCGATGCTGGCTCCGGTAGCCCGGCTGGCAGTGCACCTCAGACCCCAATTGGTAAGGAAACCGAGAAATTTTAAAAATTAAATTTTTTTTAATTAAAAAAATGTATTACTGGTAATGCTTATTAAGCCTAAAGTCCATTTTCAAAACAAGCCTATCAAGCCTAAAATCAATTTTCAAAATAAACCTATTAAGCCTAAAATCTATTTTCAAAATTTTAGGATCAAACGTTGGCTCAACCTTGGGAGAAGAGCTCCACTCCGCTCAAGGCTCCGCTCAAGGCTCAGCTGCCAGCTCAGCCGCCGGATCCGAAGCTGGTTCCGCCGCCGGATCAGCTGCTGGCTCGGCCGCTCCATCAGACGCTGGCTCTGTCCCAGCCTCACCGTCCGCCGTCGATGAGAACGAAGAAGCCCCAGCTAGCCCACACAGCAGCGCCGTCGGTAGCCACTTGGGATCCCAGGCCGGCACCCCAGCTCCAGGCAGCCCTGCTCCAGAATCCGCTCAAGGCAGCCAGCCCCAGAGCCCGGCACCAGTCAGCAATGCTGGTGACGAGGAAGCTCCACAAACTCCACGCAGCGGTGTTACTGGAAGCCAATTGGGCTCTCAGCCAACCACTCCAGCTCCAGGAAGCCAAGTTGGTAGTCAGCCCCAGACTCCAGCTCCAGGAAGCCAAGTTGGCAGTGTTCCACAAACCCCAACCTCGGCCGCTCCAGGAACTCCAAAAGCCAGTGAGCCAGCCACACCAAAGGCTAGCGAGCCAGCCACACCAAAAGGCAGTGTCCCAGCTACCCCAAGATCCGCTGCCCCAGGTACACCAAAGGCCAACGGATCAATTGTTGGAACACCAAAGGTCATTACTCCTGGCACAGCCAAGAGCGGAAAGAAAGATGCTTTTGACTTTGAGAATGTCGAAGCCAATGGTGATGTACAAAAGGAGGCTAGTAGCCCAACAAAGAGCCCAACCAAGACTCCCCGCACTCCACGAACCCCCAAGACTCCAAAGACACCAAAGTCTGCTATGGTTGACGTGCCAGTTGTAGACGATGCCGCTACTGAAGAGGCTGCTCCAGCTGAAGAAGCCGCCCCAGCTGAAGAAGCCGTTCCAGCCAAAGAGGCCGCTCCAGCCGAAGAAGCCGCTCCAGCGGAAGAAGCCGCCCCAGCCGAAGAAGCTGCCCCAGAAGAGCCAAAAGCTGAAGAAGCTGTCCCCGCTGAGGAGGCTGCCCCAGCTGAAGGGGCTGCTCCAGAAGAACCAAAGGCTGAAGCTGAAGAATCCGTACCTGCTGCAGAAACTGCCGCCCCAACCGAATCTGCCCCAGCTGCTACCGACTCTGCTCCAGTTTCTTCCCCACCAGCTCGCCGTGAGCCAGCTGCCAGCGACTACACTCCATACGACCAAGTAAATTTAAAATACATATTAGGTTGTTCACATTATTCTGAGCCCCCTAACCCAAAAAAAATTGTTTTATGAAAGAGAACAGAATTATTTGAACAACCGTAAACTGCTTAAATTGATTTTTTATAACAACCGGTTTGTATTAGACTAGGTCTAACAAAACTTTCAGGACTCCCACAAAGAAACCGTTCCACCAAGACTCCCAACTGCCACTTCCTTCAACTCCTGGGTACCGGCCGAACGCGAAAACTACAAACCCATCTCACCATGGGTCTCCAACCCCAACAAATACTCAAACGAGTACACGTCGGGAGTGTCCAGCCGCCCCACCAGCACCTACACCTCCATCTTTGACGACCTCGTCAACACCGGACCCTTCTCCAGCAGCCTCTACTCCACCTCAAGGCTGTTGGAACGATCCCGTTCACGCACACGTGAACGTCGTACCGCCATGCGTCAACAGCGTTCATCATCACAGTACGCGCGCTATGCCTCAAACTTGCCCGCTCCTCTGCGTACCCGCGAATACAGCACTCCACGTTCGACCAGCTTGAGCCGTGCCCCATCACGCTCTGGATCGTTTGTGTCGTTCTTGGACTACAGCGGATCGAAACAGTACGAGTTGCAGAGAAACCCAAGCCGTGGATCTTTGTACGAGTCTACTCAGGCTCTCAGCAGATCTAAGTGAGTCTACCAGTAAAGAACACTTCCTTTAAGAGGTCTTAAGTCAGCGTTAAGCTTATTTTTACAACACTTTTAGTCCAAAACTAGCTTAAAATTTAAATTTTAAAACCTTAAAAACTAGTCCAAAATCCCCCGCTAAAGATCCATTGTTTACAAAACAAGATTGTAACCGGAGCCGGTTGTTTCAGCTCTCGTGGTAACGTTGATCTGTACCTGGGCGGTGGAAGACTCTCACGAGTGGACAGTTTTGTTGCCAGCCTCAACCACCCATACGAGTACAACGTTCCATCGTCATACGAGTTGTACCGTTCCACTTCGAGGAATCAACTGAACTACGCCCCATTGCAAGGCTACACGGTATGTTTTGGTGTTTTATTGTGTTGTTGAGGAGGTGAGGTAGTACTGTTATTGTCTCTACTGTCATAGTAGAGCCGAGGAACTACGCTCATAGTAGAGACAACAACTACTGCCATTTATAGATGTAAAAAAGTTTTATAGCGTATAGTTTACATAGTAAAACAACGTTTAAAGATCATTTCAAATTTAAAATGACAGTAAAGTTTGTGGATAAGTGTGTAAATGTGGTTTGACCCAACTTACAGAGTGACAGCCAGAATACGTATATGGCCCTGACTGAGGCTAGCCGTCAGCGACGAATGGCCTGGAGACGACCCGTTTTAACCTCTGGTCAGGTATGCTAGTTCTGGCTTTGCTTACATCTTTATTTTGCTTTTTATGTTTTTTCGTGATGTATGTCCAACGTACGACACTGTTGTATGTTATCGTATGTCATCCTTGTATGTCCAGTGCGTTTTATTATTGTATGTCCAACGTATGTCTTTCGCGTACGGCTGTCGTATGCTACGGTTGCATCGTTGCATTCGTAGCGTACTTCACTCCACAGTCCATAGCCGCGTTGATGAGGAAAATGTTTACCTTGTCCTTCTATGGCTTGTATACGTTTGTAAAATCAGTATTATGTGTATTACTGAAAATATTTGAAAGCTTTACAAGCCAAAATTGTCCGTAGAAGTAATGCCAACGTTTCCTTTGTGCTTTAATGTAGTTAGTGTTTCTCTGAAAAACATACATATAAAAAAGGCATAGTCACAATGTTATCTATCAAACATAAAAACAATATTTTATTTAAACCCAACAAATCATCTACTACACATTTTTTTCTTTGTTCATTCCACTGTCCGTCCCCGCCATTGCCAAACTCATTGTAGCACACGCCAACCGCCTAATCCAATTTTTTACTTTTTGCACCTTGTTTCAGACCCAACTCGGCGATCTGCAGCGCAGTTTGTCGCGTGAACGTTTCGAAAAAGACCGCGTAAGTTGCTAGCCAAACCTCTAACCCACGAAACGCTTTAGCTGAAAAACCAGTACACGCAGGTGGCGTACAAACTGGACCAGGCCTGTCGCCAACTGGACCTGTTGCGCTCGAACAGCTACGCGGACGTGCGCTCCGGCTCCGTACCGCGCACCTCGGTGTTCTCGCACTTTTACCCGTACTACTGAGTGGTTGCTTCTCATTCACCTTCTTCATTACTATATTTTTGAGTGGGTCACGGTGGGGCATGGGTTTTGGGTGATGGACTTAGGGTTTTCTTCTTTTTGAATCTTTTTATTAGTTTTTGAGCTTCTTTTATTAGTTTAGATGCCTTGTCTATACTATCATAGTTTATAGTAGTACTATAAGGCTTTTATAAATAACTTTAGTGCTATTAAATTTGAATATTAGTCTATACCTATTTTTAAATCTTTCATACAAAACCAAGTTTTAGTGAACCATGTCTCATAGTCACTAAAATGACTTTATTCTTAAGTAACAGACACAAATAGCTTAGATCCAAGTCAATATAAACCACATTATAACTGCTGAGATTCTAGTCAATCTTACTCTGCCCACATTATAACAAATTTCTAACCAGAAGTGCCTTATAAACCTTTAAAATTCATCAAAATCTTGCCTAAAAACCCACCGGACCCGACAAAAAACCAAATCTTTCCTAATTCTTGTGCATTTTCAGCTTTTTTAAGTACCTTTTTTAACGTTTTTAACCGAATTTTTGTAAAATAAACAAAATATACTTTTACAAATGATGTTTTGTTATAAAGAAAAATTATGTTTTGATACCTAAAAATTAATAAAAATGCGTTTTGTTAAATAAAAATGAAGAAAAATGACATTTTGTTACCTAAAAATTAAATTTTTGGCGTTGGAAAGGATTTAAAAGATTAAAAAAGTCAAAACCACCTTATTGTATGTGTGCTACTTCTCTCTATCGCCTTTGAATGTTACACTGTGCTAACTACGATGCTTCGACCTAACGTGCACGGAACGTAAGTTCCATTTTTCTTTCTTTTTACTCCCGTTATACTTATTTTTAACTTGTTATTAGCTTCTTACTAAATTTTCAAAAAATTTTATTTTATCCATATAGCCTTGGGCTTAAGTTTATTTTATTTACGTAGCCTTAGGCTTAAAATGCTTTTATTGGGGTTAGGCTTAAACTAAATTTACATATATAAACTAAGCTTAAAGTAAGCCTAAAATTACGGTTCTTAAGCCTAAGCTAAGCCTAAAACTATAATTTTTTTACATTTTGCAGTTCTAGGCTTGCTTTAAGCCTAAAATTAATAATTTTTATAAATTGATTTTTATAATCCTAATTTAAGTTTAAACTTTTTTCAAAATTTTTTATTTTTAGGCTTAAGCTAAGCCTAAAAACTCAATTGAAAAATTAACAAAAATCTTTATGTTTTAGGCTTATTTTAAGCCTAAAAATTAAAATTTTGTTAAAATCTTTTTTTATAAGCCTAAATCAAGCCTAAAGTACAAAAACAAAATTTTTTCCAAAATTAATTTTTCTATTTCCATCTAATCCCCGAAAACCAAGGATCAAAGCCTAATTTGTGTATTTTTAGCCCCTCACTGCCTCCTGTTATGCGTCCATTCCAGCCGCCTACGACGCCGGCCTGGCCGGCCTCTACGGCGGGTTTGCCAAGGAATGGGCGGGACGTCTCTAAGCTGCGGTCCGGGCAACTGCGGCGGACGCAGTCGTTGAGTTTGGCGCAACGGCCGCAACGTCCGCGACGCGACTCGATTGGGGCTTATATCGAGCCGTTGACACCGCGATTCTCTGCCCTACAGTATTGTTTTTACTGAGTTAAAATTTTTTTTGTTTTTTACTGTCTTAAGTTGCTTATGTCAGTAAAATGATTGTAGTATCAGTAGTATTACACAGTTTTGCACTATAGTACGCACACAGCACAAAAAAGTTTAGCACCACATTTCATAGTACCAATATGAACACAAATAGTACTACTATGAAATTTATAGTAGTACTGTTTTAACTGCATTAGCACATGCACTTTCATAGTACTAGTACAACGTATAGACTCTTAGTACTAAATATAGTCTTCTAGTACTAAGTATAGACTTTTAGTACTACATGTAGTATCTTTGTACTATGTATAGTCTTCTAGTACTACATATAGCACTATAATTTTTGTTTATAGACCTAACAAGCACTATTTTTTTAAATTTTAGTCTTTTTAATAACATTAGTAAGCACAGTACCACATTTTTTATATTCAGTATAAAACGTAGTACCATGCAAAAATTTTTCTTAAGTTACAGTACAATCTTAATACTGTAATCCTCTTTTCTTTGATTAAAATTGTCTTTAAACTCTTCAATAATCAGCATAACACAGCCAATTCAAGTCTTTTCCCAACAATAATACTCGATAGGTGCATAACTCTATAATGTAAATACACGCCTAGAACTTTATAACAACTACATCTAAACCGCTTCAACAATTGTAATTATGAATCTGCAACTTTTGCCATTCAATAAACAAATAAACATAAACATACAATGTTGAAAACGTATAAAAATGTTGAAGATAATATAAAAGACGGAATTGATAATAAAGTGACAGGACTTTTAGTAGGGTCATGTGAAGTAGAATATAGTAGAGTAGGATAGTAATGAATATGGAACTGTATAATATGGTACACTAGGATACAATAAGGTATAGAATGTGATATAGTAGACTGCGGTACGGTAGAATATTGTACGGCAGGGTAAAATGTGGTACGGTAGAAAGTGATATAGTAGAATACAGTGCGATAGAATATGGTACGGTAGAATATGGTACAATGAAGTAAAATACGACTTTCATACACTTGGGCTTTTAATTGTAGTGCTAAATCAGGTCGCTGTACGGTAGAATTAGAAAAGCAAAGTAATATTGAGTAATTAGAGTAGCGTAAGTTAAGGTAGAGTATGGTACGGTAGGCCAAACTAATGGAGAATAGAGTATGGTAAAGTAGTGTTGAGTAGGTTGGGGTAGAGTAGATTGGGGTAGAGTAGGTTTTGGTAGAGTAGGGTAGGGTAGGGTAGGGTAGGGTAGGGTAGGGTAGGGTAGGGTAGGGTAGGGTAGGGTAGGTTTTAACTTGTTTTTTAAGTTTAATGTTCGGTTATTGCATACTGTTAATTGGTGTTTTAACTATGTTCTTTAGCTTTTGATAACAGTATATTGTAATCTCTCTATTGTTTCTCCTTCTATGTGTAATGCTTGTTTCGTTTGTGTTTTCTGTTCTATGTTCATACCTTTCGTTCTACTTATGTTCTTTATGAATTCTCTTATCTTTATCACCTTTCTTTCTTTCAATGCCATTATTTATTTTACTGTTACTCTTTAACGAAGAATCTCTACCACCTTCTTCACCCTTACCTTTTCCCGCCCAAATCTCTAATCATGTCTTCAACCTTAGCTGCGAACCTTATACCCATCACTTTCGCTTCGAATTGTGTAGGCGTGAAGATCAATTGTCCACCCACCCGAGCCCCGCGGCGGCTGTTGTTCCCCGCCCCAGGCGTTTTATTCCAAAAAGTTTGATTGGAAGAAGAGGGAGAGAAAGGGGTGTAACAATAGAGATGAAGGCGTGGTAGTAGGGAGGAGGGCATAACAATGGGGAGAAGGCTATCATAATCTAGAGAAAGGTATAGGGATGTTGAGATAGGGATGACAGTAGAAAGAAGGGCATGAAAGAGGCTATCACAATATAGAGATAGGCATGGCATGTAAGAAAAGGGCAGAACAATAAAGAGATAGGCGTAGAAGAGGCTATAACACTATGGAGAAAGACATAACGATAGAGAGATAAGCATATCAAGATAGTGAAAGGCGTAGAGAAGGCTATGAAAATATAAAGTGAGGCATAACAGTACAGAAAAACGTATAGCAGTATAGATAGGGGCTTAGAAGCATAGAGAAAGGCATAGAGAAGGTTATGACAATATAGAAGAAGGAAATAACAACATAAAGAAAGGCATAACAACACAAGTAAAGACAAAAAATCATAGGCAAAGCCATAGAGAAGACTATAACAATACCCATCACATCCAAAGAAACCCCCAAAGATCAAAACAAAGCCGAGAGATCAGCGCCGATCGGGCAAAAACTCGAGCGGAATCGGGAGTGGATCAGGCAAAAAAGCAACAAATTCAATTTTATTCCAAACTGATTGGAATCCAACGCCTCGAGGCGCTTTTTTCTGTTTTATGCCAGCGTTTTGGCTAAGCAATACATGTTGACATAGATAGGATTGGTTGTTTTTAGTTGAGTTTAGTTGTTGTTTAGGTTTTGGGTTGTCATAAATGTTATGACATGAGGTTTTTTGAAGTTTTTTATAGGTTATGTGACGTAAGGGTTTGAAATTTTCAAAAAACGTCTGGTGTAAAATGTTTTGTCGTTAGTTTACACAGGTTTTGATTATAATATACGACAAAACTTTTTTTCACATCTTTATGTAAAAGCTTAACATGAAGTTTTTGAAATTTTCAAAGGTTATAACATAAAGTTTCAAAATTTTCAAAAAATTTGTTTTTTAAAAAGTCTTGTCGTTAGTTTACACTGATTTCATACATAAAAAACGACAAAACTTTTTCTCATGCCATTATATCAAAGGTTAACATGAGGTTTTTAAAAAACATGTCATAAATATGACATGTTGGTTCAAAAAATTAGTTTTAAACGGTTTGAAATTTGATAGTTTCTGCAAAATTTTGAAAAAAAAATAATTTAGGTATAAAATTTTAAATTCAAAAAAATTTGGAAAAATAAATCAAGATGACATTTTAAAGTGAAACAAATATAAAATAGAGGCAAAATTTAATTTTTTAAACTATGTTTTATAATTTTTTAGCTTTAACTAGTGAAAAACTTGATTTGATCCTTATTATTTGTTATTATTGGCTAAAATATCAAAGAAAATTTAAACAAAAAAGTTTAAAAATGCCATTTTTAGTAAACATAAATGACAGAATTTATTAAAACACAATTTTCAATGACTTTTAGTTCCGTTTTACCCTAAAATAAGTAAAAATATTACCTACAATGCTCTTTTTTTTCATCGGTTTTCCCCAAGCTTTTTCCTAAATATTAGACTGTTCAAATAATTCTGAGCCACGTGACCCTGAAAATTTGTTTTGAGAAAAGCTCAAAATTATTTGAACAACCTAATATAAAACAAGGTGTTACTTAAAATACAATTTTTCTATCAATTTTCCTTACTCGTCAACCTAGTCGGATGTTCAAAGAAGTCTGAGCTACCTCACATTCAACATTTTCTTTGCCAGTAACTCGGAATTTTTTGAACAATCTAATATAGCGCAGAACTTTTTGAACAACCTAATATAAACCCTACCTTGACTTTAACCACCCCATTCCATAACCTAATCTCAACTCAACCATATCGATCTACCTTGTGTTATGGCATGTCATCATGTCATTTGTCGTGCCGTTTCAACTTATTTGAATAAAAAATGTGTTAATGGCATCAAATTTCAGAACAGCCTTCAATCATGTCCGACAACGAGGAATAGTAAGCTTTTTTGGTCATTTTTAAATGACATGGTTGTTGAAAATTTTTGAAATTTTGAAATTTTGTAAAAGAAGTTTTGTAAAATACGGGAAAAGCAAACTTATTTAAATTAAGCTTTGGAACTAAAGTTATTGCGGTTTTTTCAGCAGCGAAGAGGAGTACGAGGAGGAGGAAGAAGAAGAGGTAGAAGAGCCCGCCAAGGAGCCAGAGTAGGTTTGACTAGTCTGGTAGTACTAGAGATTGGCACGGAATGAATATTGCTTTTCAATTAATCATGTATACTGTAATTTTAAAATTTTCAAAAATTTTAAGTTACAAAATTAAAATTTGTAGAGCCGAGCCAGAACCAGAGCCAGAAGCTGCCGCTGAAGCTGAAGCCGAACCTGAAGCCGATGCTGAAGAACCAGCCGCCGCTCCAGCCGCTGAGGAAGAGGGCAAGAAGGAGGAGGTTCCACAGTGAGTTTGTTACCTAAATTTTTGGTTTATATCTTTATATTGCTGCATAGCACAAAAACCGTAAAAAATTGTTATCTACCCCCAAAATTATAAAAAATTTTACCCTGCCCACTCCCGAAATTATTTTTTTTACCCCGCCCATATTAAAAATTTTTTTTACCTCACCCATCTTCAAAAAATTTTTTTTTAGGTTTACCCCCGCCCATACCCAAAATAATTTTTTTTGCATCGCCCATATTAAAATATTTTTCGGTTCACCCCCAAAAAATAAGAAAATCTTTTACCATGCCTACCTAAAAATTATTTTTTTTACTCCGCCGACCCCTAAACGAAAAAGACAATTTTTACCCTGCCCACCTCCAAAAATTTAAAAAATGTAAGTACCGACTAACTTCCAGACTCCGCCGCGCTCCACCAAAGCAAGAAGAGCCGGCTCCAGAATCCCTGACCGAAGCCGAGCAAGCCATGCTCGCGGCCAAGAAGAGACATGAAGAAGAAGAAGCTGCCAAACTCATGGATTATGAACAACGTCGCGTCCTGGAGAGAGAAACCACCGAAAGAGAGTTGCGAGAGTTGCGCGAACGTCAGGCCGAACGCCGTGCTGAATGGGCCAAGGATGAGGCTGAATTCGCCGCCAGACGCCGACAGGACGATGAGAGAAGACGTCAGGAAGAGGTGGGGTAATAGAAATCATGAAAGTTGGAATTTATTTTAACTTACATCGCTTTAAAAATGGCAATATCGACCGAATTTTCCTATTTCAAAGTCAAAAATTTACGAGGGTTCGATCCCGCTTGGAGACAAAAGACTCTTTTGCCATTTTTATTTGGAAAACAAAGTTTAGAACGCAATTATAGAGTTTGAAACAGAAAGACAAGACATATTAATGTTAGTATCAGTGGTATTAGTAACTTACATAGCTTTAAAAATGGCAATATCGACCGAAATTTCCTATTTTTAGGTCAAAAATCCACGAGGGTTCGACCCGCTTGTGACAAAAGACTGTATTGCCATTTTTATGATAAAAAGGCAATGTAAAATCAAAATATTTTAAATATAATAAAACAAGAAGATCTTTTACTATCATAAAATATTATTTATCTAACTTACATCGCTTTTAGAATGGCAATATAGACTAAGTAAAGTTTTCATTTTTTGAGTCGAAAATTCACGCGGGTTCGATCTCCTGGAGACAAAAAGCTCTTTTTGCCATTTTTAGTTGAACAAAAAATGTAAAATCGAATTTTTGAATTGAAAGCAGAAAGATAAAACTTATTAACATCTAAAAATGTAACTTCCAAAATTTTGTTATCTAAATTCCACTTTCAGGAAGCCCGCAAAGCCAAGATCGAAGCTGACCGTCAACGTCGTGAAGAGGAGCGCAACCGTCGTGCCAACATGATGGCTGGAGCCTTTGTTGGTGGTGGTGCTGTGCCAGTTGACGCTCAAGCCAAGGCCGGACGTAACTTTGTTATCGTCAAGAAGGAGAAGTCGGCTGCTGAGTCCGCTGACTCACGCCCACGCAGACCTGGAGGCAAGACTCCTGAACAGATCGCTGAGGCTAAGGTAGGTAAAAAAAGTCAATGTAAGGTCGGGTGGGGAAGGTGAGGTAGGGTAAGACAGGGTAGAGCGGGTGGGTAGGGTAGGGTAAGGGGTGAGAAGCGGGCTGTGTAGACTTCGCCCGGGTTTGTCCAGCTTTACCAACGGCCGGGCCCGGCTTTGAGCTCACTTTGAAACTGGCTGGGCCAGGCCTGGCTTAAAAGTTTTTTGGTTGGACCGGGCCGGGCTTAGAAAAATGAGAAGGGGTCGAGCCTAAACGTTGGTTATGGGTATGGACCGGGTCTTTAAAGTGTGGGGGGGGGGTAGCCCTTTTTCACCCATATACTGTAGCGTAGGGTAGGGTATGATACGGCATGGCAACGTATGTACCGTCAACCAATGTTTATATAAACCAATTTCAGCAACAATACCTGTCGATTGTGGCCCGTCCAGTCGATGTGTCCAACTTGTTGCCAAATGACTTGAAGAACAAGATCAAGCAGCTTCATTCCAAGATCATCCGTTTGGAATCGGAGAAATACGATTTGGAAAAGAGAGCTGACCGTCAGGGTTATGATGTATGTTAATATTGAAAAATTTACCAATTTTTAAAATTTCGAAATTTCAAAAATTAAAAAAAAATTGTTTTGAAAAATTTCAAAATTTCAAATTCCAGCTGAAAGAACTGACTGAACGTGAGAAGCAAGCCGCCCGTAAGAAGGCCATCAGCCGTGGCTTGGACCCTGAACAAATCGAAGAGTCATCTAACTCTGTCATTCCTCCAAAGATCAGCGTCGCTTCCAAATTCGACCGCCAAACCGACCGCAGCTCCTATGGAGATCGTCGTGACAGATACGAAAAAGTAGGCGCAATAACTTTCTTTACAAAAAAAATATTGAAATTTTTGAGTATAGCATGAAAAATGGTGAGAACTTTCTTTACGAATCAAGAAATGGCAAGAACTTTCTTTACAAAACATAAAATGGCAAGAACTTTCTTTACAAATTAAAAAAAGGCAAGAACTTTCTTTACAAAATAAAAAATGGCAAGAACTTTCTTTACAAAACAAAATACTAAACTATTATACTTACCTTATCATGTACAACATAATTTCAGCCCGTAGTAAAGCCAGCTCCATCCATCGCTCACGGTACCGCCAGACCACCACCAGAATGGGGTCGCAAGAACAACGATGAATTGGAAGCTCTTCGTAAGAACTTGGAACCCTTCAAGTACGTCGAACACGAAAAGGTTGAAGGAGCCCGTCCACCAGTCGAACCACGGCCATTGCAGCTGCCTTCTGGAGATGTGAGTTTAAAATTAGCACTAGCCCAGAGCCCTAGTCTTGAGCCCTTACCCAGAGCCCTAGCCCAGAGCCCTAGCCCAGAGCCTTAGCCCAGAGCCCTAGCCCAGAGCCCTAGCCCAGAGCCCTAGCCCAGAGCCCTAGCCCAGAGCCTTAGCCCAGAGCCCTAGCCCAGAGCCTTAGCCCAGAGTCTTAGCCCAGTGTACTAGCCTTAGGCTTAGCTCCAGATCTAACCTCAAACTTAGTTCTAGAACTGGTTTTAGGCTTAGCTCTAGATCTGGCCTTAGGCTTCAACCTAGATCTGGCCCTAGGCTTAGCTTTGGATCTGGCACTAGGCTTAGCTCTAGATCTGGTTTTAGGCTTAGCTCTAGAACTGGCTCTAGGTTTAGTTTTAGATCTGACCTTAGGCTTCAATCTGGATCTGGCCCTAGACTTAGCTTTGGATCTGGCACTAGGCTTAGCTCTAGATCTGGTTTTAGGCTTAGCTCTAGAACTGGCCCTAGGTTTAGTTCTAGATCTGACCTTAGGCTTCAATCTGGATCTGGCCCTAGACTTAGCTTTGGATCTGGCACTAGGCTTAGCTCTAGATCTGGTTTTAGGCTTAGCTCTAGTTCTAGCTCTAACTCTAGTCCTATCCTTAGCCTTCTTTCTCGTCCTAGCTCCATTCCTAGCTTTAGCTCTAAAAATGGCCTTAGGCTTAGCTCTACCCTTAACCCTGGTGCTAATCCTAGTTCTAGCCCAGAACCCTAGTACTATTACTTGCGTCAGCTTTACATCTAGTCTACTTCCTACGTTCCATATACCTTTTCAAGCGTCTAGAACTAATTATGCTAAAGCCATTCTCAAATTTAAACTGATCAATCATCGTTTCCAAACGGTTTCATGTCATCTATAATCTCACTTTTCTAGCTTCAAACCCAAACTTTTTTATCCCCATACGCCTAGAAATGTCATTTCAAACACATTTTGTCCTTTTTTCATAATGTCATTTCAATTCTTGCTTCATGATCAACTTTCAAACCAAAAAAAAACTTATTTTCAGTTTGAAACCGGCGAAGAGAGTGCGCCCGCCGAAGAGTCCGCACCAGTCGAAGAGCCGCCAAAGACAGCGCCCAAGGGCCGTGCTGGACGCGTCTAAGCCGTTCGTCTCACCCCCCTCCTCCGCAAATCATGTTATTTTTTCATGCTGATTATATAATTTGCTCATAAATTCATCGCAGTTTTTGGTTTTTTTGAGATTGATTATATGATTTATGACACATTTGTTTTGTTTTTGCTTTGAACAGATTGTTGAGGTAAAGGTAGTGTAAGGTACGGTAAGTTAGAGTAGAGTAGGTAGAGTAAAGTAGGGTAAGATAGGGTAAAGTAGTGTAAGGTAGGGTGAAATAGGATAAGGTGGGGTAGCGTTAGACATGGCAAACGGGCCAGACTGTTCCGATTTTGCAGGCCCGGCCCACGGGCCGACGCCTTCCTGCCCGGCCCGTTTCAAATTTTATTCTGCCCAGCCCGTTTGCCATGTCTAGGTAGCGTAGGGGTAGGGTTTTATTTGTTTTTAGGCTACTTTCCCTTCTTTCAAAAGTAGTTTTATTTCTTTTTGAGATACTTTCCTTCTTTTTTGGGTTGTTTTATTAATGTTTGGGTTACCTTCATGAGTAGTTTTATTGGTTTCTGGGCTACTTTTCCTTCTTTCATGGGTAGTTTTATTTGTTTTTCGGTCAATCTTTCTTTCTTCATGGGTGATTATATTTGTTTTCTGGCTTTTTTTTATGAGCAGTTATTTCGGTTTGTGGGTTATTCTTTCTTTTTTTGGCTTATTCTATCTCTTTTGGGCTTTTTGTTCTTCTTTAGTGTTTGCTTCTTTTGTTTTTGAACTTTTTTTTTTATTGTTTCTTTTATGTATGGTAAAATACGAGATGCCGTCGGCTAATTAAAAACTAAAACACTTTAGAAAACTATTAAAAACATAGATATAGAGCAATAAATAACAAGAATTTATAAACGTTCAGCAATCAATTTATAGGTTTAAGTCAAGATTAGAAGACCACACCTCATGATATAAGATAATTCTGAAGGTAATTGATATCGACTTCAAAAGCTTTGAAAACAATAAGGAATAAAATAACGGCTTATAAGTTATGACAAATAGAAATGACATACGTTTATGGGTTCTAATTATAATTAATGTAATAAGATTAGTCTTTGAAAAAAATACTGTAGCTTTATATTTTGAAAAAAAATTTTTAGTTTTATACATTTTTCAAGAAACGCAAAGCAGGGTAAGGTAAAGTAAAGTAAAAAAAAGTCTTGGAAAGCAAAGAATAATCAAAAAAAATTAAGAAAGGGATGCTCAGGGTAGGGTAGGAAAAGACACGCTAGGGCAAAAAAGGGCAGAGCAGGATATAAATAGACATATCAGGGTAGTAAAAGGCACTGCAGGGAAAAGCAAAGCCGAATAAGAAGTTATAGGGCAGGGTAAGAGGGGTCTAGAACTAGGGCTAAAGCTAGGAATTTGGTTCAGTGTTCTAGGCTAGGGCTCTGGGCTAGGGCTCTGGGCTAGGGCTCTGGGCTAGGGGGGGCTCTGGGCTAGGGCTCTGGGCTAGGCTTATGGGCTAAGGCAAGGCCTAGAGGTTTTTGAAGATTTTTTAAATATTGTTTTTGCTATATAATTTTCATTTCATAAATTTTAAAATTTTTTTGACACGATAACGTTTTCGATTGGCCAGTCTTTCTCTTATCTTAACCTTTAAGTTGAGTCAGTTTCAAAGACCAAATCTCTAACTTTTTTTTTAAAAATGTGCACATCTGAACAAAAAATGCAAAAAACGGGTTAGGCGACATATGCCATGTCAGTTATAAAAAATAGTCAAGTAACAGCTTGAGGCATATGGGCGGTTTGGTTAGGCACAGACACGTCTAGAACAAACCCTTCATGACACGGCGGCCTACTCAGTTCGTGTTTATCGGCCTTGGACTTTAAGGTTGACAAACGCCTTTTTGTTATTATTGTTATTTGGTTAGGGATCGTACTAGTAGAGGATGGTTATTACCAGGGCCGGGCGGGGACTTTTGGTCTGGGGGCAGGGGTCCAAAAAATCGGCACAGGTATACCTGTGCCAATTTTTTGCGAAAATTTTTTTCCAAAAATCCACAGGGGGGACCACGTTCAAATTTTTTTCGAAAATTTTTTTTTCTGGGGGGTACCGCCTCCGTCCCCCCCCCCTCGCGCCCGGCCCTGGTTATTACTATATGATACGGAATTTGGCACTATAGTAAGACCGGTACTGAGAGTACGGTACTTTAGTAAAGCTGTTAATTTGAGTATGAATAGTAATAGTATAATAAAGTTAGTTCTATAACGTCTAACGGTAGAAGCAAGCTAGTAATAAGATAGGAAGTTCAGTGCTATACAAATGTTAGTACTATGAGTATAAATGACAGTAGTACAATAAAAATGGTACTAAGAGTGTTGATGGTAGTACGTAGTATGTAAACGTTAGTACTATAGTAAACATAGTACTATGAGTACAAATGACATTATAAAGATAGTACTCTAAGTACGAACGGCAGTGGTATAGTAAAGATAGCACTATGAGTACGAATAGTAGTAGTATAGTAAAGATGGAACTATGAGTACATATGATAGTACTATAGTAAAGATAACACTATGGGCACTATAGGTATTAGTATATGAATGTTAGTACTATCAGTATAAATAATAGTACTATTTTAAAATTTGTATTATTACAAGAAACAATAGTACTATAATAAGGTTAGTACTATAAGTATGTATGATAGTACTATAGTGCCCGTCTACTATTAGTACATACAGTAGTACTATCACTACGTTAGTACTATGAGTACGAATAATACTAAAAAACGTCATTTTGTTAGTAGCAATAGTACTAAAATTATAAAAAAAGTTTTGTCGCTAATTTACTATTATTTGCACAGTAGAAAACGACAAAACTTTTTTGTTATTCTAGTACCGAGGCTAGGTTATTACTACAAATTTATCGTGTTAAAAATATCTAAAATGTGATATAAAACGCTTATATTATCAAAAATAACATTTCCAATTCCAGGTTACATAACGAGCCATGTCAGACGAAGAGGAAGTGTAGTAAGTCATCTACTACAACATTTTTTAAATTTATTAGCTAAGTTTAAGTTTAATGCTTTTATTTTTAGCAGTGAAGAAGAGGAGGAGGAAGAAGAAGTTGAGGAAGACGCTCCAGCTGAAGAAGCAGCCACAGCCCCAGCCGCCGAAGCCGCTCCAGCCGAAGAGGCGGCCGACGTCGAGGAAGGTGCTGAAGAAGAAGGTGGAGATGAAGAGGAAGGCGGTGATGAAGCGTAGGTTTCAACATTTTTTGTAAAATACGCTCTGGTAATTAGCAATTCTAAAAAACCAAAAATTTTGAAATTTTAAAAATTTTTAGGTCTCACCACGAAAACCTTGAATATGCAGAATTAGCTTAAAAAAAGATTTTTTTCTAGAAGTGTAGGATAAAGTGTAGGATAATTTTAAGCTAAATTTGTAGTATTTAACATTTTAAAATTAAAGGTATTCGAAAAATAAAATTTTGGGCCCCACCACGAAAACCCTGATTATTAGGGTAATTCTTAAAAACACAATTTTTTTAGTTTTTTGGGTTAAAATTAGCTTTTAAAACCGTTTTTTTTATAAATCAACATCCAAAACACCAAAAAAATAAAAAAATATTTAAATTAAAAAAAATTATTTTTAAAAATTTTTAAATTTAGTCCCCAAGAAGCCGAAAAGCCCCGACCACGTCCCCCACCACCACCAGAAGAGGAGCGTGATCCAGCTACCCTAACCGAAGCCGAGCAAGCCATGTTGGCGGCCAAGAAGCGTCAAGAGGAAGAAGCTGAAGCCAAGTCCAAGGACTACGAACAGCGTCGTCTGCAAGAGAAGGAGCAAATCGATCGTGAGTTGGAGGAGCTGAAGCAACGTCAAATCGAACGTAAACAACAACGTGAAGCTGACGAAGCCGAGTTCGCTGAGCATCGTCGTGCCGCAGAAGAGCGTCGTCGTCAGGAGGAGGAGGAGCGCAAGAACAAGATCGAGAACGAGAAGCGTCGTCGTGAGGAGGAGAAGCTGAAGCGTCAACAGATGATGGCTGGTTCCTTCGCGGGCTTCGGCGGAGCTGTAGAAGGCGGCCGCAACTTCACCGTGACCAAGAGTGAAGGTGGAGAAGAGAATGCGGAAAAGGGTGCTACTGGACCAGTCGGACGTCGTGGACCAACTAAGGAACAGTTGGAGGAGGCCAAGAAGAACTACTTGGCTATTGTTGGAAGACCGGTCGATTTGACTAACATGTTGCCAAATGACATTAAGAACAAAATCAAACAACTTCACGCTAGGATCGTGAAGCTGGAGGGAGAGAAGTACGATTTGGAGAAGCGACAGGGAGCACAGGAATACGATGTAAGTTGAGTGTTGGTTAAAAAAGGGCAAGTGTAATGAGCGTTACCTAAAAAGAGGAATATATCAGAAGTGTTACCTAAAAATAGCATCAAAAACCTCATTTTAGAGGTCAAAAACGGGCAAACAATGGTCATTTTCAAGCAAAAAACGACAATTTTTAAGCTAAACCCCACTTTTTTTCAAATTTTTTAACTTAAAGTTACAGTATATAAGCTCCAAATTACAGTACGTAAATAGCACAAAAAATTGTACCAAAGTCAATTTAAAATTGTCACTTTTCAGCTCAAAGAACTCGGTGAACGTCAGAAGCAAGCCGCCCGTAACAAGGCCCTGAAGAAGGGTGAGGAAGTTACAGAAGAGATTGGCAACTTGCCTGTAAGTTACTGTAACTTTTATTGATTGTAAATAATAGCCCATACATAGGGCAGATCATAATAATTTTTTGGAGGTCAAAAAGTTTGTAGAAAATGAAAAAAATTGTCTTATATTGTGAAACAAAGATAATTTTGGGCACTTTTTTAGAGTTTTTAGTGCTTTTTTCTATGTATTTTTTGACCTGTGGTAAAGTAAAAAGTTTTGACGGTAGAATATGTTTAGTATTGCTTGTAAACATTGTAAAATACGACATAAAAAATAAAATAACTTTTTTTTAGCCAAAGATTACTGTTGCTTCCAAATTCGACCGTCAAGTTGATCGTCGCTCTTATGTTGATCGTCGAGTCATGTTCGAAAACGTAAGTTTCTTATTGATATAGAAGGGGTTTAGCAAGGTAAAAGTTGAGACTATTGCAAGGCTTTAGCTCAGCTTCACTCCTATGATAGGACTTAAATTCTGGGTTACTGTAACATTGAGTAAGGCAGGTTTACTGTAAATATTTTGGTAGAACAAAGCTAGTTAAGACAAAGCAGGGTAGGGAAAGCAAGGCAAAGGGGGTCAATGAACAGAAGGGTAGACTAAGGTAGGGAAGGGCAGTTCAAGAGAAAGCAGGGCAGGGCAAAACAATGTAGAGGAGAGTAGAGTGAGGAAGTGTAGGATAAAGTAAAATAGGATGAAGTAGGGTACGGTAGGGTAGGGTAGGGTAAGGTAAGGTAGGGTAGGGTAGGGTAGGGTAGGGTAGGGTAGGGTAGGGTAGGGTAGGGTAGGGTAGGGTAGGGTAGGGTAGGGTAGGGTAGGGTAGGGTAGGGTAGGGTAGGGTAGGGTAGGGTAGGGTAGGGTAGGGTAAGGTAGGGTAGCGTAGGGTAGGGTAGGGTAGGGTAGGGTAGGGTAGGGTAGGGTAGGGTAAAGTAGGATAGAGTAGTTGTTTGTTGTATACTGTACATTTCCAAAAAATTTCAGCCAGTGACTAAGCCAGCGCCGTCGATCGCCCACGGTACCGGACGCCCACCACCGGAGTGGGGCCGCAAGAACCTGGAAGAGTTGGAGACGCTTCGCAAGAACCTTGAGCCTCCAAAGTACGTGGAACAGGTCAAGGCCGAGGGTGATGCTGCTCGTCCACCAGTCCAGCCAATCCCACTTCAGATCCCGGCCGAAGACTTCGAAGCCCCCAAAGCCGTATGTTTGTTTCTTCAGTTTGGTACACCTAGTCGTGCTTACGACCATAGATTGCCTTGGAAGCTGTGGTATTAGTGGTGCAAAATGTTTTTGTTTTGTTGGTTATGTAGGCTTAAAATAGGCTTAATAAGCCTAAAATACGTTTTTTTTTACTAAAAAAAGTCATTTTAAATACTTTTCTTTTTAAAACTTTTTCTGCTGCCAAACCGTAAAAAAATGAAAAAACTTTCATTTTGCAACACTTTGCTTCAAGATCTGTCACTTTACTACAATATAATACTTTACTTTACCTTTCGTTTTTAACATCATATACGGTACTGCTCCCCATCACTTCACAAATCACATCTTTCTTGTGTTAAAGCACTGAACAAATAATGTAAAATACGTTTATTGATCTTACATCTAAATGACTTTTTTCACATCTATGTGACATGACACATTGATTTTGAAAGAAATGAGAAATTTTTTAAAAATCGATAACGAAATGTCAAACAGATAAAAAAGTGACATTTCGATTTGGACTTGATTTTTGTAAAATACGATGTGGAAAGTATTTTCAACCTTTTTTACATTTTACACGGGATTTTCATTTTTTTGCAAAAGTTTTAAAAAACCGATAACGAAATGTCACAAACCAAAAACTTTTTTTATAGGCCACAACTAAGGCTAAGGCTAAAAATAAGGTTTGGGTTAGAGTTAGGGCTAGAACTAGACCTAGGGTTATTATTTTTTATGGTTTTATTTAGTTTTAGAAGTTTTGTAACGAAATGTCAAAAAAATCAATAAAGTGACATTTCGTTATCAAATTTTTGAAAGTTGCTAAAAAACAAAGCTGAAGCAACTAAAAAAACTTTTTAAAAGGTTTAATTAAGTTTTTGTATTATTTTTTGACGAAATGTCAAAAAATCAATAAAGTAACACTTCGTTATCGACTTTTTAAAAATTGCTAAAAATTACAAAAAAAAATTTAAGAAATTAAAAACGTTGCCTAAAAAACAAAAAAAACTATCTAAACAGAAACTTTTTAAAGTTTAGGTACACTAGGCATAGGTTAGGCTTATACAGGTTGTTGTTTATTGTTACTGCTGAATAAATTCTTTTGTTCGTTTCGTTGGATTTCTTTATTATTTCAAAAAACCTTTTGTAATCTTACTAACACTAGTTTCCACTAAACCTTATTCTAACTTTTTAACATTTTTTCTACTTTACTTTAATAAAAAATGGCATTTTTAGTTTTTGCACGGTGCAAAGATTTAAATTTTAAATTTAACTAAGTAAAAATCATTTTGAGTGTGATTAACATTGTTTGATGTTGATGTGAGCCTACAAATTAAAATTTTAAAATTTAATAACATTTTTTTTTCAATTTCAAAATTTCAGGAAGAGCCAGCCGCTGAAGGAGAAGATCCCCCAGCGGAAGAAGTCGCTGCCTAAGCCACAATATTCTACGATTCCTAGCCAAAATGTGCCATTTTTTATATGGAAAATAAATGCTTTTTTAAAATTTTGGTTTTAGGGCTAGTGCAAAGATGGAGCATGGCCATAGTTGCGAGTGGGTTAAAAGTAAAGATCATACAATAAGGTAGGAAAAGGCTAAATGTAAAACTATGTTAGAGTAAGGCTGCAGGTTGACAAAGTTTCAACTGAAGTAAGAGCAAAAAGGGTGTATTACGGTAGTGTAGTTATTCAAAGGTAAAGTAGCATTGAGTTAAGAGTAAAGTCAGGATTGTACGAATAGATGAAATTAGAACAAAGAGAAGCATTGAGTTAAAGCTGGATTATGAAAGAAAAAGGCTAGGGCATGTCTAAGGTAAGACTAGAGTATGGCTTGGGCTTTGCTAGTGTAAGGGATACTGGAGTAAGGCAGAGTTGTGTAAAGCTAGTGTCAGTCTAGGCATAGCAAAGTAAAGGCTCTGGGCTAGGGCTCTGGGATAGAACTCTGGGTTAGGACTCTGGGCTAGGGGTCTTTGCTAGGGCTTTGGGCTGAAGCTCTGGGATAGTCATAACGCATTAATAGCAATACGTTATGTATAATATGATATTACTAATAACCCATTGTACATCTTCACAATCTTTCCTACTAAAAGTCATTTTTTAGCTTATTCCCCACCCCCGTTGTGTTTTAATTAAAATACCGGAGGCTTTTTGCTTCCGAAATTTGTTATAATCCATCGTGAGCTGGCGATTACCGCGACCAAGAATACGATGTTTTTTCTATTTTTACAAGGTTTCTTCATCTTGCGACGGGATTAGGACCAGGTTCAGATTAAGTTTATTGCATTTTTGTGTAGATTAGGCTTTGGTTGGAGCTGAGTGTTGGTATTGGGGTTCTGGCAGGGTTTTTTGAGGAAGCGTTTTGAGCCATAAAAATTATATTTAAAAAAATTTTTTTGTTTGAAAATGAAATTTTTTAATATGAAATTAAAAAATTTTTCTTTTATTTTTAAAAATTTAAAATGCCCTCAAGCAAACTATTGTTTTAAAGTTAAGAAGGACCCTTTTTGATTCTCAGCTTGAAGTTTCTTGGCTTATTTGTTTTTCACATATCAAAAAGACATTTTTCACGGAATTTTTCTCATATTTCTTTCAAAATTGTTTGTTGTTTTTAAATTTTCAAGGCAAAGAAAATGAGCCAGAGTAGTGGTTAGGGTTACAGTGGAGGTAATGTTAATCATGCTAAGGTTGGAAAAACATTATTAACAAATTAAAGCATAGGTTATTCGTATATTACTATCACATCACTCAAGATATGATAGGAGTGGATAAGGTAGAAAAGGGAAAGTAAAGTAGGGTAGTATAAGATAGGAAAAGGGTGGGATAGAGTAAGGCAACCTCTAGCCGAGGTGATGGTAGCGTAGAGAAAGATGGGGCAGAGTAAAATAGGCGTACCGTAGGGTTAGAATAATTTTGACTTGGCATAATAAAGGTAGTGTAAAGTAAAGTAGTGCAGAAAAAAAAGAAAATAGGTTAGAGCTATGGCAGGATATGAAAAAGTAAGGTAGGTTAAGGTATGGCTTGGCATAGAAAGGCGAACTAGGTAAGGTAGGGTAGGGTAGGGTAGGGTAGGGTAGGGTAGGGTAGGGTAAGGTAGGGTTTGGCTTACTTTTGCCTTTTCTAAGCTCTAGCCTGGCTCTACCTTAACAATTCTATGCTTTGAATCTGTCTTAGCATTCTCCAGGTGTTCCGCCTAGTCCTCTCTTTAGCCTTATTCTAGCTCAACCCTAGCCATGTTTTAGACCCAGCAAAATCATGCGTGTTTTTTCTTCAAACTTTCTTATTTCTGACGTTTTTTCAGATATTTTTTTCAAAAGCCCACTTTTTGACAATTGGCGGAAGTGGATTGTAATAGACGGAGCTGTCCACTTTTTTTAATTTGTGTCCATTTTCTTGACATGCCCGAGGCAAGAAGCAACTTTTATGGCACTTATCCCTTGAAACAGACCGACTTCCGGTCCCCAGATGAGCTTGACGGTAACTTGAGGAGTATCCTGAGGAAGCAACGAGATTCACAGACCAGCGTCCGAGGCTACTATGATATATATCCTGAGGTTGGGATGAGTTTACCAAGGAAGGTATGGCTTAAAATTCATTTTTTGGCAAGAACTTTCTTTACGAAATGAAAAATGGCAAGAACTTTCTTTACAGATTAAAAAATGGCAAGAACTTTCTTTACAAAATAAAAAATGGCAATAATTTTGTTTACAAGACGAAAAAAGGCAAAAACTTTTTTTTACAGCACATGATTTTAAACTTTTTTTTAAATTTTTTTTAGCCTTTACCGCCCAGAGAAAACAAACTTTTAATTTTTTTCAACCGAGTTGTCAGACCATGCGCCGCAGAGTATCTGGCCGTATTTTTATCAGTCTACATCTTCAAACACATTGAAACACAACTGGTCGATCGACAAGTTCAGTTCTTCTTCAGAATTGTGATCCTATCTATAATTGATGCAGCTTTAATTGGAATCTATCTGAGCTCTTTCGAAACGTAAGCACCCTACCCTACCCTACCCTACCCTACCCTACCCTACCCTACCCTACCCTACCCTACCCTACCCTACCCTACCCTACTCTACCCTACCATACCATACCCTACCCTACCCTACCCTACCCTACCCTACCCTACCCTACCCTACCCTACCCTACCTTACCATACCCTACCCTACCTTACCCTACCCTACCCTACCCTACTCTACCCTACCTTACCCTACCTTACCCTACGCTACCCTATTCTTCTCTACCTCTGCTTTACCTTACTCTAACGTTTTCTGTTCTGCGGTGCTCGGCAGAGCCCTGGCGTTTCCTATCGTCATCTACCGTATTCTGCTGTATCCTAACATACGTTATACTCTTATGTGTCCTACCCTATTCTGTCTTACCTTGCAATAATTTGTTGTATATTACATACTGTATTTCAACTACCCTAGCTCTAGCTTTGTTCTACCTCGACCTTTGTTCTGCCATAGCCTTCACTGTCCTTAGAATTAAACTCTTGCTTATCTTATCTTACGGTAAGGTATTTAATTTACCGTGTTATAGAGTATGCTGCAGTAACACTACTAAAGACTTATAGTAGTTCTACCTAACGTTTTTCTTTTGTACATTTTTTAGTAACTTTTGAATTTACGTATTTTACCAACCCTACAAATATCTAACACATCCTGCTGTTTTCTAAGATTTCCTACTCTACGTTACCAGTGTTTTGCCCGGATTTTAAAGCTTTTTAGAGTTCAGCTGAACCCAGCAATAACGTTGGCTCAGTTATTTTCGTTAAATACACCATGGTATTTGTGTATCTTACTGTTTGGAATGCAGTTTCTGGGAGGATTAAGCGGCATTGGCCTGTTTTATGTGAGTTTTTTTGAACAGCAGAAACTTTCTTTACAAAAAAAATTTTTTAAAATTTTTTTTAAATTTAATTTTTTCTAAATTTTTTGAAATTTTAAAATTTTCAGCTCTCCCACAGTGGCATGTTCCCAGCCCTGCCCAAGCTAGTCATCGATATGGACGGTGATTTTAATGGCAGTGCCAACGAATTGATCGTATGTCAGATTGCTGGTACGATCAGTGTTGTCATCAGCTACATGATGGCTACACGACCGGTCGGAAGTCAGCGAATATATGTCTCCAGACTTTATACTGGTGCTGTTGGGCCGGTTACGGCGGTGGGACTGAGCTCGTTTTTGAGGTAGGTAAAATGGAAGAAACTTTGTTTACAGAGCGTGAAATGGCAAGAACTTTCTTTACTAAACAAATAATTGCAAAAACTTTCTTTACAGACCAAAAAATAGCAAGAACTTTCTTTACAAAACAATAACTGACAACCACTTTCTTTCCAAAGATCAACATGGCAAGAACTTTTTTTACAGAGTAAAAAGTTACTATATTTCAGCCTACTACACTCAAACATATCATGGAACCCAGTAAACGCATTTTCCCTGACACTTTTTCATTTCCTGAGGGGAAACAACAACTCAGTTTGGCATAATCACTATGTGTACTGGCTTGGACCGGTTCTTGGGTCGTTGGCTGCTTGCTTTTTGTATAGGTAAACTACAAGTCGTACTGTAAAATATTGCGTTCATAAAAAGACATTTATACTATCAAATATGGTTTTTAGTAATAAGGTGACATCTTATACGATGAAACATGTTTTTTACAAAAAAAATTTTGAAATAAAAAAAATCAATTTCAGGTTCATACTAGCACCACGAGACTCTCGAGAACGAATTCGACCTTATCCAATTGAAAGGGCTGAAATCTTTTAAAAAATCAATCACTTCAACTTATCATATACATATATTGTTATAGATACAAATAGAATAAAAAGTACTATGAAAAATAGCAAGAACTTTCTTTACATAACTAAAAACAGCAAAAAGTTTCTTTACAAAACAAAACATGGCGAGAACTTTCTTTACAAAACGTAAAATGCAGGAACTTTTTTTACAAAACAAAAAATTGCAAAAGCTTCCTTTACAAAACAAAAAATGGAAAGAACTTTCTTTACAAAACGAAAATGACAAAAAATTTCTTTACAAAGCAGAAAATAGCAAAAACTTTCTTTACAAAAGACAAAATGGTAAAAACTTTCTTTACAACACCAAAATTTTAAAAAATCTACAAAAACCTAATGAGTTTATTCAAAAACCTATTTCCCAAAATCAATAGTGACATATAGTGTATCAGCTCTATAAATAAATAGCCACACGTATCAAAATCATATCATATCATCCTGCTCGGGCTCAACTGGGTGTTCGCGCTTCATCTGCTGATTCCTCTCGACCATCTCTTCCAGCTCACGACATTCAGCTTCGGTTAGTTTCTTGCCCGCAGGGTACTTCCAAGGCGGGTCCACAGGCTTGAATGGTTTGATCGTATCCTGATCACACAAAACGTCTCGTTGTCTTCGTTTCCAACAAACTATTCCTATCACTACGGCAATCACAATGGCGAGAATAATGCCACCAACGACTACGTAAAAGAGGACTGAATTGTCGCTGAAAGTATTGGTGATTAGATCTAGGTCTTGGATTGAAATTACAGATAAGGCCAAGGTTAAGACTAACAATAAGTATAACCCTATAGGCAACAGTTCTGGACTAAGGCACTAGGCTAGAACTCTGGGCGCAAGCACTGAGATAAGACTCTGGGCTAGATCTCTAGTCTAGGGCTCTAGGCTAAAGCACTGAGATAAGGCCCCACGCTAGATCGTCAATCTAGGGCTTTGGGCTAGCGTTCTGAGTTAGGGCTCTGAGCTAAAGCTCTAAGCTAGGGCTGGGCTAGGGCTCTGAGCTAGGGCTCTGAGCTAGGGCTCTGAGCTAGGGCTTTGTGCTAGGGCTCTGGGCTAGGGCTCTGGGCTAGGGCTCTAGGCTAAAGCACTGAGATAAGGCCCCACGCTAGATCGTCAATCTAGGGCTTTGGGCTAGCGTTCTGAGTTAGGGCTCTGAGCTAAAGCTCTAAGCTAGGGCTCTGGGCTAGGGCTCTGAGCTAGGGCTCTGAGCTAGGGCTTTGTGCTAGGGCTCTGGGCTAGGGCTCTGGGCTAGGGCTTTGGGCTAGGGCTTTGGGCTAAGGCTCTGGGCTACTTACGTCTCTTTGGAGCCTTCTGTGGAGGTAAGAATAGTAGAAGAGAAGAACGTGCTGTCCTCAGTAATGGCTTCTGGACCAAGTGTCGTAGTCTGTGGCTTTCCTCTAAAAAAACAAAATATCAAAATTCAAAAAAAAATCTAGTTTGATTTTTGGAAATTAAAATGAAAAAAAAATTTTAAGTTAGTCTTAGCCAACTCACTGATAAAAGAGCAGGACCAACATTGACTTAAGATCAAACTCGTCCACACTGTGTTTGATCGATGGATCGTGGTTGACTAGAGCTTTCTGAAATATCAAAAAAATAAAAAAAAATTTCAAAAATTTAAAAAAAAGTAAAAAAACAAAAAAAATTTTTTTAAATTTAAAAAAAAACTCAAAATTAGCTAAAAATAACCAAACCTACAATAGTAAACATAATTTCTTTGATCTCCAAGCACTTCTTTGCCTCCAGTTTTCCCTCCATTAATTCCCAGCACTGATCCGGTTTAGTCCAAGCCAACCCGTCCTTGGTTAGACCAAAAGTTGGACTTCCACAAAGCTCTAACTTATTAAGATCAAGCGACTGGTCTCCTTTGTCCACATCAGCCAAATCAACGTGCTTTGTATTGCTGTTGTGGCACGTTTGGAAGAACACGTGCCCACTAGCTACTCCAATCTCGGCTCCACCATCTTTGAAACTCAGCACGGTTAAATATGTCGCCGTTCTTGGCTTGCGTTTTAACACTGACAATTCCATGCGGATTACTGGGCTGTAAGACAAAATTTAAGTTTGAGGCTATCGGTACGACTATGTTTGTGGCTATTGCTACAGCTTTGACTAAGGATAAGACTCAGTTTTTGGTTTAAGCATAACTCAAGTTTGAGTTTAGGTTTTAGCTTAGACAGATTCAGGTAAAAGTTTAGGCTCAGGCTTAGGCACTGGCTTAAACTCAAGCTCAAAGTCAAACCCAATTGTAAGTTTATGTTCCGGCTTAGGCGTTAAAATCAAGCTTCAACTTGGGCTCAATTTTACGCTGGAACTCAAGATCAAGCTCACCCTCACGCTCAATCTAAAAACCAGACGCAAGCTCAAGTTTAGGCTGAAGCTTTAGTTCAGGGAAAACTCGAGTTTAAAGTCAAAGTCAAACACAAGCTCAAGCTCAGACTGAAACTCAGCGTCAAGCTCAAGCTCAAGCTCAAACTCAAGCTCAGGCTCAGGCTCAAGCTCAAGCTCAAACTCAAGCTCAAGCTCAAGCTCAAGCTCAAGCTCAAGCTCAAGCTTAGGCTTAGCTTCAGACTTAAGCACAAGATATGCTAGGGCTTGGGCTTATGATAAACCAAATCGACTAAGATTACTTACCCAGACTTCTTCTGTGCACTGAAAACAATACCTTCTACATCGGTGTCAAGAGGGTAAATATGGCTCAGTTCGTTGAAAATTTCTGGTACTTTATCAAAGATTATTCTAAAAAAATTTAAATATAAGTTTGAAAATAAAACACGTTTTATCGTATAACATGTCACTTCACAACTAAAAAACACGTTTCATCGTATAAAATGTCACTTTTTTAGCCAAAGACATGTCTGTTCGTATAAAATGTCGCTTTTTAAAAAAAACTAAAAACTAAAAATTTTTTACCCCGCCGCCGTCTCCCTCGCAGCACTCCAACTTTGGCACAAGGTGTGTTTCGTGGCCGTAAGCTGCGTAGCTGAATCCTCGAACGTGACGAACGTGGCACAGAATTCGTGTCCAATTGGTATCGTCAACAAGGATAAAGCCGAGAGTTTGGCGAAGACAGCGCCAAAGTCAGTGGCGACCATCTCCCACCGTTCTTATTAAAAAATTTTAGATTTTTAATGATTTTGTGTCGGAAAATCAAATTTTTAAAATTTTTTAAATTCAATTTTAAAAAATTAGATAAAAGTTGAAAAAAATTAAATTTTATGAGTGAAAGGGCAATAAATTCCTTGACAAAACAAAAAATTGCAAGAACTTTTTTTACAAAACAAAAAATGGCAAAGACTTTTTTTACGAAGCTTAGAATAGCAAGAACTTTCTTTACAGAGTGTAAAATAGCAAGAACTTTGTTTAAAAATACGGAAACTGCAAGAACTTTCTTTACAAAACAAAACATGGTAAAAACTTTGTTTACAAGCCAATAAATGGCAAGAACTTTCTTCACATAACAAAAAATGGCAAGAACTTTCTTTACAAATCAAAAAATGGCAAGAACTTTGTCTATAAAGCGTGAAATGGCAAGAACTTTCTTTACAATCCAAAAAAGTCATTTATCTTTTCAAAACTTATGATTATGGTATATTACAATAGATATCTTATGTTCTTAATGTTGCTGCGTTATTTGTAAATTTTTTTTAAATTTCTAAATTTCGAAGTTAGGAGTCTATTTCCATGTTTATATATCTATTGTTTTGGCTGCGGAATTCGTGGTTCTAGAATGTCATTGTTTGACCCGCTCGATGTCTCGGTCTCAGCGATCGGTGCCCGCGGCAATCACACGACTTTTTTTACCTTTTTGTTTCGCATTTTTTAAGATAACATATGTTGCTTGCCTTCGCGCTTTGTTAACAGCATTTTTTTAAATTTTTGACACTGAAGTGAATGAGTCAAACAAATTAATGTGATAGTGAAGATGTTTATGTGGCTGGTTATCTTTCTTAAAATTTTTAATATGCTTGAACTTGAGCCTAAACTTAAGTCTTAGCCTGAGCTTGACTTTGAGCTTAGGCCTCGCTTGAGCTTGCACGTTAACTTAAACTTCAACTTGAGCCTGAGCTTGTGCCTGAGCCTGTGCTTGAGCTTGAGCCTAAGCCTGAGCCTGAGCCTGAGCCTGAGCCTGAGCCTGAGCTTGAGCTTGAGCCTGAGCTTGAGCCTGAGCCTGTGCCTGAGCCTGAGCTTGAGCCTGAGCTTAAGCCTGAGCCGGAGCCTGAGCTTGAGCTTGAGCCTGAGCCTAAGCCTAAGCCTAAGCCTAAGCCTAAGCCTAAGCCTAAGCCTAAGCCTAAGCCTAAGCCTAAGCCTAAACCTGAGCCTGAGCCTGAGCTTGCGCCTGAGCCTGAGCTTGAGCCTGAGCCTGAGCCTGAGCCTAAGCCTGAGCCTGAGCCTGAGCCTGAGCCTGAGCCTGAGCCTGAGCTTGCGCCTGAGCCTGAGCTTGAGCCTGAGCCTGAGCCTAAGCCTGAGCCTGAGCCTGAGCCTGAGCTTGCGCCTGAGCCTGAGCTTGAGCCTGAGCCTGAGCCTGAGCCTGAGCCTGAGCCTGAGCCTGAGCCTAAGCCTGAACCTGAGCCTGAACCTGAGCCTGTGCCTGAGCTTGAGCCTGAGCTTGAGCCTGAGCCGGAGCCTGAGCTTGAGCCTGAGCCTGAGCCTAAGCCTGAGCCTGAGCCTGAGCCTAAGCCTAAGCCTAAGCCTGAACCTGAGCCTGAACCTGAGCCTGTGCCTGAGCTTGAGCCTGAGCTTGAGCCTGAGCCTGAGCCGGAGCCTGAGCTTGAGCCTGAGCCTGAGCCTAAGCCTGAGCCTGAGCCTGAGCCTAAGCCTAAGCCTAAGCCTAAGCCTAAGCCTAAGCCTAAGCCTAAGCCTAAGCCTAAGCCTAAGCCTAAGCCTAAGCCTGAGCCTGAGCCTGAGCCTGAGCCTGAGCCTAAGCCTAAGCCTAAGCCTAAGCCTAAGCCTAAGCCTAAGCCTAAGCCTAAGCCTAAGCCTGAGCCTGAGCTTGCGCCTGAGCCTGAGCTTGAGCCTGAGCCTGAGCCTGAGCCTAAGCCTGAGCCTGAGCCTGAGCCTGAGCTTGCGCCTGAGCCTGAGCTTGAGCCTGAGCCTGAGCCTAAGCCTGAGCCTGAGCCTGAGCCTGAGCTTGCGCCTGAGCCTGAGCTTGAGCCTGAGCCTGAGCCTGAGCCTGAGCCTGAGCCTGAGCCTGAGCCTAAGCCTGAACCTGAGCCTGAACCTGAGCATGTGCCTGAGCCTGAGCTTGAGCCTGAGCTTGACCCTGAGCCTGAGCCGGAGCCTGAGCTTGAGCCTGAGCCTGAGCCTGAGCCTGAGCTTGCGCCTGAGCCTGAGCTTGAGCCTGAGCCTGAGCCTGAGCTTGAGCCTGAGCTTGAGCCTGAGCCTGAGCCTGAGCCTGAGCCTGAGCCTGAGCCTGAGCCTAAGCCTAAGCCTAAGCCTAAGCCTAAGCCTGAGCCTGAGCCTGAGCTTGAGCCTGAGCCTGAGCCTGAGCCTGAGCCTGAGCCTGAGCCTGAGCCTAAGCCTAAGCCTAAGCCTAAGCCTGAGCCTGAGCCTGTGCCTACGCCGAAACCTATGCCTATGACTAAGCCTAAGTTTTATTATATGTCTTTGTCTAAGCCTACGCCCAAGCACAAGACTGAACCAAAGCCCAAGACTGAGCCTTTGCTCAAACTCAAGTCTAACATTATGTTTAAGCCTTCACTCATGCTCAACCACCAGTCCTGCTTTTGGTTTTACTTTTAGCTTCGCCTTGACTTTGAGCATTTCCAACATTTTTAATTTTTTTTTACTTTTTGTTGTTTTTTTATATTTCGATGCATCTCTTATATTATAGTAGTTATACCGCTTTCAATTTTGGTTAGTCAAAAAACCATTCAATCGAAAACCTTAAAAAACCCCCTCTCTTTGTAACACAACTCTCAGAAAAACCGTCTCTCATTGTAACAAGTACGTGCAAACGACTTAAACGCTTACGGAAAACGTAAAAGCGGACTGAATCGACATTTAATTCGGTTGACATGACCGTCTTCTCCACCGTCACAGTCGCCGCTCATCCACGCAGTAAAAACACACAGTCAAACGCGTTTGTTCATCGTTACGCTAGAGGGCTGTAAAGCTAGCGATACGCATCAAAACGGTCGAAAACGGTCTACTTAAGGGGTGGCGATAACCGGCGTGGGAATGAGTCAATGATGGAGGACAGTGAGGTAACAATGGAAGAAGAAAAGTTTAAATAAAAAGAAGGAAATGAAGTAACAAAGGAAAGAAAAAATTTACAATAGAAAGGGTAAAAAAAAGAAAAAAAAGAAAGAAGGAAAGAAAAAAAAACAAAATGGAAGAGACTAAGCACAGCAAAAGCCTTCATAGTAAACAAATTACCACTAAAGAAAGCAACAAAAAATTAAAGCTAGCCCAAGCCTAGGTCAAAGCCTAAGTCTGAGTGTAAGGAAACCTAAGCTTAAGGCTACGCCTAAAGAAAGCAAAAGACCATGCTTGAATCTCAGCCTGAATCACGGCTTAAGCGTAAACCTGAGACTAAATTAATCTTAAGAATAAGTTTCAGTCTACGCCTAAGCATCAACTTTAACCTAAAGATAAGCCTAAGCTTAAGACTAAGCCTGACCTTGAGCCTGTGCCTGAGCCTGAGTTTGAGCCTGAACCTGAGCCTAAGCCTAAGCCTAAACTTAAGCCTAAGCCTGAGTCTAAGCCTAAGCCTAGGGTTGAGCCAAAACCTAAGCCTAAGCATGAGCTTAAGCCTAAGCCTAAGCCTAAGCCTAAGCCTAAGCCTAAGCCTAAGGCTAAGCCTAAGCCTAAGCCTAAGCCTAAGCCTCAGCCTAAGCCTAAGCCCTTAGCCTTAGCTTTAGCTCTGGCTTTAACCCGAGTCTATGCTTAATTGCAAGACCAATTCTATGCCCAATTCCAAGCCTAAGCTTAAGCTTAAACCTAAGCTTAAGCTTAAGCATAAACCTAAGCTTAAGCTTATGCCTAAGATTAAGCCAATGTACCTAAATTATGTCTAAATAAGGCTGACTGACGAAAAAACTAAGGCTAGCGTTAGAGCCGGAACGAGAGCTAAGGCTAAAAATAAAACAGTTTAAGGTTAAGCAAGGGTGACCGAAAGTAAAGTAACATTTGACTTCTTCTCCTACTTACTCTTCTCTGCTCTTCACCTTTTCCACAACCCCCTCATGAGCTCTCTGAAATCCACCGACTTCAACCCATCACTCCTCTCCAAACCCAACGTTCTCTCTACAACTACCTTTTCATACGACAATAAAAACAGTAAACACATGAACAGCGATGGATACGAGCTCATTTTCACGCAACCGCAGCGCGCGCCAAATGCCTTCAGGGCTGAAAAAATACCTTTAGGGCATGGGTTTCCGAGAATCGACCTTCACCTTGAATCCTGAATTCGATCGACCCGAAAAGGTCGACCCGGTTGTTTAAACGTTTCGTGGATCTTTGGGATGTTGTTGATGTTGTTAGGGTTATATGATGTTGTTGATGTTGTTAGTGTTGTATGACGTTGTTGATGTTGTTGAAAGGTTTTTAATTGTTAAAGTGCATCTTACATGTTTTTTGTTTTCCGAACTTTTTAAAAAGTTTACTGTATGTTTTAAAGGGTAAGGTAAAGTAGGATAGAGTAGAGTACCTATAGTTTTGAAAACTTACAGTATTTTTTATAAAACCGTCGCAACGTCAGCGTAGCGAGAGCATTGAGACGGAGTGAATCACCTTGTAGGGGGGAGGCGAGGGGGCCAAGAATGCCCTGGATTCACTACTCTATGATCGGAAGGAATAATGTCTCCTTTGTAGCTCAACTGGTAGAGCAATCGACCGGTAAACGAGAGGTTACGAGTTTGACTCCCGTAGGCATTTTTTCTCCCGGTCTTAGTATCGCCCCGTGGTATGCCAGTGGCCACGCGCAGCGACAAAAGCTATGATAGCTAAGGTCAAGGAAGAAGTTAGGTTGATCATTAAAAGAATAGGCTATAAGATAATATAAACAAAGGCAAGGCTAGGTTATAGAAGGTAGGGTTAAGAAAAAGCTAGAGTAAAAAGGATAAGTAAAAGCTATGATTATTGTTTTTATAGAACAAAGTAGATCCGAGTACAAGCTTGATTATAGTATAAAAAAACCATAATAAAAAGTAGGATAAAGCGGAGCAGACTTGGACACGATAGATCAAAGTTAACTTGGGTAGAGTTATGTATGGCAGATCAAAGTTTTGTAGGATGGAATTAGGTAGGGTAGAGCACAGATGGATAAAGCAGGACAGAGTTAGCTAGCGTAAGACAGGACAAGACAAGGAACAGTAGAAAACGGCAAAGCACGACAAAAGACGGTAAAGTACAGCAAAGCAGAGCAAGTTAGATTAGAGTGGTGCAAAGTTAAGTAAGGTGGAGTTGGGTAGAGTGGGTCAAATCAAGATAAAGTAAGGTAGGGTAGGGTAGAGTAGAGCAGGGACGAGTAGGGTAGAACAAATTAAGCTAAAGTAGGGTAGGGTTTTGTGACTTTACCTTACTTTATCCCTATTTTCCCTTATTGTCAGTCGATTGATTTTTGATTTTTTTCCTTATCCTATTACCTAATTTTTGGTTTTCTACGCGGAACGTTTCAATTAATTACCTATTAAACTTCCTCCAAAATATTGTTGTTTAAATCACCCCACCTCAACAACAATCAACATTTTTCTCGAGCACGCTGTAACGGGTCGAGGGTGGTCTTGAGGAAAGGCGGATTAAATCATGTTTTATTGTTCTTGGACTCAGACTTGAGCGCGAAAGGAGAAAGTTTATTGTTAACGCGTTCGTCGATGGTCACGGCTCGTTTTGCTGTGCTTTAACCCTTGTCGTTGCAGGGTCTTTTTCCTTGTTTTTACCATGCGCCGACTGTTGTAAAGGTTTTTGTACATGTGGTGATATGGGGTAAAATACGTGGAGGGTGAATGATCTTACGTTAACTTTAAGACTTTAAAAGCTTAAGCTTAGGCTTAAACTTGGGCTTCTGCTGAAGCTTAGGCTTAAGCTTAAGCACAATTTTTGTTTTTTTTAGCTCAAGCTTAAGCTTTGTGAGTTTATTAGGCTTATGCTTAGTAGGCTTAGGCTTAGTCAGCTTATGTTTAGTAGGCTTAGGCTTAGTAGGCATAGGCTTAGTAGACATAGGCTTAGCAGGCTTAGGCTTAATAGGCTTAGGCTCAGTAGGCTTAGGCTTAGTAGGCTTAGGCTCAGTAGACTTAGGCTTAGGCTTAGTAGACTTAGGCTTAGTAGGCTTAGGCTTAGTTGGCTCAAGCTTTGTAGACATAGGCTTAGTAGGCTTAGGTTTCGTAGGCTTAAGCTTAGTAGGCTTAGGCTTTGCAAACTTAATTCTAGTAAGCTTAGACTTAGCAAACGTAAGTTAAGTTGGCTTAGTATCCTTAGTTTTGGTTGGCTTGCATATAGAAAACTTTACAAAAACTAGGCTTAATAATATTAGCCTTAGTAAGCTTTAAAACCACTTTTTTTAACATTTTTATTATTATGTTTTGTACAATTTGTTAGACCCCCCCCCCTCTATAACCTTTCTTTCACTTTCACCAACAACTCTTCTTCTCTTCGCTGAATGTCTTTTCGGCCAAGGACATTCATCGCGTTTCTCTTTTTTCGAAACAACAAAAAACATGACTAAAAAGTGGATCTGATTTACGTGAGACGAACACGTCGTTCGGCGGTAAGCAGTCAATCATCTCCTTTCGTTTCCTTTCGTTTGGACCTGAGGGTGATCTGCTTCGGTGCATCATCGAGACGAGGGCAACAAAGATCAGCTTCCATTTTTAGTAGCAATGGTTTTAGGAAGGTGACGGGTTAAAGGTAGGAGTGATTATGGTTTTTTAAAAAAAGTCTTTTTGAATAGTGATGAGAGAGGGTTAGGAAGGGATGATTTTAGACTAGTGAGAAGAAATGTTTTGGAGGGGGAGGGGGTAACAAAAAAAAATTTCATTCAACGTTTAAACTACCCTACTCTATTTTACCTTACTTTACCTCAATTTGAGCATCTTTATTCAACTCCATCTTACTTAACTTTACCCCACTTACCTTAACTTGCTCAGTCTTGTCGTACCCTACCGCCTGTGCCGTGCTCTGCCGTTTTCTACCGTCTCTTGTTCTGTCTTGTCTTGCCCTATAAACTTCTGTCCTGCCTTACCTATCTTTGCTCTGCCATGCATAGGTTTAGTAGAGTAGGGTAATGAAGGATAGAGTAGGATAAGGTAGTCTAGAGTAATGTAAGGTAGAATATCTGTCTTAAAAGGTAAGGCTAGTTCACTAAATTTTGGGTTTATTTCACAAAAACAAAATGTCAATTTGATTTTATGAGACTGTGAATGGCGTCTTCTAACTAATTTTTTATTAGTTAACTGCTTCTTTTGGTATCTTCTTTAGTTCATTTCCTTCGTTACTTTTAGGTTATTTTCTCTAATCTACCCTACGCTACTTTATTTTACCTTACCTTATCTTACTTTATCATGCCCTTTATCACCTTACTCTGGTTTAACATGTCTTACTTTATCTTGCTCCACTTTATCTTGCTTTACTCTACCTTATATTACGACTTGGCACTTAATACTACTAAATGATGTTTTATCTATCTTCTTCTATCCTACTTTACCATGTTTTAATTTACTCTATCCCACTTTATTATGCTTTATCGTACTCTGCCTGACTTCTTCATGTCTGATCTTGCCCTACCTTTCTTTATCATGCCTTTCCTCTACTTACCCTTACTCAGCCTTTTTATGTCTTATATTATCCCACCCTAGTTTATGCTCTACTTTACACAACCCTAATTTATCTCGGCTTACCTTGCCCTACCCTACTTTATCATGCTTTACCTTATTACACACTTTATTATTATGCTTTAAATTACCCTACCCTACTTTACTATGCCTTACCTTCTCTTAATACATCCACCCTACCCAACTCTACCCTACGACAGTGTTCCTTTATGTTTCTTAAGCTGACATTTATTTACCCTCCCCCCCTTATATCACAATTTTTTATGGTCTATTGTCTTTACCCAGAACCATTTTACATTTCCTGCTGTGCTCTCGAGATGTATTTAAGGCGGGTGGGAGCGGAAACAGTTCGCCGTGCTTCGAAACGTTTCACGTTGAAGGCCGTTTGCAACAGCAATTTTACCATCTAATTAATTAATTTGTCATGGAACCGGTCGTTTCAACGTTGAACCAATATTAAATATTACCGATGCGATTATTGTGTTATCGTTGTGTTGCATATTGCGTGGACTTGACGTTATTATAGGTAGGGTAGTGCTAATAGAGAAGTTAAAGGGAGGTAAAGGCAAAGCTAGGGCGAGAGATGAAGCTAGTACCAAAGCTAAACCTAAGGTTGAAGCTGGTTCGTAGACTAAGACTGAGGCAAAGCAAGGCTTAAGGCACGTTAAGACAAAAGTTACATCAAGAAAAAGCCCGATTAGAACTGCAAGGTAGAATGCTTTTGTAATAATTTGTAAAGTAGTTGGTAGTTTCACATGGTTTAATTTAGGTTACTTTAAACTTTTCTGACTTGTATAATTGCTATGCCTACGATCAATGCACATTTGATGTTGGCATAAGTTAAGGTTTAAATAATAGAATCTACGAAGCCTAAGTTTTTCAAAAGTTAACCTACTAAATCAAAATTTTCTAAACAAGCTTACAAAGCCTAATGAGACCAAACCTTTTCATATGCTTAAGCTATATGGCTGTACAAATATTGTATATACAAGACTTAGTTCGCCATTTAAGCATAGCCAATTCTGAGCTAATCTTTGGACTTAGGTTAAAGTGTAACTTTAAACTTGCACTTAAGTCTAATTGTAAGCTTTAGTCTACGCTTAAGCAAAAACATAGACCTAAGCTTAAGCTTTAGCATAAGCCTAATTCTAAGCTTAAGCGCAATTTTTCAATTAAACTTAAAGCTAAGCCTCGCCAAGCTAAGCCTAAGCCTAAACCTAAGTAAGCCTAAGCTTAAGCCTAAGCCTAAGCCTAAGTCTAAGTCTAACTCTAAGCTTATGTTTAAGCCTAAGCCCAAGTTCACACCTAACCTTAAGCTTACGCCTTAGCCCAAGCTCAGCCTCAAGATCAAGATTAAGCTTACGTTATATCCATTCTAGCTAAGCCTAAGCCCACTCAGACTTTTTTATGTTATCCTTCACTTCCTCATTTCTTCACTTACCTGTATAAACGTTCCCCCGCTTCCTACTCGTCTATACAGTAAATACAATCAGATTGTTTAGCATTACTCAACCCATAAACGTTGGAGTAATATGAATATCCCTTCGGTTTTCCCCCTCTCTTTTGGGTAATAATACGTTTTTACTATGGCGTCTTGAGAGTTAATTGACGTCGCGTGATGAAGGGGCTTGATGGGATGAGTTCCGGACGGTGATGACTCTATTTGCAGAGCCCACCATGACCGTCTACCTGTGGCTGGCGATGGTCTCGTTGGTGGGGGCCAACATCGCCATCTACAAGAACGTCACCTACCCACAGATGCCGGGCATGGAGCCCATGAGCTCGGACAAGATGCCGCCCCACTTCACGGTGATCGAAACGGTGTCGAGGACCCACATTCATAGGGATAAGCGACAGGTGATCGCGGGTCCGACCTACGAATGGCAAAGCAACAATATACCCTTTCAGATATGGGGTGGGGATGGTAAGCTGAATTTGATTTTTTGAGCTTAAATTTGATTTACAGTAATCTACTTTACCCTGCCATACCCTACCCTACCCTATCCTACCCTACCCTACCCTACCCTACCCTACCCTATCATACCTTACCCACCCTACTGTAATGTCCGCTACTCTACTCTGGCTTGCCCTGCCCTACCCTATCATACCTTACCCACCCTACTGTAATGTCCGCTACTCTACTCTGGCTTGCCCTGCCCTATCCTCCCTTACTCTTGCCTATCTTGACTTGTTCTACTTTGCCCTGCCTTGCCCTACTTTATCATATTCTACCCTGCTTTATTTTGCTTACCTTTACCTTACCCTACCGTAGATTATATTGTAAAATACGCTTTCTTTCAACGCCAAATTTTAGCCAACTTCCAAGCCCTGATCAGACGAGGTATTCGAATGTGGGAAGACTCGACTTGTTTGAGGTTTCGCGAGAATATGCAAGCTCGTGACGCTATTCGATACGTACTGGAACGTGGTGACAGTTGCTTCACCGAATTCATTGGTCGCAATGGTGGCTTTCAAGACATTATCATTGGGTCTGAGTGTGCTGAGGTGAGTTCATATATTAATATGACTAGGGTTGAGATAAGCTTATTATAAAGTATGGTTTGGGTAGGGTAGAGTAGAGTTGGGTAGAGTACGGCAACGTAGAATATTGTAGAATCGGCTAAGATAGGGCAGGGTATTACATGGTGATCCCTCGATGAAATTTGAAGTAAAATCCCAGCACTCGCAGCCATTTGTTGGGTCGTTTTACATCGAGGCAAGTATTATAAAATTTAAAAATATTACATAACAAAACGTTGCGTAATACCATTTCTTGCAATTTCTCTAAGACTATCTAGTTGTATAACATCATAAAATTAGGTAATGACCTGTAAATTTCAATCTATTTTTTTATTGATAACGCTTTTTGTAAAATTTCTTGCGATATGGTTTGGCTATACTTCTGTTGCACCGTGTAGTAGACCTAGCTAATGACAAGAGTATGGTAAGGCTATGGTAGGATGAGAAAGGGGTTAGTCTAGAGCTAAGACAGAATTACCAAGAAGTTAGAATAATAAGGTTAAGGGTAGGGTATGAGTAGGGTTAGCTTGGGTTTAGGCTTGAACTTGGATTAGGGCTAAAAGCGTAGGCAGGCTTAGGAATAGGCCTAGTGTCGCTAGGTGTTGAGCTCAAACCAAGATTAGGCTCAGGGTTAAAGCTAGAATTAAGCTAGGGCTCTGGGCTAGGGCTCTAGGCTAGGGCTCTCGGCTATGGCTCTTAGCTACGGTTCTAGGCTAGGGCTCTCGGCTATGGCTCTTAGCTACGGTTCTAGGCTAGGGCTCTGGGCTAGGGCTCTGGGCTAAGGCTAAAGCTAACGATAGTCTTTTTTGATACTAAATAGTACGTCATATTTAACAGTAAAGTACTTTACTAGTATTTTACTCTATTCTTAATATACCCTATCCTTTTACAACTCATACTCTTTCAGGAATACGTAGTAGCCCACGAAACTGGGCACGCCCTTGGCTTCTGGCACACTCATCAACGTCCGGACCGAGAAAAGCACATTAGCATTAACTGGCGGAACGTTATGGAAGAAGCCACAGCATCGTTCATGCCCTTCAGAAGTATGCTACAAGCTTTTGGCATCAGACAAGTGTCCAACCGACGACTACCGTACGACTACGGGTCGTTGATGCACTATCACGCTGTAGCTCACGCCGTCAAAGTGTCAGACTTTACCATCGTTCCGAAAGAGTTGAAGTACGTCACGACAATGGGTACGGAGAGAATGGCATTCTTGGATGCAAAGGTCATCAATGACATTTACTGTCCTAGTAAGTTTAATAGCAAGAACTTTGTTTACAAAACAAAAAAATAGCAAGTACTTTCTTTACAAAGCCCGGAATTGCAAAAACTTTCTTTACAACGTGATAAAACCTTCGAAACTACCTAAAACAAACAATATTTTGAAAACCGATAAAATTTTTGACACTTCGTCGAAAAATCGATAATTTTTGTGACATTTCGTTAAATTTTTAAAGAAGTTGGTATTTTGTCAATAAATCAATATTCCAATTGATTTTTTTTGCCTTTGGTAGCCAAACGAAAAAACTTTCTTTACAAATTAAAAAATTGCAAGAACTTTCTTTCCAAGACGAAAAATGCCAAAAACTTTCTTTACAAGCTAAAAAATGCCATTTCAGACGTATGTAACGGCCGTTCACAGCTCCGTTGCGCCTCCGGAGGCTATCCCGACCCAAACAATTGCAACGTCTGTAGATGCCCTGAGGGTCTCGGTGGGCCAGAGTGCAATCAACTACAGCCTTCACGTGAGTTCAACATGGGATTTTTATACCTATTTTTATAATTTTTGCATACTCCACACTACCCTACCTTGCTCTGACCAACCCTACAATACCCTACCCTACCCTACCCTACCCTACCCTACCCTACCCTGTCCTACCAACAAAAAAAAATTTCCCCGCCCTCCTCTTTTAAAGAAGTCAAAAAGTCATGTCGTTTCTCCACGTATATATCAACGTAAAATAACGACAAGACTTTTTTCTCACCCCTAATATTTTGCCGTTTCGTACTTACGCTTCCGTGCCCTACTTTGCCTTACCCTGCGCAACTATACCCTACCCTACCCAACTTTCCTTTAGCCTACCCTAACATTTCGAACTTCATTTAAACTCTTTCAAAAAAAAATTTTTTTAACATGCAAAAACTTTGTTTACAGACAATATTTATCATACGTTTTCAACGCTATTTTTTGTTAAAATGATAATTTTGCAGCAATTTTAATCGAATTTTAGCCTGCGGAACCGAACTTCTAGCCACCGACCAATGGCAGACTCTGCGAAGTCCGCCGGGCAAAGATGTGGATTGTTATTGGAGAATTTCGGTAGGTTTATATCAAAAAATTGGATTTTAGGTAACAAAATAGTGATTTTTTGGTATTTTAGGTAGAAAAAATAAAATATTTTGATATTTTAGGTAACAAAATAGTATTTTTTGATATTTTAGGTAACAAAATGATAATATTTTGATAGATTGGGTAATAAAATGGTGATATTTGGTATTTTAGGTAACAAAAATGAAATTTTTTGAAACTTTAGGTAACAAAATGATGAGATTTTGATATTTTAAATAATAAAAATAAAATTTTTCAAAATTTTAGTTAATTTTTATATTTCAGGCACCAGAAGGCAGCAAAGTACGTTTCCGTTTGTCCGACGGTGAATTCCCATGCTCATACGGTTGTCAATCGTATGTCGAGATCAAACATAAATTGGATGTCAGGTTAACTGGCTTCAGAAGGTAAGTTCATTTGTTCTGTAAAGAAATTTCTTGCCATTTTTTGCTTAGTAAAGAAAGTTCTTGCCATTTTTTGTTTTGTAAAGAGATTTCTTGTCATTTCTCGTTTTGTAAAGAAAGTTCTTGCCATTTTTCATCTTGTAAAGAAAGTTCTTGCTCTTGCCATTTTTACTAATCCACCCCATTTCAGTTGCTGTTACCGGCCGAAAGAGGACACCCTCTCCGAGGGCAACCAAGTCTTCGTCATCTACCACCCCAACGGCCGAACCGCCAGGTTTTCGCTCCGCTTTATCCGCCAGCCTTAACGAGTTTCGACACGGCTTCACGCTAGCGATCTCTACCGAAATCCGGTGTTGTTTTTGTGTAAATATGACTTTTTTGAATGCACTTATCGGGTGCCAACCAACGGGTTCTCTCTTTTATCTTATTGTTGTAATTAAATTTGAATAATCAATAAAATTTTACTTGTTTTTTGTTGGTGTTATTGGGTTACACGCTTCTTTTTGATGATATCAATGTGTTTTAATGTAGATTTTACAAAAATTATAAACGATTCATTACTTTTCAAAAAATCCTCATGGATAACATCAATACATCTTCAACACACACTGCTTTTCAATAACTGCAAAGCAAGCCAAATGTACAATAGAAAGAAGCAGAAGATCTAGAAGCATATTTCAACAGCAACCTTCACCTTTAAAATCCAAAATCAAAACCGGAAATCAGGATAAACCATTGCACTTCTTCATCAACAACCAATACCTCTTTAGCTCACACTGAATTCCTATTCCTTCACATCTGACTGAATTTATCCTTAAAATATTCGTAAGATTCAAGAGCATCTTTAACCATCAATAGTCAAGTCTGAAACCTAAAAGCAAAGCCGCAGAATCAATACGAACCATCTTATCTATAACAACTCATATGCTCCTCAGTCTTCGCCTTATCCCATAATGAACAAGCTTAATGGCCATTTAAAATTAACTTTGACACATGTAGAAAACTAATACGCATCTATTGATATCAATATCAATCTAAAAAACGGAAAAGCCAACCAGCTGCAGCGATATTAACCATGTAAAAGCCAGATGCCTAGTATAATATCCGCTTTTTTAAATTTTTCAAATCCGAAAGTTCGAAAAAGTATCACAAATAAATTTTTAAAAATCCAAAATGTTCTGAAGTATCTTTTGATACCAAATGCTCCACAAAACTCCTAGAAACAAGCTCGCTCTTCCGATCTTACCCATGTCACAGTCTGATACCTACTACAACATCAAAAACCTCTCTTTTTCATAAATATTAATATAAATTACAATTTATACAATAAGTTAACAATACTCTAACGATCTTCTCCATCGATTCGAACCAATCAACTCAAAATCAAGGTCGTTGGAGTTCAACAAACATTGAGTTTCGTCCTCATCCACAGCATCCATCTGAACTTTGCGTGAGGCAAAGTATGGGCAGTCTTTCCCTGAAATTGATAAGAAATTGTATATTTTGAATTAAAATCAATGTACATGAACATTTTTAACGACATATAATACAAAAAAAGGTAAAATATTAAAAAACATTGTTACAATGCTTAGGTACCACCACGAAAACACGACTCTTGGCGTTTTGTTTAGAATAAAGGAAACTTACAGCATTTGCCGAATAAGAAGTTGAAGCCAGGCCGACAGGCACATCTTCCAATGGTATCGTCGTTCTTTTTACAATAACTTGTTGAACACGCCCGAGTACATTGCTCATCCAGGAAACATCCCGTTTGGTTGGGTTTCAGGACTGAATATTTTATTCTTAATCGTTAAATATGTTTAGCCTAAAGGCTTTTACTTGATCTGCGTTACTTTATTTGGGAGAATATTATGGTTTAGAATTAAAAAAGTTTGGAATTTGAGTAAAAATGAGGTGAAAGCTATATTATTCATGACATTTTGATGGTTTAAAGGCTGGTTTTTGATATGAAACACTTTCTTTCCGTAAAAAAAGTTCGTGAAGATCATAATGAAGCTAGATTTATAAGAAAAGTTGAGGTAAACACTATAATATTAAAAATAATCAAGTAAAAGGACCTATTGGTCATGGATAATATAATTTTAGAGTTTTTGATTGAAATATAGCTATACTTCTCAAGCTTAATATTAAAGTAAAGAAAAAATGAGATAACATACTATTTAAACAGCATCCTTTACTGTTCTGTGAGGCTTGAAAGCAGCTAAGTCCGTTCGGGCAGTCTATGGTGGTGTCGCACTCTAAAACAATATAAGTTTAGGTAACATAATGTAGGTAAATAGATGTAGAATGGTCTGATAAGACAATATACTGTTATTTACTTTAGTTTTAGCATGTTTTTTGATAACAAGACTAGCCATCAGAGCGTGCAAAAAAGTCTTGTCGTTTATTTACATGTATTTTCACAGTAAAAAACGACAAAACTTTTTTGGGGCCTAATATCAAGTTTTGAGGCTTTATGGGCATGGAGTAACTTAATATGGCCATAAAATAACTCAAAGTCGTTTCCAACTTACCATAAAGACAATTCTCTTTGATGATAGTCTGTACTGGCTGGTTAATGTACCATACTGACCATACTCTACATAAAAAGGCTGAATATAATAGTAAAAGTTTTTGCATTTTACGAAAAAAAAACCTATTGTAGGCCTTGTGCAGTAAAAGCAAACATTTAACGACATGAGTGGGTCATGTTTACATTAATATTTACGTCAGTTTTTGTGAGTCATGACCTGAGGTCATAAAATTTGAAAATTTTTTTGAAATTTAACTTTTTTGGGGTTTGGGTATCATAGAGTGGTTAATTCTGCTTTGCTTTATCTTGCCCTTACCCTACTTTACCTTACTCTTAAAGACTTTACATTACCCCACCCTACTTTACCCTACTATAACCTACTATAACATGTTATATTAGGTAGTAAACCTCATTTTTCCCCTTAAAACTAGTAAAAGTTGCGAATTCAGAGTTATTACGACTTTATTATTATAAAAAACATTAACAGTCTGAGCGAGATGTATATAATATTGCAAAGTGAACCGGTTTTGGCAGGCGATAGAGAGTGATAGACTATGGTAAATGAGTGATGAGGGGGAGGTTACAGCAGTCGAAGTGACAAAAGTTATACAACAACAACTATGATATAGTACTAACGGGCTTGACAACAACTATAATGTCGTACTAGGCTTTTAGGCAACAACTATAATATAATAGGTTGTTCAAATAATTCTGAGCCCTTCTCAAACCCAATTTTTGGTATTATGGGGGCACAGAATTATTTGAACGACCTAACATTACTATTATAAGATGCATTTTATAGAAAAAATTAAGTTTATTTAAGTTAAAAAAGTCTTGTCGTCAATTCCCATGTATTTGCACGGCAAAAAACGACAAAACTTTTTTAACTGGCTAATATTACTATAAAAATGTAAAAATCAACTAACAGTAACAAGGACAAGCTGTGAGTCAATAACAAAATGAGTTTTGAAAGCGATAGACTGCACAAAAGTGAGAGACATTAGAGGAACATAAGCCTAATATGACTAATATTAGTGTTCTTGGAGATACTTGGTCATTGCTTTTGAAATTTAAAATATTTTTTGATAAAAACGTACATAGTAGTGATAACTACTCTGTAGTTATCATATTAGACCAAAGATTTGGCTTAAAAGGCTAAAAATATCAATTTATCTACTATAATATAAGCCTAAGATCAAAAAATCAATAATAGACAAGCTAAATCTTGAAAATAAAAATTTTACTTTAAAGTAAGCTAGATAGTAAGTTAAGACTGTAGAAAGTTATTACCCTCATTGTTATTAACATATTTTTTTTGGTTGACTATGTTCTACACCATAATACCTATGATACCATGCTGGTGTAGACGGGGGGAAGGGGGAAGTAAAGCTGTTGAAGCATGGAAAAGTTATTATATACCCTTTATGATTACAGACCTAAAAGTTACCCGTACTAAAGGTTTTGACTATCAAAGATACGATGGTATACTAGGGTTATACTATGAAAAGTAAGGTGTTGTGGTAGAGATGGTACTATGAAGAGTAAAATGTTATAGTAGGAGAGAATATATAATATAAAAACGTAAATAAAGGTAGTAAATTGAGATACTATGATTAGCAAAAGCCACTAAAGAAGCTACAATAAGCAATAAGATAGTGTGAAAGATACGATCAGTAGAAAGGCTACAGTATCATATCAAGGAATATATGACATATAATACGTACTATGTAATCAAAGAAAGGTAGCTATATAGCTAGTCAGAGATGTAAAGGCTAGAAAATTAGAGATAACAGGGTTGTGAGAGACGACAGAGAGCTGGAACTCTACAGTATGGTGTAGAAGATACTATGTCATCATATTGATGTTGTAGTAGGCTTGTTATATTCATACTAATGTTGTAGTAGACTGAGGATGATCCGAGCGGGGGATTGATGTATTAGCTGGCTTGAGATGATTATACTGATGTTGTAGTAGGCTTGACATGATCATATTGATGTTGTAGTAGGCTTGTTAGGTTCGTACTAATGTAGTAGTGGGCTTGAGATGATCGTATTGATGTATTAGGCGGCTTGACATGATCATATTTATGTAGTAGTAGGCTTGCGATGATCATATGTGAACGGATCTTGAGATTTTCAGCAATGTTATAGTAGCCCCATAGACCATCACAGAGCATTTAACGATCACATAGTACTCTCATAGGCCATTGAAAGCCTCTAATCATCTTATCATAGTCTCTTAAAAACCTCAGAATTTGTAGCCATCGTATCATAGCCTCTTACACACCTCGGATCCCTCAGCCGTCATATCACAGCCTCCAACACAGTGTAGCCATCTCCTCCTACCCTCTCAAACATCATGATGCACAAACCCATCAATTTTCTGACCATCATCGTCGGTCATATGTGAATTGTCCATCGTATCCGTACTCATCGTACGCTGCAGCCGGTCCGATGCCAAACTCGACAGTATCGACTTGGTCGATGACCGTAACGATGATCCCGACTGGAACCCTGAGCTCGATCCTACTGTAATATGCTTCACAATAAGCAAGTTAGGGTCGGTCACATCGGTTTGTTTGTGTGGTATGTTGGTAGAGTCGGCGAACGCCAAGATACGACGACTGATCTCGTAGTCTTCGACCGAGTGCATTGGTCGGCCGTATTTGCACTTTGGGCCGACGGTCTCGTCCATTGAGGCACTGAGTAGGGTGGAGAGGGAGTAGAGGCGGATGTATTGGAGGATGGTGAGGGAGAGGCCGAACAGAATTGATATGATACCTAAAAAGGTTCAGTTATATTTCTTTATAAAGAAGGGGGGGGGGTCAAAAAAATCGGAAAAAAAAATCTATGTTAAACCTAAACTTGCTAAGCCTACTAAGCCTAAGCCTACTAAGCCTAAGCCTACTAAGCCTACTAAACCTAAGCCTACTAAACCTAAGCCTACTAAGCGTAAGCCTACTACGCCTACGCCTACTCATCCTTAGCTTACTAAACTTAAGCCGAGTGAGCCTAAGCCTACAAAACCTAAGCCAATTAAGCCTAAGCCTACTAAGCCTAAGCCTACTAAGACAAAGCCTACTAAGCCTGATGTAACTAAGCCTAAGGCCTAAGACTCGCACGTAAGCCTATAAAGCCAAAGCCGACTAAACCTATGCCGCGTAAGCATAAGCCTAGTCACGTGAAACCAAGCCTAAACGAACTATACCGTACTATCCCTTACCTGCAGCCAGACTCAAGTAGAACGACGTTCCATACCCCATGACCAAGTAGACGGTCTGCTTCTGAGGCCCCATGAAAGGAACGATCAGTTCAGCCGGCGATATGACAGCATACACAACATCCCCAACCAGCACCAACACTCCGCTCAGTACGCCGACCTTAGAGTAGTGGTGGGGCAAGAACAACAACAACAAGGTCTGCCAACACCAGCACGCGAACCCTGCCCAAATGACAGCACCAGCGTAGTGTCCGGCTTGTCTGTACTGCATACCGTAGTCAAACGAGTTCTCACTGATCCGGAAGTACTCTAGGACCTTTAGTACTGGATAGGGCAGGCCTTCTTCGTAGGCTGAGTTCATCTCCAGGTCCATGTCTTTCACCACGTCTATCGTGAACTTCTCGTTGATGTACATCTGGGTTTCTGCTGAGATCGGCTTCACAGAATTGTCTTCTAGTAGGGATGCACCTGGAATGGTGACGTTAAGGTTAGGGTAGGGTAGGGCGTAGTATTGGAGGTTAAGGTATGGCGGGGTAGAGTAGAATTGGGGATAGTAGTGAGGGTTAAAGGGCAAAATAAGATTGAGTAGCGTATCAGAGGGGATACGGTAAGGCAAAAAGTAGGGAATAGCAGAGCAGGGTAGGATAAGGTAGGACAGCGCAAGGCAGGACATGAAGAGCAAAGGCAAGAAAGGGCAAGCTAAGACAGGGTAGGATAGGGTGACATACTGTAGGATAGTATAATGCATCATAGAGTACAGTAGGGAAAATTATGGCAAGGTAAAGGTAAGATAAAATGGCTTATGGTAGCATAAGATAGGGCAGGGTTCGGTAGGGTAGGGTAGGGTCAAGTAGTGTAAGGTAGGGTAGGGTAGGGTAGGGTAGGGTAGGGTAGGGTAGGGTAGGGTAGGGTAGGGTAGGGTAGGGTAGGGTAGGGTAGGGTAGGGTAGGGTAGGGTAGGGTAGGGTAAGGTAGGGTAGAGTACGGTAGGGTAACTTACATTTCATAGTAATATTGATGGACTTGAGGCCAACTCTCACGCCAATCTTAGCTTCATGTCGTTGAGATGAATGGGCTTTGAGTTGGGATATCATCACAGCATCCCCAACACTCCAGTACGGTAGTCGGAGAGAAGCTGAAAATTTAGGGTCTTTCATAAAATGGCATAAAGCAAAAAAAATTTAAAATTTTTTTGAAAAGTTTTAAAAACTAAAAAAAAATTTTTTTTTAATTAAAAAAAGTTTCAAAACTTCGTACCAATGATTAAAATACCAACGAGCAGTTGAATGGTAATGGTGACAAACGACACGAAACGCTTCTCACGGACGCCGGGCAAAATTAGTAAGAAGGAAATGTAGGGCAGGACAAATATCGAGAATATTATTATGGTCTAAAAAGGAATTTTGAAATAATTGGTGAAATTTAATGTAAAATACGGACGTTTCATCGAAAAAAAATTTTTTTTTGGATTTTTTTTGACATTTCGAAAAAAAATTCACAGGGGAGACCAAGTTCAATTTTTTTGAAAAAAAATTGCTCTAGCTTACTTTACTCTACCTTAGCCTACTCCTCCTACCCTGAATTACTTTATCCTGCCCTACCCTATCTCACCCTACCATACCCTATCCCTTATTCTACCCTACCCGACTCTACATACACTACTAACACAATCCCCGGCCCTTTTCTTATGTCTACCGTGTCTAATTCTAACCTACCGTACCCCGTCACATTTTACCTTGTCCTACCTAAACCTGCCTTACCGTCTATCCTGCCCTACCTTACCGTACTTTACTCTACAGTACCCTACCATAGCTGGCCTTATTTGACTTTACCTTACCTTATCCCATCCCACCGCATTTTACCTTATTCGTAGCTCTACCCTGCTTTACCCTTCCCTACTCTGCCCAAACCTTCTATACCCTCCTCCTCTTATACAGCTCTATAATTTTAAACGAATACCATAATTAAATTTCATTGTAACCTACCCTAACATTAATGCATGGATGTGAGATGGTGCCGAAGTTTGATGGGCCAAAGTCTTCTCGAAACGCGTCGAACCATCCGATCATTTTGAGTATCTGCAATAGAGAATGTACTGCTTGGTCTTCCTCGTTCATTTCTTTCGAATCAAACGTGAGTTTGAAAATGGCAGAAGCGTAGTAAAATACGTAATAGTACAAGTATAATATAAGTACGGAGCTTAGTACTACAAGGACGAGTACGAGTACGGGCTTAATTACTAGAAGTACAAGTACGAGTCTTAGTACTACAAGTACTAGTATGAGCTTTAGTACTACAAGCAGAATTATAAGTACGGGCCTTAGTACTATACTCTATAACAATACCAGTACTATATGTATAGTATCACTAGTACCAATAGTAAATATAACTACTAGTACCAAATAGTATCAAAAGGCAATACCAGTACTATGTAGTATAATAAATTAAAGTAAATTAGTTACAGTACAAACATATATAATACGTATATATAGGTATCACAATATACCAAATAAGCACGCAAAAGGAAATGAAATGAAATTTTAAACAATTTTTCTTAGAATCTATGAGTCAGTCCAAGCCCACTAACTGCTAAAGTCATTAAGCAAGAATGAGTTACTGTTCTGACATTTAAAAGTTCACGGAATTTGGATTTCAAAAGCATTACTAAAGCAAAGGTATATCACTTTGAAGTCAGGGGGATCGAGGAGGAAAGGGTATAAAAAAGTGTTGTAAAGAAAGTTTTTGCCATTTTTTGTCTTGGAAAGAAAGTTTTTGCTATTTTCTGTTGTGTAAAGAAAGTTCTTGCCATTTTTTGTCTTGAAAAGAAAGTTTTTGCCATCTTTTGTTTTGGAAAGAAAGTTTTTGCCATTTTGTATTTTGTAAAGACAGTTTTTGCCATTTTTTATTTTGTAAAGAAATTTCTTGCCATTTTCTGTTGTGTAAAGAAAGTTCTTGCCATTTTGTATTTTGTAAAGGAAGTTATTGCCATTTTTCGTTTTGCAAAGAATGTTCTTGCCATTTTTTAATTTATAAACAAAGTTCTGGCTGTTTTTCGTTTTGTGCTAAAAAACCACCCCTTTCTTTTCTTTTCATCCCCCCCCGTTATGCTTCTTCACAAAAAAATTCCCCTCCCCAACCATTCTGGAAACCCCACAAAGAGCAAATCATTTGCCCAATCCTGTACGAGATAAAGATCTCTCGGTTCAATAATGTAACCCTCCAATACCCTGCCCTACTATATAAACCTTGTCTAAAAAAAATATTAATCCAGCCTCCCCTATCTTACCCTCTACTCAACCTTTGAACTCTTAATAAATGCCTATTTATTAAAGAACGTTCGAAAAGCTCACGTCGAGCGACCAAACCGCTCGTCGTCGTTCGTTTACCCAAATTCATAAGCCCAGGCTTAATTCCGAACGCAATCAGAGCGCGGCCCAATCCAAACAACATGACAGGGTAAGGTTAAGTAATAAAAAAAAGTAGGGGGGGGTTTCAAAGACATATAAATTGGGCGTGGCAAGAAATGTCAAAGCATGGGCGAAAAAATATAATAGAGAGCAAGGGCGTGGTAAAAAAAACGTGTGGCGTGGACAAAAAAAATCAGTATGGCGTACTTGAAGAGCTTTGGAAAGGCAGAGAAAGAAGAAAAAACGGATAAAAAGAAGAGTAAAGCATGTACAACAAATTTACTAATACTTACCCTGCACTGCCCTCTCCCTCACCACAGCATAAAAAAACGTTACCTTACCCTACTCCAAAAGTATTAATACTAACATGCTGTTAAACCACTCAATATCCAGAGGCTTTTTATATTTCGTAGATTTCAAAACAATGTACAGAACAAACAACGATTACTGTAAGTTTTTTCAACTACAGAAATAGACTATGATAAACAAAAATAAACATTGTTTTGAACTTTGAAGTTAGTCAAAACAAAGAAAAGTTATTTTGAAATTTCGAAAGATCAGTTTAGTACTGTAGGTGATAGCAGAAGACTATTTACATACAGACAAAAGGTCAAAATTCAATTTGAAAAAAGAACTAAAAAATTATTGTAATTCTTAAAGTCAAAAAAAATTTAAATCGCAGCCGTTTTTCGCAGTCTAAAACCAAAAAGACCTACCCCAACCAAAAAGAATTAAAATTAATTTTTTGCCCCTACCACGTTCTTCAAACTTAAAAATAGAAAAAAATCTTTCCTTTTTCTTTCCCCCACTACACCCAAATCGAATTTAAAAGATCGCATCCCTATCCTACCTTACCCTACCCTCTCCCTATCCTACCTTACCCTATCCTACAGTCGATTTATATAAGAAAAGAGATAATGGTACATTTATTAAATTAACCTGCCCGCACTGAGAATAATTCCTACCTGTCTTCAGCCCGTTTGCTTTACTTTTTGAAACCTTAAGAACCATCGTTCCCCGCCGTTCTTCAATACCTTTTCCTAATAACCCAAACCGTTTTTTTTTGTCTTTACCTGAACTCTCCCCCCCCCCTACCATATTTTTTAAACTGTCCTTTCTTCAAACCGCCTGGTCCTGTCTTGCTCTACTCCCCCCACATTACCCTACGTTTTTCTATCCCCCCCCCGCTTACTTTAGTCTATCCTACACTACTTTGCCCTACCCTATCCTAATCTTACCCTGCAACATCCCCTCCCCACTTACCTTCATTTTTTAATCATATCTTCTTCAAAACCACCCCCCCCTCCCAACCCATCTCCAACCAAAACCCTTTTCAGCTAGCCGCCCTTTGAACCCGATGTTTACGAAGACAAACAGCCAGACGTGAACGGCCGCCGCGCGACCGTTTAAAACCTCTCAGATTACGGCGTTAAAGCAAAGTTAACAAAATTTCGAGCAAATAAAAATTTTTTTCGAAATTTTTTAAACCATTTTCCCCTCGATTTTCTTCGAAATTTAATTCGAAACATCGACGTAACATTGGAAACAGTCGGTAAACAGTAATGTTACGTAAAGTAAAAATGTTTATGTTGAAGAAACGGTTAAAGGGAAGAGTGTAAAGAAAGTTTTTTCATGAATATAAGGTAAGAAGGGTTGTAAAGAAAGGAGTTTCATATATAAAGCAAGAATGTAAAGAAAGTTTTTTCAAAAATATAATGTTGTAAAGAAAGTTTTTCATATATAAAGCAAGGTTTGTAAAGAAACTTTGAAACATATTGTGTGGGCTAGGAAAAAAGCCTAAAATTACTTTTTTTAAACAAAGTGACTTTAAACTGTATTTTAAAAAACAACAATTCTTACATTTTGAAAAAGAAATTAAAAAACGAAAAGTCGATAAAAGATTAATGTAAATGAAAAATAATTTTTACGCCTAAACGACAAACTTTCCATTTCTTTTTACCCTAGATGCCTAAAAATACATTATGATGAGCCAAAATTAAAGCTAAATCTTCAACTCGAGGCTGAATAAGCTAAAATTTCGAAAATTTAATTATCTAAGCTTACAAAAATTTCAACTTTCTTTTTGTTTTACATTAAACTGAAGCCTAAAATCATCAACCTGACGCGTCATGACGCCCAAAATTTGTAAAACTTTTAAACTCTAGCATACTAAGCCTAAAAACACTTAAATATGTTTTTTAAACCTAAATTAAGCCTAAATTTTCTTCTTTTTTAACCCATATTAAGCACAAAATTATCAACTTGACAACCCATATACCTCAACTTCTAACCTGTTTTTCACTAAGCCTAAAAACGCACAATTACCTAACGTTTAAGAAGAATTAAGCCTAAAGCATGAAATTTCTTTTTTTTTTAAATAACACCTAAACTCAAAAAAAATTCTGATTTTTAAAACAAAATTAAGCTTAAAATTTCAAACTAACCCCAATAAGCCTAAAACTTCAAATTAACTTTCAATAAGCCTAAAACACAACAATTCTCACATTTTAAACCAAAACTAGGCCTAAATTTTAAACTGATCCACAATAAGCCTAAAACCTTAAGTTTTGTTTCAATAAGCCTAAAACACAAAGATTCTCCCATTTTGAACCAAACTAAGCCTAAAATTTCAAACAACTTTTAATAGGCCTAAAACTTTAAAATTTATCTCAGTAAGCCTAAAATCCAAAAATTTCTTACATTTTATGCCAAAACTAAGCCTAAAACAAAACTTGACCCCACATGCTTATTGTTGTTTGCAACCCCCATTCTGCAGCCCAATTAGCCCTGCGGCAAAAAGTAAAAACAGTTGGATCGCGGGTGCGACGTTGCGTAATATAAAGGTCAAGGTGGTTTGGGGAAGGAGATGTGACTGGATTTGGGCGAGGATGAGCTATAAATGGGATCTTCTCGATCACATCACGGTGTTAGGAACAGGGCCGTGATGTACTTTTGCTGATAAGAAATTTCGATTTTATTGCTTTGACACGCTTTACCGTGGTATTTTACGATGGTATGTAGTGCAAAGTAACACAAATTTCACCATGGTATCTTACTATAGTATATGGTATTCTACTATGAAATCCATAGTGCAAAAAAATATATTTTACTATGGTATTCTACCATGGTATATGATGTTCTACCATGGCTTACATAACTCAACATAAAAAAGAATTTACCACGGTAATTGCACTTTACATTGACATAGATAGTATACAATGACATATATATTGCAAACGAAATGGAATCGTCAGCTGGAATTCAGCGATAGAAACATTAATGATTACTTTGCAGTGTAAAGAACGGTTATTGCAAGAAAGGTAGAGAAAGAACGTTATACTGTAAAGCAAGAGAAATTGAAAAATGATATCGAAAAGTGATAAGTAAGAGAAAAAATGCAAGAACTTTGTTTACAGAACCAGAAATGGCAAGAACTTTCTTTACAAAACATAAAATGGCAAAAACTTTCTTTACAAAGAAGAAAAAATGCAAGAACATTGTTTAAAGAACAAGAAATGGCAAGAACTTTCTTTACAAAGCGAAAAACGACTAGCATTTTCTGTACAAAATGCAAAATGGCAACATTTATTCATCTATCGTATAACCTGTCACCCGCAACCTGCATAATGAAAAACGGTCGAAGTAAATTAGAAATGGCAAAGATTTTCTTTACAAACCTTAAAATGGCAAGAACTTCCTTTACAAACCTT